AATTCTATTTTAACTCTATCATTGTTCCTCATGGTGTTCCCAATTATCTTCTGACTGATCGAGGAAGTAATTTTATATCTGCTTATACAAAATCCTTCTTACAACAACTTGGTTGCCGGGCTATTTCTACTACAGCATATCGTCCACAGTCTAACGGAATGTGTGAACGCTTGAATCAAACTCTCACCAGGACTATAGCCAAATTAGCTCGCGATAAGGGTGATACAGCTCACTGGGATCGCTATATAAACACTGCTCTTATGGTCATACGTAGTATGGAGAATGCTTCTACAGGGTACTCGCCGGCTCAAATCATGTATGGTACACATATGATAACTCCTAGTCTGTGGTCTGCTCCAATTCGTGATTATGTTGAAGGTGAATATGAAGAAGACGTGGCTAGACGGGTTGAACAAGTAACTGAAGAACTGAAGGACATCAGAATAACTGCAAGAAGGCGTTCTAATGAAGCAAAATTGAGATATGCACAGCAATATGATCGTTCTGTACATGCAAGAGAACCATTCAAAATTGGCGAACAAGTCTTGTTGAAAGAATTTGTGTTGACAAATAAGATGTCTGATAAGTGGTGTGGTCCCTTTGTGGTGGTCGACAAGAAGAAGGATATCTATTATCTGGATGGTCAGTCTACAGTTAGAATCAAACATGGCGTGAATGGTGATGCTCTCAAACCATATTATGAACGAAAGACTATGGTTCCTGACGTTTCAACTGCCAGCGCTCATGAGCAATTCAAAACCTGGGTGGTTTCGGGAAAGAAATGAAGTCGTATTTTCTCGCTTAAAGGGGGGTATTGAGAAGTTGAATGTTCCTGCTGTCTGACTCGAAAATACCAAGAAGGTGGTGACGTAAGCAGCTATTCCGATCCGGGTTTGTTTGTGTCCGGGCCGTTTCTATACTATGGGTGTACGTAGTAAAGTGGTGAAGCACCCTCTGAGTAATGGCTGTTCTTGTTCTGGGTGTTGTAACAGGTGTTGGTGATGATTCTGGTGCGTTCGTGGTGAACATGTGGATCTAAGGACCAACAAGAATACTAGCAAGCAAAACAATAAGCCATCTCTCATTTCATACAGGTTATGTATTTTCTCAACAGTGTTAATTCCCATTATTTTCTTATACTCTTTCTTATGCAAGCAAATCAAGACCTTTATTATCTTTACTTCCTTTTTTACCCGTTATCTGTCTGTACCTATCTATGTTCTTATCGTTGTATCTTAGTACATTATATTTCTACTATCTAATTCCGTTGAATTGTATAAAAGCTGAATGAGCAAAACCTAATAAAATTATCGAACTTTTCTGAAAAGGATATTTTTGAAGGAGATTACCTGAAAATCTGGTACTATTACATTCGAAGTAGGTTCTTTACAGTCTTTCCTTGGTGCTCGTGTGTAATAAGTGATTAATCGGCTATCTTACTTCTAGAATATCTGCTTCAATTCTTCTATAAACTCACATATCATCACTGTCAGTTTGTCATGTGTGCATGTTTGCTTTGGTTCGCTTTTTCGTTTTCTTTCGCGGTTTTTCTGGTGACTCTATTATGTTAACAAATCTTCAAATTAAAATGGTACATGTCTCTGATGTTCCTTAAAGTACATACAAAGTTTGGTGTGATTTGGTCTAGGTCTGATTGTACAATGGTGTTCCAAAGGTTTCAGCCAATGGTTCTGTCTTCTGTCAGACCCAATCAGATTCGAGTCAAAACCACTGATCGGTGTGTCAATTTTTGGTCTGGATCTCAATTGTTGTACTTTTTTTAGTTCCTTATTTGTCCTACTTCTTCCGTATTTTGTTTCATGATATTTTGCTGTGATTTAATTGTGTATTTTATTTTATTTTATTTTGTTTATTGTATTTGACAGTTCATCTCAGTTTGAATCTGTTGAATTTTATAATTTATTTGTATTAATTGTTCTCCTGTTTGACATTTCAAACGTGATTGTTTTTGGGCAAGTTTGATCTGTTCTAAATTAATGACAAGCAATTGTCTTTGTAGAAATTTATTCTAAAGAAAGTATAAAAGCTTAAAGAACTTTAGAAGGAATAAAAAATATCAAGAAATTAATCTTTAATAATCGAAACTTTTTTTTTTTATAAATTTTCTTTTACATATATCTTCATTGTCTTTTGAAGGAACTGTGCCTAAGGTTATAATCTCTCTATTTGTGTCTATCTCTCTATAATTACAATAGTCTTTACAGTCTTCTGTTGTTAATTATTGGTTTATCTCTTTTATTTGTTGGTCTCGTCGTTCAAGGTAAACACAAAGGGAAAGAGAGGGAGTTGTCAAGTGGTCCGGCCTACCAGATCATATATGTGTTCTAACATGTATTATTACTCAAGTTATATTATGTCTATTAAAGAAGCAAACTCAAGTACTAAACGTGGTGTTGGTATGAGGTTCATGAATGAGCCTAGAGAGTTCTCTGGTGAAGGTGATGGTAATTCTGCTTTGGTTTGGGTCAATCCTATGCAAAGGTTGAAGGTCTCAGGAGGTTTGAGTGATGAAGAAATGTTGTTCGTCGCTAGTGACAAGCTTGTTGGTAAAGCAGAGACTTGGTTCAACGTGGTTGGTGCAAATACAGTTACCTGGGATGCCTTCGTGAGTGCTTTTAAGAAGCAATATTTGTATGATCAAGAGGATAAGTTTTGGAGTCAAGTACAAGGTCTTAGACAAGGTGCTGAATACCCTTCAGTGGATGATGTTGCACTCAAGATGCAAGAGTTGTTCATGCTTTTAGACAACAAATCGCAGAGTTTGCAAGTGCGTACGTTTCTTAACGCTATCAAACCCAACATTGCTTTTGAGGTGGAAAAAGAAGGTGCACAGGTGACTTTTGAAGAGGCGAAAGTAAAGGCTATGCAGATTGAGCGTAGTTTGGTCAAGTACGCAAGTACTATTGGTTTTGAGCCCGTTGAGACTGTAGTCCCTAAGTTTCCTGTGTCTGCTCCTTCGGTTGCAAGTGGTTCTGTATCGGATGCTGCTTCCATGTCCAGTATGTTCTCTTTGGTGGACAAGTTAGAAAGATTGAGTATTAATTTGGTAAACTTAACTAACAGTGTGGCTCAAAATGGTACTCGTGGTAATACTGGTGGTGTCGCTTCTGTTCGTCGTAATTTGGTCTGCTTTTACTGCAATAAAGAAGGACATAAGAAGCCTGAGTGTCCGGAGTTCTTGCAAAAGAACAATTTTGGGTCTGGGGTTGCAAGCGGTAGTAATGCTATACCCATTGGTAATGGGTCTTCAAACTTTTCTGGTGAAAGCCAGGGAAAAGAGAAGGAGTACCGATCTTAAAGGAGGTGATTGGTGCTCGTAGTAATGGTGAAAATCCTCTAAAGAAAAATGACAAGTCGGTGAACTTGGTTGATACCCTGAATGATAACGGTGTTAACGAGATTTACGGTGCGAAGAGACCTGTATCTGCTGTGCCAGTTGATACGCCGAATAAGCGGGGTAATAAGGGTAAAGCGGTGGATCAAGGTGATGTAGTCATGACTATGCCGGTTCCAGTTGGTAATGGTGCTTTTGTTCCTGCGGTTGATGGTATTGCTGCTCCTGTTAGGGGTGAAAATGTTCCTCCTCCGGTTGTTGGTGTTGCTGGTCCTGTGGTCAAGCCTAGAAAGAAGAGGTCAAAACCTCGTAGGTTACCTGTCAAGACTAATAGCTTGAATGTTTGGGACACTTTGAGAAGTTTGGACGCTGGTCTTTCAATGCTGGATTGGTTAGCTATCGACCAAAGTGCTGCTAGGGATGTTAGTGATGGTCTGAAAGACTTGAGGCTGCAACGACCAAAGAGGGCAAAGAGGCATTTAGCTGCTGCGGTAGAAAGAATGAATGTTGGTGCTAGAATTAATGTGGTGGATAATGACTCGTCAAGTGATTCTGATGGTTATGATTCTGAAGATTCTGGTATGTCTGGTTATGGTTCTGATGTTTCTTTGGACTCGGAGTTGGTGATGGTATCTGATGAAGCGGATTTGGCTTTGAGTGAAACAGAGTCGGTGTATAGATATCCATACAATTTGAATCGAATGAAGGTCAGCTCTCCTTTGCGTGGTGTGGTGACTATCAATGGTCATGCTGTTGAGGCTATCTTTGACACTGGGGCAAGTGTGTCAGTGATCTCTAAGGGATTGGTTGATGCTTTGGGTCCAGTACCAAATGGTGATAGTTTGCATTTGGTTGGGTTCAATAATAAGAAGGCGCCAAGCAAGAGCAATGTGGTCATGGATGTACCAATCTCTGTAGCTGGTAAAGTGTGACCGGATCATATGTGTGTACAAGACGAAGGTGACAAGAATGACAAGCTCTGTTTGCTCGGTGTTCCTTGGTTTCAAGCATATGGTATTGAAATTAATTTGTCTGAGTCTACTATTCGTATACCGTCTACAAGTGGGATGGTGAAGTTGCAGTGTTACACCACTCATTTGCCTGAGTCTTCAAGCAAGGTGTATCATGTTGAGGCTTCGCAAAAATATACAGAGACTGTCACGAACGGAGCCCCAAATGATACTTACAGAAATTGATCCAAAAAGAATGATAATTTATTTTTTGCAAGAAAAGATAAACAAAATATCTGACAAAGGAAGAAGGAACGAGATACAAATTATTACAGTATTTATACTAAAGCTAAAGTAACCGGTGGAACAACAGGAAGACCGAAATCATACGATAAAGCCGAGCACGAGGGAATACAGAACATGAAGGAATACAGAACACAAGGGAATACAGAACATGAGGGAATACAGGACACAAGGGAATACAGGACACAAGGGAATACAGGACACAAGGGAATACAAACACAAGGGAATACAGAACACAAGATACGGGATACAGCAGGAAGTAACAGAACACAGAATATAAGATAATACTAAGGCGCCGATAACATGAAACGGAGAATGAACAAGGGAGAACGAGAACATTGAGCTGGGAAAGAAACAATAATACCAAAGGTCTTAACTATGGGCAAGGATTCATGACAGAGACGTTTGAAGAAGGTCTGGGTCCTACTGGTGTTGAAGGTGAATCCAGGTCTCGTAGGTTTAATGGTGGTAATGTGACTGATGGTGTTGATCCATGGCTCTTTCGCTTAATTATCAGAGTGATAACCGTAGGACCTCCCCACAAGGCGGTTCAACGTTGGATTCTAGCCATAATCCAAGCAATCAACTATTCTCTTATCTATCTTTTAAAGACGCACTTAAAGCTCAAAAACGACACATCTTTGAAGTGTCACCAAATGTTGATAATGGTAGTTTTAAACCTCTCAACGCCTATTCAACCTTTGTGTAAGCTAAAGAACGAAACTCAATTGTAATCGACTGCGCCCAATTTTTGGGCATGGAATTTAAAGACAAGTCTTTACTCAAAATATTGCGCGAACAATTTCCCAAATGCCTTGGCCTCAAACCTAGAGTAATTGGCAAGAACAAAAGAAAGGCTATAGAGCTTGTTTTCTCGACTGAAAACGCATGTAGAGACGCTCTCCTTAAAGAATTTGTAGTGAATGGAAAGAAAATTGAACTGAACAGAACCCTTGACCATTCTGTAATGGTAATCAACATTGGTATATCTGAAATTCCCCTCATGGAAGAAGAAGTATTGAAGACAGCATTAATCAATACCTTTGAACGCTTTGGCGACATTTTGAACATTGGTATCTCCAAGTGCGCTGACTCCGATTGGTTCACCGGTCGCGGTTTTGCTACACTCAATAGGAATAAATTAAAAGAAGCAACGTATGCAGCTGAGCTCACTCTCCAAGTGGAACTTGTAGGTTTCCCAGGAGTATTACAGAACATCGTTTGGTCTCAAATGAAACCTATTTGCACTGACTGCCATACAGACGAGCACATCAAGTTTGACTGCCCCAAGAGAATGAGAAAGCTATGCTTCCGCTGCAAGAGTCCTAACCATCTGCAAGCTAAGTGCCCTACGGCACCTTGGAATCGTGAACCCAAAGCAAACAAACAAGCAGGAATATCCAAAATTGGAAAGTCTGTACCTGAAGAGGAGTCAAGTATGACATCTGACTTTAAAACCACCTACGCTGCAGGAACTAGACGGGAAATCAACTTGCTCGATTTACTCAAGAATGATACAAAGCCACAGGCAGTAGGAAGTGAAACGACTATATGGAAGAAGTAGTAGACTTGGAGAACAGAAATGTAATGATGAGTAAATGTACTAGCGAACCAAGCCAGCCTATGAAGGAAGCCGTTCCCACCAAGTCAGTCTCTACACCAAGAAGTTCCAGAAGTCAACAAACCAAAAAGCTAGACGATATCATCACTCTCAGACACTCAGTTAGTTTGACTAGTAAAGAGAGAAGCAAACTAAACAGGTCAATTACAAAGCGTAATTTGGATGTGGTGATCTGAGCACTTTCAATACAAAATATAATAAATAATCTTTCATCATATAAATGAATAATCACTTATAGCACTATACATTATAAATATAAAGTAAGCACTGTATAATGACAGTAAATAACGGTAACTGGGATAATATGGATATTTACAAATAAGGAAACCATAATTGTACCTTTTAGGTAACAAGGAGAATTAAAGGAGAATTTATATAGTCAATTCCCAGGCACACGCTGTCAAGGTGTTAAGTAATCAATAATCAGTAATCATAATTAGTCAATAAATCAGGTAGTATAAAAGACAACCTGGAAAAGATATATTTTAGAACAATCAATTTATTTTTGTAATAAAGAAGTACTGAACAGTCTCACTGTATTTCTTTGTTTTCTTTCTATCTTCTATTCTATCTTCATTCACAACCCAAACATCACATTGGAAGACGCTCTCTCTCCTGAAACAAGAGAATCTTTGACTCCAAATACTAAAAGACTCAGCAAAAACATGGAAAGTGAAACTGTCACTCAAACGTCTTCTCCTTCTCCTGAAAATGGTGGGGAGAAAATGAATGAGCTGGACTAATAATTGGTTCTTAAAAAAAAAAAAGAAGTAAAAAAAAAAAAGAGTTAAAAAAATATATTTATACAAAAAAAAATGAATACATACAAACACTTACACATTAAAATAGGCTCTGTCAACTGCAGAAACTTACATATGAACACCAATCAACAAACCACAGACGATTTTATTGCTTTACTGAAGAGCAAGAATTTGAATGTGCTTCTATGTCAAGAAACCAATATACCAACTCTCACCTTTGAAGAAACCATAAACAATATGAAATTCAAGTTCAACTATCATCAAGCAATTTGGACAAAACATTGCTCAATAATCAACTTCAACAATGCTCTAAATCAAGAGGAAATCAAAGTATCTAAGGATGGAAGAATGATACTAGCTAAGCTAACAACGGTTGACAACTCTACTCCGCCTGTATACATCATGAACCTATATGCATAATCAGTTCTAAAAACTGAACAGGTGACTGAGAGAAACAATTTTTTTTAGAACAATAGTCAATCTACTACTCAAGACGCCCGAGATGATTCCCGACCTAATCATGGCTGGTGATTTTAATTTTAGTTTTGATAGCGCAAGCAAACACTCTACAAGAACAAAAGCTAAACCTCAACAACTGATCGAATTCATCAAGGGTCATATGAATGACTGCATAAATCAACAAGGCGAGCGATACGGCTATACTTGCATCCAAAAGCGAAGCGACAAGGCATCTTTATCAACCATTGACTACATATTTGCAGGACTCAACACTTTCAAGCAAATGTCCGATGGCGAAGTAGAATTCCTGAGTGACAAATACACAGATCATGCACTACTAAAGAAAACTCTGACTATTGAGCTACAGAACAATGGGAAAGGCATATGGAGAGGCAATCCCTATCTTGCCAAAAATGAAAGATACACTAACAAACTGAAAAGTGAACTTGACAAATATATACAACATAAGTTAGGCCCGGCAATGTCAGCACAAGACAAGTGGGATTCAATTAAAAATATGGTTAAGAAAGTAACAGTCAACTTCTGCCGTCACCATAACCAGTGGAGAGAAAAGAGATTGAAAGAACTGAATGGAGAACGAAACAAGTTGCTACGACTCTATGGTCAAGACCCTGTATGTTTAAATGCACTACTACCTCCAGTCCAGAGTCAAATCACCAAACTACAGGAAGAGAAAAGCAATACAGATAGACTCAGAGCCGGTCAGAGATGGATGGAAAACAACGAAAAGTCTCCATCCTACATCAAAAGCACTATCAAGCGGCGACAAGAGAAAAAGACAATGGGCATTTTGAAACATCTAGCCACTGGTAATGAATGTACAGACACTAACGCCAAGCTAGAAGCTGTCCAATCGCTCTACTCCAAGTTGTATACAGAAGAGAGAATTGACATAAACAGTTTAAAATCTATGACGAACCAAATTAACAAAGTCGTGTCTAAAGAAGAGAGCGACAGATTGATTGAAGAGATTTACTATGAAGACATCATACTAGGTACACAACGAAGTCCACGTAAAAGTAGCCCAGGGCTAGATGGCATCCCATATGAGATACTCAATATCATCGTTAACCAACCAAGCTGTCGAGATATCATAACACAAGTCTACAATGATGCTATCAAGCTAGGAAAATTTCCAAAATCATGGCAGCAAGCGTGTGCTGTATTGCTACCAAAAAAAGGGGACTTATCAGACTTAGGAAACTGGAGACCAGTCACGCTGATAAATACAGACTGTAAAGTTTTCACTAGGCTAATGAATGCAAGAATAATGGAAATCGTTAATCAGCTTATCACCAAATTCCAAACTGGATTTATGCCAGGGCGCTTTATTGGAGACCAAGGTTTAGCTCTTAGAATGATGATCGACAATGCCAAAATGACCAGAGCAGGAAACAACTAAGAATTTGAAGAATACGTTGGAGTGATGCTTGATAATAACAAAGCTTATGACAGAGTTCATCCATACTATCTTACACAAGTACTATTGAAGTTTGGCTTTCCTAACGAATTTGTTAGATGCATACAGAACCTTTTCTTTGACAATGAAATTTTCATCAACATGAATGGGTTTCTATCAAATCCAGTAAAACAGCGAAGAGGACTAAGACAAGGAGACTCTATATCACCAATGCTTTTCAACTTTGCCATCGAGCCATTCCTGCTAACAATTATTAACAATGACAGTATCTCAGGATACTCAATTCAAGCTACCAAACCAGCAGATCAAAGAACAGTTCAACTCACTCCTCCACCACCTGTCAAGGTCTTGGCCTATGCAGATGATATTATCATATTTGTCAAATCTAGATCGGAGTATATGCAAATGGAAGAATGTCTCAAGACATATAGTTAAGCGTCAAACTCCAGGATTAACTACGAAAAGTCCCAAGCCTTTCCACTACATGGAGGTAAAATGAATGGATATTTTGGGGTAAGATTGAAAACGTACATCCAACAACGTATGAAATGGTACGACTACAACAGTGCTGATTATATCAAATACCTTGGATACCCAATTTACGTAACAAAACAACAGAGAAATGTGTTTGTGGCCGAAATGACTGGAAGAATCAGAGCTCAAGTGGCCTTTTTCAAAACAAGAAATATCTCTATGTACGGTAGGGCAAATATAGCCAACACAATAATACTCTCCAAACTATGGCATGTGCTCAGATTGACACTACTACCCAAAGCTGTACTTTCGACCTTGAACTCAATCATTTACCAATATACAGTCGATGAGAAGAAATTGCAAATCAAGAAGGATGTCTTTTACCTGCCTAAGGCTAAAGGAGGTCTGGGACTGTTAAACTTGTTTGCCCAACAAGGATCTCTACAGATGAGATATATTGAAGCTCTGCTCAACTATGAGCAATTCAAACGAATCCCAAAGTACCTGTATAATATGATGGTATACATTCTTCAAGTTGAAACAAATAACCCAAGCCTTGAATCAATTGTGCTCTTCCCCGACTCTAGATACAAAAGATCTGTGAACAAGGAGGGTGCGCTTAGACCGATCTTTGAAAAAATGGATGCTTTGACAAAATTCTGTAGACCAAAAGAAGAAGCCCAAATATCATTATCAGCTATCGATTGTATGACCCTACCACTTTCAGCTGTTTTCAAAGACTGGGAAGACAACGCTGAGCTGACATTCATTGGCAGTCCAACCGCAAAGAAAAGCCTAGTTCAACTTTTTTTAACCTTGACTTAACAACCAACCGTATTGCCTTCAAAAGCAAACTCCATTGTAATAGACCAGTAATACTAACAAAATTGAAGAAATACACTTCCTGCAATACATTACAGTTCAAGCAATTCTTTCTGCGACATATCGAACAAAATACCATAGGAGAGACTCAACACTGTGTGGGCTTTAAGAAGTATCTGAAGGAGCTACAATATGAAAACAGTGAAATTTTGTCCCTGAACAACCAAGGCGTCAGAAGAATAATGCTGGAGAACATTCCATTGCAAATGCCAAGCGACTTCAACGCCAACATCAAGTCCCGTCAATGGAAACAATTCTATAAGGCACCAATGCATCAATCCGCAAGGAACATCTGGTTCAAAATGATACACAGCAGAATCCCAAGCAAAGAATTCCTATTCCAAAGAAAAATAAAAGACATCGAAAATGATCGATGTGTCAGTTGCAATGAAATAGAAGATGCCAAACACCTACTGATCTCTTGTGGTAATAAGGCAATGATTTGGCAAGATATATTCAACAAGTTCCTTGGCTACCCAATCGAAATTGATTCAGATAAAATATTCCAAGATCTTAAAAATCTCACACTATCAAGATACCTCATTTACAACTTAGATGTCAAGATCAATATATTCGACTTCTTTGCGACAATTATCAGATCAATCTGGGGCGGTCATTTCCAACAACATTTCCATGGAGTGCCCTTTGACCCTGAAAGAATCTCCAAAAGAATCACCAAAGAAATACCCAAGACATCAAAAATGAAGAACAAAACTGCTTAATAGACAATACAAAAGATAATTATATGGCAAGTCACTTCACTCTGTGTACACTTGACCATCCTTCAATGTTTTTATTTTTACTAATAAAATTTCATTCAATACAAAAAAAAAAAAAAAAAAAAAATGGTGTTGATCCATTATTGGTGTCTGTTGTTGAAGAATTCAAACACTGTTTCTCTGAGGTGACTGGTTTGACGAAGATTAAGGGGTATCATCTGGATATTCATTTGAAAGAAGGTTGGGAGCCGGTTGTTGCGAACATATATAAACTCATATGCATAGATCAATAAATGATGATCATGGCAAAAGACCAGATCACATCTATGGCAATTGCAATGGATCTATAGTCACTGACATTCACTCATTCTACTAGAAGTACTACATCATCCTCATAGTCAGAGATTATGAGCCCAGTGACTCTGTTATTATTTATGGCATTCATAAAGTGACAGTTAGAGCTGACAAATACATTAGCATTGGCATTTAACAAATATGTAATAGTTTATTCAAGTTCAGGTTAGATCATGTACTATTGGCTGAGCTGCCAACTTCCTCTAAAGACTTTTCTCTTGATTGCTCTTAATCTGACAAACCAATCCGTAGTCAAGAAGCCAACCCCAAAACAATATTTTGACCGAGAAGAAAAAGTATAAATACCTCGACATTTTATAGCAATTGAAATCAACATTTCTTGGAGAAATAAAAAGCCTATACAAGCTCTAACGGACTTTCTCTGTATTCTCACCTTTTCTTTTATTGAATATCTACTCTCTCTTTATCTCACAACAGTTTGTGATAATTTGATATAGAAAAATACAAGACAAATATGAATACTTTAAGGTTGTTTGTACAGTTTTATTATGTAAAAAAATTCAGATAGTGTTAATCAAACTATATTATGAGGGTTTATGTACTAGTTAATGTCTTGTATATGAGATTTGACTTACTAATGTCTTTTGACAGATTTCCTAGAACAAAGAGACTTATAATTCTCCTTTTGTCTGTCTGTACATTGTATGCGTTACAAAGTGTATTAGATAATCTCTATATTAGATAATACAAGGATCAATTCTTAACTGTACTCAGAATGTACTGTGTGTAAATAGAGTATGATATCTTTTATCATGTAGTTGAAGACTTATGTTATGTCAGATCATCACAAGGTTGTTTACATCGTGGACAGTTACTTTGTTGTATCTATTTCCAATGCTAATTGACTTTTGAATGTCACGAGCTTTGGAATTGTGATCGATTTCAATGCTGATAGTTCTAATCTCTTCAATGTCCAAGTTACTGTAACGACCTTTATGCGTACTTTGCAAATTGGCTTCATCTAAGAGATAGTTGTGAAAACTTTCCTCTTGACTTCTGGCAAGACGGAGTTTGAATCCTCCATTTCTGAGACTAGAGAGTCTAAGGTAGGGGCATTCATTTCAGGCGGTGAATGCAAGTTTTTGTCGCTCCAAATCACCCAATTTTCGACTATCCTTATATTTGCCGCCTTTAATACTCTTGGAATGTAATCTATTCTTGTCAGCTTTGTTGATGACAATAGTGAATTTATTGATGGTTGCGAATTACTCGAGAATTGCTTTGACTGTCTGCTTGCCAGTTTTTTTTCTGGGATTCTAGGAAGAGGATTTGCTACTTCATACAGTTTATTATGATATATAGGATTATTTATGTTATGTTTAGTAGTAATAACAGTAAAATTTTTATTAAGAAGGAAGAAATACAATAGTCGATCTACATAATCAGCGCTTTGTCATAAGCGTCTTTCATTAACTGGTTTTTAGTACATATCTATATTTTATGGTTGCTATTATATATAAATGCTTTTCATTCTATATACTTTTTTTGGGTTGTGGGGCCCTTTTTAAAACTCATTTTGCCTCTTTTGCACGCAGCTGTAAGTGTAAGTTCACAAACCCTGGATTTTTTTTGGCCCTTTTTTTTTCCTTAGAAATTCTCTGCTAAAGAATAGCATGTATAAGGGATGGCATTTCGTTCCTGTTTATGCTTTTCAAAGAAATACTTGCTTTATTTACATGTAAACCACAAGCACATTGCTCGATACCCTGGTTTATCGCGTACAATCAATACAGCCCTTACTAATAAACCAACGTCTGCTTGTGCTAAAGTTGTTACCACTGGATTGGAAAAAGATGTTCAAGATATCATTCAACACAAGTCAATAGAAAACTACAAGGCATTCTCTCGTCGGCTCAGTTCCTGCTCGCCCCAACAAATCGTAGACCTGTTTGATTGTATGATCAGACAAAAAGTAGATTATAACACACATCTTCGGCAGATCATGTTGGATGCAGGCACCTATTGGCCTATGAATACAGTATTGAGTGTCATTAAGATATGTGGCTCACAGTATCAACAATGGAGGCTGGATATGTTCAATACATTTATACTTTCGAATTATACAGCCTCAAAGGATATTGTACCTGCTTTACAGGCATTACCTTTGCAGGGTAAAGCTACTGATGTGATGCCATTCTATAATGCCTTACTTGCAAAATGTCAACGATCCAAACAACTCGAGCATATGCAACATGTACTGACTGTGATGAAGGAACGACATATCCAGCTTGACACAGCGTCATACAATATTCTGATGCGTGCTGAACTGTCAACACCTGATGCTACGTGTGCCTTTGACAGATTTATTAAACAAGGAGCTACACCAAATCGTGCTACCTATCATATTTTGATCAAACATGCAGCACAGCACAAACAATGGTATGCTCTAAATCAATGGCTTCAATTGATGGCAGACAATGGATTTGAACCCAACCCTGTCTTGGTTCGCATCTTGTTTAAAGCGCTTGTCAAGCACCCTCTAGAAAAGCAACTGGTACAAGCATTTGAACGCACTATCCAGCATGTCTCGATTGATGAACAACTATTAAACACAGGAGCAGCAGCCTTACTTGAGACAAAACAGACACAGGCTGCCATCGATATACTTCAATTAGCTATTCAAAAGACACCTTCTTCTGTCTATACTTGGAATTTGTTGTTACGGGGGTTATGCGAACAAGGGAATGTGAAGGCTGCTCTCAATCTATTTGGTCGTATACCCCAGCCTGATATTGTCAGTTACACCACATTGATCCATGGCCTTGTACGCACCAACAACAATATAGAAGATATTGCTCATCTTTATCGTCAACTTGTCAATTCTAGTTCTACCAATCATGTGTTACAATCTGTTATCATGTACAGTCTTATCAAGTCAGATAATATGACCAACACACTCTCTATGTTCAAGAATGTACTGTTGAATAAGCACAATACGACAGGCTTATTCGAAATGAATATTTACAATATGATGATTGATTTCTATTTCTTGCATTACCATAAATCAAAAAGAGACCAAGTACCGCGAGAAGCACTCCAGCTATTGACAGAGGCTATTGACACAAAACAATTGCAGCCTACTGTTGTTACACTCAATATTATGGTACGTGGTTTGGCTATTCTCAACAAGAACCTGAATGCAGCAGAAAGAATGGTGAATTTATTGAAACAAAAGGGTGTAGACATGAATGAAAGAACAGTTTGGTACTTAGTCAAGGCAGCACATAGACAAGGTGATCATGATAGAGCGCGTCAATGGATAGAGACTTATGAACAACATCATATCATTCAGGGTAATGGTTTAAAACTCTTGAAGAACAAATTGATGAGTTGGCATAGTGTACAAAAATAAAGTGATCTTATATTATATTCATAGTGCTTTCTTCATTATTTTTTCTACTGTCTGTTTAGAGCGTCTCATTCTTGGTTCTTCTGGAACTTCTTGAATCTAATAACATAGTGAGTCAATAGAAAGACAGAGAGAGAAAAAGAAAGAAAGAAAGAACCAAAAGTTACCTTGTATGTATCTTTATCAAATATATAAGGTATAGAGCCTAATGTACCATCAAAACGATTCTTTTTGATATCTAAATATCGCTTGTCGTGTCTTGTCTTTTGGATAATCACGACATTATCTGCTTCTTGACTCACTTTAGCACTGCCAAAGATAGAATGAATATCTAATTCTTCTTGTCCACCACTGTCTTTTCGTGGGTGAACAACAAGTGTGATATGGACATCTTGTTGTGTAGCAAATCGTCTAATTTCAGCAATAGCATGGTCTTGAAGTTCCCATTTATCGAGTGAATGCGTGGCTTGTTGAGACAGCATGAACTGTAGATTATCGAGAATAATGTGTCGAATATCATAAGCATAGACAGCATGGTGACATGCTTTTAGTACATCTTTGATAGCTGTACTACTAAAGAACTTGAGGAAATAGAGTGGTAGCTACACATATAAAAACTTATCAGTGATTCTCTTATGATAAACAAAGGCTTGTTCTACCTGTTCAAATTGATCAGCCACTTGATCAAAATCTTCAGGACTCTTGCTAAGATCTTTTTCTGCAAATTGATACAACATCTTCTTGGCAAGTCGTTTGTTCAAGATCTCAAAAGACCCCCATAAAGTAGGTACGCCTGATTTACAATAGTCTAGACTAAGTTGGCTCATAATGGTTGTCTTGCCTGAGCCAGTAGGACCTGTCAAGATAGTCAATTCTCCTGGTCGATGTCCCTTGAGAATTTGATTTAAAGAAGGCAGATCTTTGGATTGAATGCCGCGAGTTTGTTCAGGGTGAAGTACTTCATTATAGATATCTTCTCTTAATTCATTGAAATCCACAATTTGATCATGTTTAAATTCTTTTGCTTTTGTTAGTATATCCTTTAGGTCTTTATGTTGCATAAGAGCATCATGAGCATTCAAAGGACCTTGTTTATCTCCTTGGCGTGTATTGATCACAAAGCATTTGTGGTCACCTATCTTCCGAGCAAATCGTTCAGCAGCCATTTGTCCTTCAACATCATCGTCTAACCAGAGATACACTCGCTTAAATCGATCCAATAAGGGAAGGACTGATTCCTGAAGTTGATAATTAGCTGAAGGAATAGAGACAGAAGGAATCTGAGTAGCTTGATAAGCAGCCATGGCATCCATTTCTCGACGCGTCAAGATGATACTCTCTGATTCTAAGCTAGCTGTCTGATAACCAAAGAGCCCTTCCACACTGTCTTTATGAGATACTGGAGGATCTGCTTCAACAATCTGGTTGTCCATGTCACATAGCTTAAGTCCTACTGTATCTAGCTTGAACTGGTTGTCGGTGAAACTCAAGGTTGTCTGAGGCAATGTCAAGTACTGTCGATCGTCTTTCTGAATGGTGCCTACACCAAATGCCTCCAATGTATCACTTGAAATACCATGATTGGCTTCTACTTGTGCTAATAAGCTGGTGTTTTCCTTGAGTGACTGAACATAGCGTTGAATATCAGCATCGGATCGTGTCAAGCCTTGTTTCGTGTCATGAATTGATCCAATCGAATCAATTTCATGAGAACCTAGTTTTTTTATCAGCGTTCGAGAGAATTCAGAAAAGGATCCTTTGGTATGGCAAGTGGTGCATTTATAAGTGCCTTTTTCAGTATCCAAATATGCTGCAAAACTGTTTTTGCGTACTCTGACACAATGAGGACAGTTGGTCAGGACGACATTCTTTTCAGTAGTAGGAAGAGGTCGTTGTTTATGTTGATAAAGAAACTGAATCATATTGGACTTGATGTCCGTGGATCCAGTTGCCCATCGACGTGTTGCCATCAACCGTACACAGCCTATGCGTGGCTGCTGAACTATACCATGACGCGATCGTATGAGTGTTACAAGGAGTCTTGACATGACTATCCGTAGTATATAGGAAGAGATTAACGCGATTCAGGTTCCGTTGAAGCCACTTATTATCTAATACAGTCACGAAATAAAGGTTTATTAAAAGTCTTTAAGAATCATGATCATCTCATCCAATCTTTCCTTTGAAGTCTCTAGTCTTTCAACTACTTTTTCCATCTTGGCCAGTTCTACTCGATCAATCTCATTCAACAGTGTCATGTTTTCGATCACATCTTGACGACTAAGTTTATCCAATAGTCTAACGCGCCTCAAGAGTTCTTCATTTTTACGTTGTTGCAGGTTGCCCAGGGTACGATACACATCTTGGAGTAGTTCAGCAAAGCATTTCTCTAGGGACACATAAAGTAAATGAAAAGATCGACTGGGTGCACGATCTGCTGAACGAGGTACTTCCTATGCAGAGTGTCAGTTGGAATTATTTCCAAGTTCATACCTGTATTTCTATTAGATTGTGTGTTATCAGAATACCCAATTTATGCCTGACATCCTTGAGTGGCAACATGGACAACTTTTGTATTTGAGATTCATCTAATTTTCCTTTATCCAACAAGATCCTTACAATACGACAACAGGCCACACCAAATCGATCTGTAATACAACCCTCCAGAATATGTCGTTTCATCAGATAGCGTAGTCTCTTAAAATTCACTGCATATTGGTTTGCACCCAATTCATCTCGTAAAGCCAAGAAACCGCCCGATCGAAGGAGTTGGAAATAGCCTTCCACTACTTGAATGACAGGTGGACTTGGTTGGCCTGGAAGAACAAGATCACCTCGCTTAAATACTTCAGGCTCCAACATGTTGGCAATATGGCTTGCAGTTGTTGAAGCTAATAGTAGTATAGAAGTATAAGACAGTATGATATAACTGAATGCTATTTACGTGAATAATCTTCTTTGATATCTTTCATTTTGTCTCGACCATGGCGAAAGAATGTCTTGATAACAATCCCTGCTGTTTTATTGATTTTTGTAGTTGCAAAATCAGCCATCATCTAACAAGATGATGATCAGTAAACATAAAAAAAAAAAGAGTAGTGTAAAGGCACTTACTAGGTTGCGAAAATAAAGGTTATATTTATGATAGTTGAAAGCAAAGAACATAGTAGGGTCAATCTCATAGATCAGCTCTTTTTTCTATCACTGTATTCATCATACTATTCAATACACACTATGTTTACCTTATCTTCTTGATTCAAAGAAGTGTCTTGAGAAAATCGCTAACATAGTCTATCAGTAGACTACTTTTTTTTGATGCCATTTCCTTACTTTAGCTTCAGATGCTAATGTATCTACAGCCTTGCGTTTCTAAATGATTTATGTCAGCCTAAACTTCATTGGATATTGGGTCCACTTACGATGCCTATGTATTCATTCTGTTCAAACACTGCCTGTACATTGTTCTTTGCTGTCAATTTGATAGTGACAAGATCATTTGCTGTTGTAATCGTGTATTTAGCTAATTCCTTTTGTTCTGCATCCAGAAATTGATCCATGACAGATCGACTGTGTTGAGGCAAGACAGCTGTAATAAACTGGTCCATTGCCATTTTGGTAAATGTTTTTGTATAAGTAGCCTCTAAAAAATAAGATGTCTATTGTATGTCTGTATGTATTTTACCATCTTTATCTTTTGTATCGTTGGTTCTTGCCCATGCTTGTACTTGACTTAATTTGACTTTACCATTCAAGAACAAGAGTTGACATATAGCAGATCCCTTTTCAGATTGTAAAATCACTCAACATTCAATTTATACTTACTGTCTTGCCATAACGTTCTTCTGTGACCCGCATCATTCTTCCCATGCGTAAACGCATTAAAATTTGATTTGTGTTCACTTCATAATAGGTCGCGTCTCTTGGTTTACCTTCTGTTGGTTCTGAGAAATAAACAAGGCTGTGTTGAATAAGTGCTACCAATACTTCTCGCACTCGTTTCACAGAGAAAGTGGTGAATCGAGCCAAGTCATGGAGTGTTGAACGACCCTTTAAGACGAGTTCATGAACAACAAACTAAGACAGATGTGAGTGGTAAAGCAATACGTGATAGGTAGTTACTGCAGAGTGCTCTCCAAAGTCTTCTTTTACTATGTCACGACAGAGTCTTGCTTCAAAAGACATGAATGTGAGAAAAGAACACAAGAATAATAAGGTACCTAATTGCGGCGATTAAAAAATGGTGCATAATCTTTTTTTTTTTTCTTCTTAGTATGACCCTACCAAGCTTAAACATTCCATGTTAAATAAAGTAGAGATAGTCTTCACTTATAGACAAAATATGAAAGATAGTCTTTGGTTCATATAAAAATACAATGGTCTATCTAAGAATAACGGAGATACAATCTCTTGATTCCAAAATTAATTTTTTTTCTTTTCTTTTCTTTTCTTCTGAATCATGGTCAAAATCAGCACAGAAGTACCAAAGAAGGCTCGAAAAAACTTCAGAGCTGGTGTTAGTAAACGACTTCACTCCAAGCTCTCTCCTGATGTAGACGATTTGGTAATGTTTTTTTTTCTCTATAAAAAAAAAGCAAGTGACTGATTGATCTTTAGATTTATCTTGACTTCTTAATCTTCATGGACCAGTTAGTAAAAAATACAGAACAACATGTAGGCAGAAGACGAATGATTGAACCAGAAGACATTGAAGCAGTATTAGAAGTAAAAAAAAAAAAAAAAAACAGGTTTATTGAAATCAGTACTAACGTGTAGTAGACAACACTAAAGCATTTTCGTGGATAAAATGGTCTAGAGTGGATGAGGGCCAATCTCATCTTCTGAATCCTTGTTCTTTTTCTTTTTCTTTTTACTCTTCTTTTTCTCCTTTTTAACTTGTTCTTGGTCTGAATCAATGTCTAATAAAGGATCATACCCTTTTGAAAAATACTTGTCCATTGAAGACACATTGATTCTCACTTTACCTCGTCCTTTGTATTGAACCGACTGAGGCGGTGAAGGGGATCGATGTTTATGTTTGTTTTTGGAGGATGAGGATCGATGATGACTATGTAAATGTTGACCATGGTCCATGGTATCGCGTTCTGATCTGGAGTGCTCTGGTGATGGTGATCTATGTCTTTTGGAAGTGGATCGAGATTCGTGTCTCTTGAAAGGCGATTGTGATCTTCTTTTCTTTGTTTGATGTCGTTCTCTCTCAAGTCGTTCTCTACGTAATCGAGTGACATTTTCTTCATTGGCTCGAATAACCGCCTGATTATGACTGTCTGTTGCTTTAACCACATTCAGTAAGAATCGCGTATTGGGCTTGGGTTTCTGTGTTGGTCTGTTCAGAATGGAATGAGCTTTGTTTCCATCGAGCATGCTTGTGCTTACTCTGGTAAATAGGCTTTTACACCTATGTCTTTGTATTTTTTACGTTTCTCTTCAGCTTCTTTTAAGATCAAGTCAGCTACATATTTATCGACATCTTCATCTGCCACATGTTGAGCACCTGCACCTGCTGCTGCTCGAATCAAGTCAGTCACAACACTATTAATGGCACTCTGTTGCTTTGGTGGCATAAGAAATAAAAAAGAAAGAAAAAAAAAACGAAAATAGAAACAGTCCTCTTTCTTCTTTTGAGATGCATTCTACAAAATGGCCACATTATCTTTACACTGCTTCTCTGTTCTTTTTGATATTTCTGACTGCACTCTGTATTGCCATCTCTGCTTCTGATGTTGTGATTCAGACACTGACGAACAAAGAGTATTCAGGCAATTTTGATTACCGCAACTTACTGGTTGTCAGTAGCAGTTATATTTTTTTAGCTTTGGCTTCTATTTTATTTTCATGCAGTCGACTCTTGACTGTCAGAGCCTCATTACAAGATATCCCTAAGCTCTATATTCCTATTCAACAACAAGATCTACCCAAGGTAAAATAAAACCTAGAGAATGATATCAACTCACTCTGTCAAAGAAAGTATTTTTTGGTATCAATCAAGGGTTTGAAGAAACAAAGTACATCAAGAAACAAGCAGAACCAAGGCCAGAAGATATACAGGCTATAGGTTGGGCTAAACCAGGTAAGATAACTGTTGTTGTCACATGATAAACTCATGATCATTGAAAGGGACTCCTCTTTTTGAAGGGCTTGATTTTAAGCAAGCAGTAGCAAGAACACCCGCTATTGTGGGCAAGTAGAGTAGGATTAGAGTAAGGCTCACTGACGCTTTCTATAGAACAAGTGGCCAAGAGTATCAATCCAGAATACTTTCGCCCATTGTACGTGCCTGTACGACAATATATTGAATTCTTGATCCAACAAAACTTGATTGATAAACAACTGGGTACAGTCTATCTAGAAGGCTATGAACTGGCTCGGTTTAGTCATGCTCCATTCAGCCAAGAGCAATATATGGATATTATGAAGCATTTAGCAGCTATTTTACAGAATATGGGCTACAATATCAAGAATAGTCATATTGAACAACCTGAAGACCATCATTCTATGGTCACGTGCTCTACAAGTAAGAAAAGTGAATTCTCTGTCTATGATGAAGACGAAGTCAGGCATGATATCTATGAATTACTTATGAAAGAAAGATAATTGTTTTATTTTTATGCAAATGTATGTTCTTGTTCTGTTTGTTCAATATATGCTTTTTCATCTTGAGAATGTGTATCTTCTTCTTGTGGTTGCTCATTGGTCTCACTGACATGATGAGCTACAACAGCAATCAAAGGGAAAGAGATAAGCATCAATAGCCAACAAATAAGACATTCCCAGCGTAAGGGGATATTGACAGCATCAATACCAAATGAGATAGCAGCACCAGCAGACTGTGTTGCCTTGTAGAATCCAGCATATCTTGCCAACAGAGAAGCATCGTTTGACATAGCACCCATCAACCAATACATGTAACTTTGATAGATAGAATCTGTAAAGCCATAGAACATATAGAGCACAAAGGGACCACCAAACCCAGCATCTTTCCAACCAATAGGCGTGCTGTAATCATTATTAAACGTCAATTGAAACACAAATCCGCCTGCCCACACACCCATTGATATCAAGAACAGAATAGAAAGTGCCAGTAAGCCACGACCACGACGTGTCATACTTTGATTGTCGAGCAACAAACCAATCAAGAGGGAACCTATGATTTGCATACCCCAATACATGGTATCATTCAATGCTCTTGCAGAGGGATCAAAATAGACAGCATTCACACGAAATTGGTAAGAGTAAAACCAATTGGAAGCTAAAAAGGCAGGAATCAAATAAATCATACGCCATTCTTTCCAGACATGCAATACGCCTTTTAATTCGGTCTTCCAGTGAGATGCTTTGGCAATAGCAACGCGCGTGCCATTGCTTCGAACCACTTGCGACGGTTTAGCGAGTACCAATGAAAAAGCAACACCAATGAGCATCACAATCACAAAGGCAGTATATGTGCCTGTCGATACACCATGTTCTTGATTCTCCAGGTTAAGACAGAGAGCAATGACAGAACCCAAGATGCCACCAAAATTAAATAGAGCCCAAAAGATAGCTACGTATTTACCCTTGTTCTTTTCTTCAGGATAGGACATCATAATAGCACCTTGAGCAGACCAAAATAGACCGGCACAACAACCCAAGATGGCACCTGCAGCAATAACGAAGCCTGAAACTTGTTTACGATCATAAACCCACATAGCAGCACTATAAATAGCATACCCTATCGAGCCAATCTAGGGTACATGAGTAAATATAGATTCATGAATTGTTTCATACTTACAGTCAAAGTATATTTGACACCAACCGTATTTGTAAATGTACCAGCAAAGAAGCCAACAATAGCAAAACAAGCGTACAATGCACCATTGGCTGAATCAACCAAACCTATATTTGAACTCAAAGAACCACCTGCACCGAGTCCTGAAAGGGCATTAAACATACCAGGACAACAGAGACAGACAAGACCTAAAAAAACGACTTGCACAAGTGGTGTATTTATTTTTGTAAGCATGTATAAAAAGGTATAATGTAAACAGATGGAAAAGAGAAAATAAAGAAAAAAACAGGGATGCGTCAGGGTCTCTTTTTATAGCATGTTTAATAAATCAGGGTCTATCCAATGAAACATGACCGTTTGTTATCAAACTTGAAGCGGTTTAAAAAAAACAAGCTAGTGTGAAAAAAAGAAAAAAAGAAAGAAAAAAAAAAGAAATCTCTTCCCCGCATTTTCCCTTCCTCTTTTTTTGTGTTTTAACACGTCTCTCTGCTTTTTTTACATTGTAAAAGGATGAAAAAAGAAAAAGGTAAAAAGTACCAATTAAACAAGAAGATGACTGTACAAGGTGATTGTCTAAAAAAAAAAATTCCAAATTGCATACAAAAATTCCCATCTTTATTCGTTAGGTAATCTTTTTTATACGTAATTTGCATCCTATTTCCAAGCTGGAAAAGAAGGAAATACTGGGCAGAATTCAATCGAGAATTCCCACACTTTAGAACCCTGAGACCAATAAGAGAAGGGATTAGAAAAAGATAAGGGTCCCCACAATTTAAGGGTTCCTTACCTAAATTATATATCAAATTTGCACTTCATTGAAAAAAAAAAATTCATGTGGAAAAATAAGTACTAGAAATTAAGCAGAGTATGAGATACATGAATAATATTTATATGGTTACTTACATCAAATTATAAGAAAAAGCAGAGACTACAAGGGAGATAAAAGAGAGAAATAAATTAGTAACAGATATGGACTAGTGTATACAAAATATTAACACAGATATGAGGAAGTAGTTGAATAATTCTCCCAATTGCATAGTTGCTTCAACTCATTATACTCATATTACTACACAATATGATCAACCAATACCAAGCTGTGATTGATACCAAAGGTGGCCATAATCGTTGTTGATTTCTTTCTATATATATTATCGCAAAATGAACAGCTCAACGAATCATCCACAAAGAACTGAACGCTTTTAGGTATTATCTTGGCATATTAAAGGGCTCTTGGGTCATGACACCTTTGTTGCTGAGGTCGAATGACAATAAAATTGGATTAATTCTTATTTCGGTTCAGTGTATAACTGACAAAGATCGAATATTGTATACTTTAGTTGTACAAGTATGGGGCACAAAACGCTAAAGTCCTCTGCATGCATTCATTTCGTAAAGTATGATTTTTTCTCTTTCTTTCTGTTTTGGCGTACGAATTACAAGCATGATAAATTACATCAAGGCAATCTGCAAAACCAGCCTTAAAGGCTTAATACAAAAATATCCCAATCTGACAAATTTTAAATAGTACAAACACATCTAAAGAGAAAGGGAGACACTGTATAGAAGGAAATCGCTTTGATAAGACTAAGAGAGATATGCTACAATGAAATATAGCATTTGTATAGTGAGGTTAATAACCAGAATATAACAATGGCCACATATACTGAATACTTGGTGAATGAAAAAGTTCGTTCAAGGCAAAGCAATAACATCGGAATCTTAAGCATGATTAAATTGGTTTTGACACAAGACAACAAGGCTTTTACAACATGCAACCATAAACTAGTATAAGCTTAGTAGTTAACGACTTTTTAAGTTGCACAAGACACTTACTGTCATTTACATTTTTATGTATGTAGTATGGCCCCATATCGACATATTTTTTACTAAAGGGCACTGGAATATAATGGCAAAACAAATGGTCTTTTTTGAAAGGAGGGTTTTTTTTTCTATTAGAAAGTGAGATAGTCAACAGAAAAATACATTGCTTCATCTTTAAGCTCGTTCCTTGCGTGTTCATACTCATAAATGAACCTAATATTTCTTTTCAAAGTCTATAACTATAAAGAATAAGGAAAATAACAAAGTATCATGATAAGTACAACTTTATTCTTGAATCATCTGATGACGTTTCTAAGCACAAACAGTAAAGCAAATTTTAAAATGTGGACTCTACCTTTTATAATGACATTTGATATAAACATATCATGTGTCTAATAGGCGTTTAATTTTCAATCTATGAATGTTTAAAGCATCAAGTTTATTATAAGATCTTGATCTATAAACAAAGTTTCTTTTACAATCCATTTTTGAATAATTAGGACAAACATGATGCCCAATGCAGGCGCTAGTGTTTATTAGAATAAGCCACCATTTCTGCCTTCCAATTCCTTTTTTTGAGTTCCTTATGTTTGAGCATACATAAAAGAACTGATTTGTGCTATTTTCAAGTATTTCAGTGCTTTCTTTCTATTTTTTATTAATAGACTTTTTGGCTGTCTTTTTGATTTTGTGCATATCTGATGCATCAAAGTATCATTCGCACAAAAAAAGGGCTCACTTTCGAAGATTGAATGCTTGATGGGCTAATCTCACAAAAAACCATTGAGAAGTGGTAAGTTCTCCTTACGCAGAGAAAAAAGTATCAGTGTTTGAAACAACCAACCCATCTCCTACAAGACATCCATTGTAAATTATGTCCAAAACTACCCTCTCTGTCATCAAAGTTGTCAAGTATTACAGTAAGTTCTACTCATAAGCAATCAGTGTTTAAGCAGTGTTTTGAGAGCTTTTGCTCTAGATGTCATATAAAATGCGTTAGAAATGGGTCTTTCTAAAGCACCTTATACTATTTTGAGCGCTAGAGAGCATGTCGAGATAGAAAAAATAAGCATTTTCTAATGTAAATGTGGGGGGGGGGGAAATGAATATAGAACATACCAGATGGCGTTTTGTAGAGATTGAAATAAACAACTTCAATTCTTCCTCCTGCCGTATCAGAAATCGAGCTTTTGCTTGGAACTGCATCAAGACGCAGATAGTGGGCTCTGATACAGTGACAAAAGTTATAGATCTTTGCTTTCTGAGTCTGTTGATATGCAGGATACAACAACCTTCCTGCCAAGATATTGAGTAAAGATGCAAGAACCTATAAAAGGGTTTTCGCTGTTACCATACTATCTTTATAGTACAACTGTTAAACAAACACATTCACCATAAACTAGAGCTTTCGGCGCTTATTTTAAGCATTTAAGCTTGTCAATAGCTCTATTTTTTGTCTTGTAACATTAAAAAAAAAGAACAAGAGTTGTCAATCTTAAGATTTTTTATGGGTAAATACCCTTTGGTCAAATGGTCAAAATGACCATTTTTTACAAGTTGCCTTTTTTTTTTTTTTTGGTTCAAATCAACACCAAAGGTGCCGTAGATGTTAGTAAACATTGTCTTTAGGTTTCTAAAGTATTTTTGCGTATAGAAATAGACTTTGAAGCACCTTCATTTGCATAAGAAAACGACAAAGATTTGTATGGATTGCTACCTTCTTTTAAATTGCTAAAGCATTGATTTGTCTTGTGTCTCTATTACAACAATAATATAGTTACAAATAGATTGTTCAAATAAAATATCTTTTCAACACCCACACACCCACACACATTTGAACCATTGAGTTTGACGAGTCTAACCAACCGAATCTTTGTTGGGTTGGCTTAATTTTTATGGCACTATTCAGTCAAAGTTTATAGCTCAAGTGCTTTATTCATAAGGTGTAAAAGTTGGATTTAAACTCAATACAGATACTAAACAAGGGTGCACTTGTACTTGGAATGGCTTTAATGGTATATGTTGACCATCAATAGCAACATAGGCATCTTGACCAGGCTTGATTTTAGGTGTCAATCGAAACGCTTTGATTTTGTAGTATTCCACCTGTATATATTTAGGTTTAAAGAAAATGTACTGCCCTACTTACATGGTCTAAATCCATATGCTTGCCTTTATTCACATGATTTAGAGCACTCAATTGTTTCCACATGCTTTGTTTAGCACGTACAATGATCAAGTCCAATAGACCATCATTGGGTATAGCACAAGGATGCGATAAAATACCACGGCTCAATAAGGGCACTTTACTCGCCAAAAAGATACAAATACTGTCCTTGATAGTCACCCAATGTTCAGGCACAGGTTCAGTGAGACAAGGTAGTGCATCTTGCTTGGGTTTCAGACTATGCCATTCAGCTACATGGCTCATCTGATAAGATGCTTTTATCTTTGTCTTATCAGATTCAATCACCCATAAAGATGCTTCCATCTCATACGATGTATTAGACAAGATGCCTTGCAATAAACCCACTACTAAACGATAGTCACCCATCCATCTATAGGATGCATAATTTAGTCCATAGCTTATTGAATGTTACTTGCCTTAAATAGTCTGTTCTTAAACCAGCCATACCAAAATATTGAAAAAGAAATGAATAATAATAATGATGATCATCATAAGTTACGGAGCATATATCTAAAGCTAAAGGACGACCTAGTTTCACACATAAGCACTCATGGTTATCCATGTCTACTACCTTTAATGATCTGGAGTGCACAGTGGATTGGATCAAATCCCTTTTTAGAGCCATGCATAGAGATAGATAACGCATTCGTTGTACCAGCAGGAATGACAGCCAATGCTATTTTCTGAATCACGTGATCTGTTCTTTGAAGGAGTCCATTGATCACTTCATGAATCAAACCATCTCCACTCACAGTGACAATAGCATCCCATTGTTCCAAGTCTCTTTTGTTTTTAGCAATATCAAACGCATGATTTTGATGTTCTGTGTCTAAAGTCATTCAGTCATTATGGTGAATTAAGATAACTTACATTGTATTTCGAGTGTACATTTAGCTGCCTCCAACAATGGTCTCACACTCTCTTGGAATATAGCTTTGGCTCTTTTTTGGCCACTGAATGGATGGATCAAAACCAACAGTTTCTTTTCTGCAATTGAGTCTAGATAGGCAGCATAAGCACCATGAGCTATCATAAGTCACTCTAACCTCGATAAACACAGTCCATAATGTACTGACAATAATCAATGGCTTTTTGTTGTTCATTGTCCTTGACAGTATACATAAATTTATAAATAAAGAATGGTTCTGAGACTAAAGTAGCAATTTGAATCATATTGGTTTGATGATGATACATGGCATGTAGAATATGAAGATAAGATATAGACACTACTTGAACAGGTGTAGTAGTATTGGTTGGTATACAGGATCGTGATGATCTTGCTAATCAAGTGAATAAGAAGATCAGCTTACTCATGCTTACCTCTCTTGTGCTTAAAATAGGGGTCTGTATCTCCTTGTATTAGAAGGTGTGTGTTATTGAATGTTAAAGTGATATCTTTGCATAGTTTTTCAACATGAATGATTTTTGGATCCATACTAGAAGAAGAACCATATTAGGACACATGGTGTGCCTTTTTGTATAATTCAAAGACCGACCGAAGATCCTTTTTGAAATTTTGACAGTCCTTTAGTCAAGTGTATTCGATAGGAAAGAAAGAACATTGTAGCAAATATAAGTTCATAACCTTGCTTCTTAGACATAGAGTGACTTAAACAATGAAGTTTGATGATAACAACTTGAGAAATAAAAACATATATCAATCCAAGGGAGCATTTTTCATTTCAGGAGGTAACATACCTACTTACAAAATGATTGTCTTTCTCATGTGTCAGCATCTTTACTATAAATAGCAGAGTGATTCATTGTAATAGACAGTATCAGTCAAGTCATAAAGTCAATAAAGTATAGATTCTCATTAGTACAAGTAAAGTATCATAAATAAATAAAGGTATTTCACTGCATGAATCTTTAACCCAACTGTTTCTCAAACTCATTTCCAAGTCCGCACATAGATATAGCACAGAACACTTTTTATTTTTTTATAGAATTTACATGGCAATACTTGCTTTAAGTGCTCGAAGTTCAGCTTCTTCATCATCTTCTTCAGGTGTAACTTTATGAGCTAAAACCATAAGTAAAACAAGAAAAAGAATATATGACTTACCAGGCACATGCATAGGCACATTGGGTGCAGATACAACCGGTGAAGGTGTCTCTAACATCTTGGCATCTAATTCTTCTTGTTCCAATTCTTCCAGTTCATTCAACAATTCATCCTATTTTCATTTATTTGTTTAAGCATGTCTATTATATATATACACACAGAGAGAGAGAGATAGTACTTACTTCATCTAGTTCATCACCCACATTGACTGGTCGAGAAATAGCTTCCGAAATTTCATTAGCCACGTCCATTTGGTCACGAATATCATCCATCGTAGCATCCACCTTATCAATATCCCTTTTTTTTGATTTTGTTGGGTCAATAATTATATATACATACACACACACATATATATATAGATACTTACATGGAACCATGAATATTCTTCATGGCTTCAGCACCAGCACGCATAGCACTCATGGTTTCCAAGTTAACATTAGCATTTTCAATAGCCATCATTTGAGTTTCAATCGTCATACGAGCCCCATTGATTTTCTCGATATTGGCTTCATAAGTCTTTTTTCTCTTAAGTGCCATCAAAGCAGCTAGACAGAGATGAATATAGACATGTATAGCGATATATACTTACCTCGTTTGTTTTTGGTAGCATTAGCTTTAGCAATCTTGAGTTCATTCTCTGCTTTTGTCTCTAAAAAGGCTTGTCTTTTCTCCAACATGCCTAGTGTTTCACGTAATTTGTAGATGGCATCCTTGGCTGTTGTTTTTGACTTGGCTTTACCAAAAAAGAGATTCATTATAATATGAGATGAGAGAAAAAAAAAAACAAAAAAAAAAAGGGCTACCTGAAAAATAAGATACGTCATGTGCATACGGGTAGAGTCTACCTTATTTGGACATTTTTTTTTTGAGGCCAGGTTGGCTTGTCTGGAGATTTTTTTTTTTTTTCATTTCTTTCACATAATACAATGGCTGTTACAAGTCGTTTAGCTGATATTGCTCAAAAGTCTGCTGTTCTTTTGTTGGCTGGTACAACAGGTAAGAGATACAACATAGGAAGGCCTATTTATATTGTGTTTAGTGTATTATATGGTGAATGTGGGTATGCTTGTCAACCGTCGTATGGAACTAAAGAAACAAGGCAAACTTCATGAAGAATTGGTAATGACTATCTACCCTAGATTTATTCTTATTTATTCATCCTGTTTTATAGGCACGTCTGAATACAGTGCTTGAGAATCAACAAGCTGAAAAAGCACTTCATGCTGAGACTTCAACTACACCCACACCTTTCCCAGACACCTCACAACCTGGTTCTACTCCCAGAGACCTTTAACTTCTATTAAATAAATGATTCTACATTATATATATGTTTATTGATGGAATTCTTTGGCAAATGTCTCTGCTACAATTAAAGGAAAGACCAGTGTAGCATCAGCATAGACCTTGCATGATTTACTGTCTGCACGGATTTTACCCCAAGACACAGCTTCATCAGGACGTGCACCTGCATCACTTCCATCAAATTCTTGTGCTGTATTGATATAAACTGCATAATCAGCACCATTACGCATCAGATTAGCGTTACAGATATGATGTTTGATAATACCACCACCCAAGATAATCATGCCTGTCTTTTTAGCAAACACAGCTTGGTTATTCATGGCACGAATATCCGCATTGATGTCTACAATCAGACCAGGATTCTTGTAGGAATGGAAATAAAGCATATCACCCAGACTACCATCTGTAATTGCAGGGCAAAAGACAGGAATCTTGTGCTTGGATGTCCAGTAATAAATACTAGATTCATCTTTGATCTCTTCACCTAATAGTTGAATCATGCTTGAGGGTGTCCAGACCTTGTTTTTCTCTTTTTGTTCTTGTAACATGGCATCAAAAATAGGAATAACCCAGTCTTCGAATTTACAGTAGTTGTTGTTGGGTACCAATAAATTGCCAATACGGTTCAATCCCTTTTTACGTAAATCGCTGCCCTTTAATGCAAAATCACCTAAATAGGTAGGTGCAAGGCATTTGATAAAGTCTTCTTCTACACCCCCTGCAGTAGCCACAATCACATCAACCATTTGATGCTGTACTAAGAATCGAATGATTTCACGTAGACCAGAAGACACCAAGTTGGATGTATAGCCTAAAAAGATTTTACATTTGGTCTCTGCTCTCACTTTAGGATCCAGGTATTCTTTTGCTTCGTCCGCTTGAATAGGTTCATCTGATAATCTCCATTTTCTCTAATGCATTTCAATGAATATTAGCCTGATAGTGTTCTCTTACCATCTCTTTCACAATATCTATGGCTTCTCCAAGACTACTGCCTTGATAGCCAATTTGTTTATAAGCACCCAATAAATCAGACAATGAAAGCTTTTTGTTGAAATCAGGTCCTTGAATAAGCACAGAACCTTCTGGCATGTCGACTGATTCGACAAACACAGCATCCAATGCACCTGTAGGTTGATCTGAATTAGACATGATTAAAGAAAAAAAAAAAAAGATTTTATTCCAGTCACAAGATATAAACATGCAACTGGTTGCACAAGGCGGGTTTTCTCTTTATATGTTTTCTTTTGTCTTGTTGGCCATCGTGGGTCTATTGGTCTCTGTCCAATTTAGCTTTTGCTCTCATGTTTGGTTTGGATTGTGTATGCTTTTATTATTGATATGTGCTTTATTAGCACTCCATACGATCGTATTGTATGTCTATATTACCTACATTGTGTCTCCACAAGTTCATCATCGCATCGACACGTTTAAACCACTCAAGTTTGTCTACCAGTCTCGCCCTCAAGAACCCAACACAGTTGAGCCCCTGAGCGAGCATGAAGAACTCAATACTGCCTTCAATACCCTCTTGTCATGCCTGATGCGTGATTTCATTCAGTCTTGGTACACGCACATTTCAGCCGATCCCTCTTTTTCAAACACCGTTGATCGTCTGATACGTGCCTCTGCATCTCACCTGGCCCAACGACTGTCTTCAGCCGACCTGTTACACATCTTACTGAACCGTATCTTACCACGCATCACGTTCCACATTGCCGAGTTTCGTGCGGCTGAAGAATCCTTGCGTGGCAAGTCACTCGAGCGATCTGTCACCCAATCCGATGAACTCGATCTCTTGTTAGCCAGTCGGTTTCGACAAGGCAAGCTCCATAAAGCCTTAACGACAAGTGCTGTGACGACCAAACCAACCGAGATGGTCTACTTAAGAGGCTTGATGGAACGTGTGTTGCCGCTCGTGATCGATCCGCATGAACTGGCCAGTGGACCTGTGCGTGTCGTGGTCCGAGAAATCGTGAGTCATGTCGTGTTGCAGCCTGTGTTGGATATGTTGGCTGATCCTGATTTCTGGAATCAGACGATTGATAGTTATGTAAGTGACAAGTGGCTCGTATGGATCGACTGACCATGTTCCTTAGTTGGGGAAAGCCATCATGGAACAAAAGATGGTGCGACAGTTACGTGAAGTATTGAATCGACATTCCACGCATGAAATTGATCAAGTCATGGATGTACTTACACAACAAGATACAGCCGTGGATCTGTCTTTCAAAGAGGAAGATGACATGGCCAAAGAACGAAAGAGTCCCTTGGATCCTTCTTCTTTCTCACCTACCAGTAAAAAGAGCGTGTTTGGGATGGACAGGACAGGCAAACGTACATTTCAGGAATTCCTCAAGATTATTCAGGAAGAAAAGAACTTGTTGGACCTAAAGCGAGTGCGTAATGATATTCAAACACAAATCAGAAAAAAAAAGACACTGATTGGTAAGTGACATGTAGGCTATGACTCAACAAAAGTAAAAAGCGGATAGAGACCCTGAGGAAATTGTGGATGGAGAAAAAGTACAAGATGTGATGATGTATATCAATCGTCTTGGGGTAGCTAAAAAAAGAGTGGATAAGCGAATTGCTACTTTGTCAGGCGAACAATTTGATATTGTAAGTGAACAGTGAACCCATCTGCCCTTGTGGCTTATTTTGCCTTAGCGAAAATCAACTACCCAGTTATTCTCTAGCAGGAAGCAGAGTACCAGTCAATCTACTGTAGGGATGGGTCTCAGAGACATCTTGACCAACACATCAGGTTTATCTTATTTTATGGAATTCATGGATCGACGAGGTGATATGGTCAAACTTCAATTCTGGCTAACCGTCGAAGGATTCAACAGTATGGTCAATCATCCTTTAGAGACATTCTTACAGGACACCAAGATGGTCCACGACATGTACTTTACTGAATTAGCACCTCATCGCCTGCATGTGTCTGATACGCTTGTGTATGATCTAAAGCAAAGTATTGCCTCTGCAGAAGCCTCGATGACTCAACCCAGTCTGTTCTCAGATCATGTACGTGAACTGGGTCTACGTCTGTCTCGTATTCAACAACATGTCTTTTGGGAGATTGAAAAAGAGCATTTCCCTTACTTTAAGCGATCTGATCTTTACTTTAAGTTCTTGTCGTCTGCACCTCCTTTGCATTCACCTGATATGGACACACGACATAGTCTAGACGAATCAACACGCTATAACCAAAAGACACGTCCAGCATCGATTCATGAATCACCCCGCATGACGCCAGAGACATCATCTTATTTTGAAGAAAGACCAAGAGGCCATCAACGTGCCCTTAGTGATTCCATCAAACCCAAGTTTTTTTCGTTTTCCAACATGTTTGGACAAGAACGACCTTTATCAGTGCCTTCTTCTATCAAATCATTAGAAGATGAAGATGAGTTTCTGATGGACATGGTCGTACCCAATCGACTGGTCAGAAGAAACACAGTAGATGCAGTAGAAGCAGAATTACGATCTATTCTGGACGGCAATACCATGGACACAAAGACAGAGCCAGAAGAGAAACCGACAAAGCCGACTCATTCTGTCTTGTTGTTGGGTGGTTCTCAAGTCAAGTCCAGTACGGCTTTACCTGTTCAGAATGTCTATACACTGCCTAGCTGGACATCTTCAGGGGGCACGAATACCATCAGTGAAATTGAACATGATTCGTTAGAGTCCATGACAGGCAATGATAGCAAGAGTTCAACAGAAGAAACCTCCAGTATGACCTCTTATTCCTCACAAACCAACGTCCATTTTGCTCCACCAGGCGATTTGATGCTAGCCACCAAAGTCCAACAATTATCTGAAGAAATCGAGAAGCTTACAGCCCAAGAAGCCATTGTGGATGCCCTGATCACAAAAGCAGAATCACAAGAGAAACTGGAAGAACTTCGTATTCTCAAGAAATCCAAAACAATGTTCCGACAAGAACTGCAGCAGATACAATACCAAAAATCACAATACGAACTTCAAGAATCTGAAAATGTCTTATTGCCACAACGCACACAGATTCATATTACCAGTGCCACCATTGGGTCTGATAAACATGGTGAATTTGCACTGTATGTGATTGAGATTCAACAGTTGGGTCTGGATGGAAATTATGCGTCAGGCTGGATTGTGGCCAGACGATACAGTGAATTCTTGGCACTTCACACTAAACTCAAAGAACTTTTTCCTGCTGTTCGATGGATGGAATTTCCTGGTCGATGGCCGTTTATTAAACTACAAAAGCCCTTAGTGGAAACAAGAAGAGTGGCCTTGGAGAAATATCTACGTCAGTTAGTGCAAGATAAAGAGATTTGTGCCAGTCAAGAGTTTCGCTTGTTTCTGTCTCAACAAAACATCTTTGTCAATCCAGCAGAAGATGAATCATCTGTTCAGCATACAGTCATGGCCACCAGTACATCCAGTGCTTCCCTACAGTCTCTGAGTTCTCCTTCTGTTCAAAACCTACAGAAATCCATGGCAGATGACAATCTTCAAAAAAAACCCTCAAAAGGATTCATGCATCATATCTACAAGACAGTGGCTGCTGGCATTGATGATATTCTGATTGGTCCTTCCATGTTGGATTTAATCACTCAACGCTTGGGTGAACAAGTGATGGAATTCTCTCAACAAGAATCACCTAAAATGATGCTACAGAATAACTACCCTGAAGTCATCAAAGAAGGCATCACACGATTTACAGAACCCTTGTGTGATTTGTTTATTGAAATGTTTGAATTAAAAGACAAGACAAACTGGTTAAGAAGACAGGCCATTGTGATTATTATTCAACAAATCCTGGAAGGCACTATTGAACGAAAACTAAGGGAGACAGTCAAGTATTTGGGTTCTTTACCAATGCTTGTGTTCTATCTCAACAAAATGACAGATAGTTTATGGCCACAAGGTGGGCCATTCACATTGAAAGAACCCAGAAAACTTGAAGAAAAACTTCAGACAAGAGAAGAAGCGAATAGAAAATTATCCACTTGGCTTCCGGGTAACTCCATATATTTCTAGTGAATCTCAACTCATACTATCTATTTAGATATGCTGGGGAATATGGTCGGCAGACAGAATGCACGAAGAGGGGCACGACGATTATTTACTGTGCTTCAGAACAAACGTTTAAATCAAGATTTAGCTTATACCTTATTGGATGAAATGATCTATGCTTTATTTCCTGAATTAAACAGTTGATGTGGCTTCTTCCATGACTTCATCCTCCTCTTCTTCTTCATCCCATTCTTCTTCAACATCATATTCTTCTAATTGATCCATGTCTACCACATTGCCTTTGGATTGTTTAAACATATCATTTCATGTGTTTATTCCTTACCTAGTTGTTCAATATAATTATCAGCCACTTCACTTAAGGGTTGATCAAAGGACATCGCTTCTTGAACTGCTCTTTCTCTATCCTCCTCCTCTTCTTCCTCCTCCTCCTCCTCTTCTTCTTCTTGTCCTTGATTTGCTTTTTCTCTTTCAATGTCTTCCATTAATCCCTTCTCAATATCCTCCATGGGTTCTGCATAACCTTTATCTACAATCGAGAAATACTTGGCTTTCAATGCTTTACGAATACGGTCAAGCACACAGTGATAATAATAACCGCTGTATCGCTTATAATTATGAGTTGATTCAGGTTATCGAGATGACTTACAGAACAAGTATCCTTTAAATAAGCAGGATGAGTAATAAGTGGTGCTATTTCAGGATCTTTAATATCGCATAATTGATACATTGAAGTACGGCCAGGTGCTATTTGACCATCAAACTGATACACCTCATCTTCCATACTAGACCTTGTCTTTAGCAAGATATTAATGACATTATCTACTTACCTGGGTTCTTCTGTGATGGTTTCTGGTTTGATATCTATACCAAAGTCTGGTTTAGGTCGCTTGACATGTCTCCATCGTGTCCTGATATTGACTCTTCTTCTGACATCTACTTGTTGATATCTTGGAAATCATAAGCAATAGATATGAGTTAGCTCAGTATACTTACATGTGGTATTTTCTATCTTTTCTAGGATCAACACCATATTTCACCCAACAATCACGCCATGGACCTGATTGAAATGTATAGGCTACATGGTTTAATACACTGTCCTAAGCGTATCAGTCATCGCCTTAAGAAACCTAGAGTTCACTTGCCTTCTCATGAATTTTTGATAGCGAGGGTCTGTGGAACACTTGAGTGCATAGCGAGACCAAATAGGACGTTGTTCAAACAATTCCACTAATGCCTTATGAAGTTCAGTTTGGTATTCATGATGCAAAGAAGGCAATGTATGCCATGGTTGAATAGGCACATTGTCCTCTTGAAATCGAATAACAGTCGAATGACTGCTTGAGACTTTTGTTCTGTTGATCAATTTGATTTGGAACTAGATATATCAGTATGATTGTATTCCTCCCTCTAACTAATCTCAAAATAACTTACAGAACCATCTGGTTGTCTGACACGGACACGCAACACAGGTGTATTTTGTCGATACCCATAATCAAACAAGGCCTCATGAGGAGTAAAGACAGGTGGAGGCAATGTCTCCAAATCGTCTGCCACAAGGTCCCCTTGCTCCATTTCAAATCTTATCAATGAATCCACTCTGCCTTTACCCAAATCCTCTTTTAGACGACGAATACGATTCTGTTGAGGCACATTGTATTGAAAATCAGCCAAGGCACGATACCGTATGGTTTTGGTTATTGTGCCCATAATGTCTGTCTTGTAGGGTCCTATGGTTTCTCCTGTTGATTTCTTGACGCGTCGAGTGACTTTGACAAGTATCTTACTGCTGTTGATGACATCACCTCGAATAGGGTGAGCAAAAGGATGAGTACGATAATGCAGGTCAACCGAAGTATCTGTCAATAAGGCTTCACTCAGGGTTTTGATGCCTCCTAGTTTTTGAATAGCACGGTCTGGATTTTTCACATAACCCGGGTATTCAACACATAAGAACTGGTTGTCTGGAATAGGAAGTGTAGGTGCTGTTGAATAATCTGGCATATAGAAAGAGAGAAATGAAAAAAATGACTTTTTCTTTTTTTTAACCTTTTATGAAAAGCGGTCACTTTTTTTTTTTATTCCTGTTTGTATGCATGAATTCAGTGCAACCTTGTCCAACAGAAATAACTATTTGATATTGAATAGACTCAAACTTACAAAAGAAAGAGCCATATATAGACATATATTCATTTTAGCCCTATTTATAAAAAAAAAAAAAAAAAGGGGGAGGGGGCGGGCCCAGACAATCACTATAAAAAGGACTTTTTTTTTCCGGACTTTATAAATTGTTGTTATTTTTTCTTCTTACGTTTATTCAATGGCAGAAATAGACCCTTTATTGAACAGAACAAGAGTGATAGAGACATATACAGTACAAGACGTGGAAGCTGATCAGCCTTTTCTTGTCATAAAAAAAGAAAAGAAAGTATGGTATTGGACAAGTGATTCTTATGCTTGGTCTTTGGCTGCACTCCTTTTGTTATTCACTACATTTACAGCTTTAGAATATTTAGTTATCAAGTCCAGCTTACCCTCCATGAATCCGTATGTATCATCTCATACAAAAGTCGTTTCTTACCCCCTAGTATAGTGAGGATAGAGACGATATTAAATTTCCAAAAAACTTGGAGGACCTTCGAAAGTTGAATGCCATTTTATCAGTCTATATGGAGCAACACTTGATGCAGGTCTATACCATTTTCTTCATAACTTATATATAGTAAGTGTAACTGTTGACAATCAAGATCCTGACTATCTTGTTAGCCTTCAAAGCTTTTCTATACCTGGTTCTATGTGGTTATCTATCTTGGGTGGCACTTTGTTTCCTTTCTGGCTTGCCTTATTGACCGTAGCCACAGTAAGTAACATGATTGATGCATGGATTGACTTATAATTCACAAAGTGCTCTGCTCTAGGTGCCAGTATCGCTTATATTATCTCGGGTAGTTTAGGCTCAGTCGCTATCATTCGATTGTTAGGTGACCGATTATCCAAATGGAACGAACAGGCAAGTTTATCATTTATTAATTTTTTTGGTCTATCATCATTTAACATAGGCTCTGGTTTAGTTAGTACAGCATAAACAACACATGCTCAATTACATGATTGTCTTGAGAATATCTCCTTTACCACCCAACTGGACTGTCAATCTAGGCTCACCTCATTTGGGTGTGCCATTCTGTAGTTTCTTTTGGGGCACTTTTCTCGGTGTCATACCTCCTTCTTTTATTCATGTTCAAGCAGGTGCTGCTCTAGACCGGTTATCGTCTACTGACAAACTACTTACGCCTGTGAATATCACGTGTTTAATGGCAGTAGCGATGGTGGCACTTGTACCTGTCTTTGTTCGTCGACGATTTCAAAAATAATAATAATAATAATAATAATAAAAACAACGTCACTTTCTATTCTTTTTTTTTTTTTCTCAATAAAGTATACGATGGACCAAGAAGCACAAAAGAGAAAAGAACGTTTAGCTGCTTTAAGAAAAAGAAAGCTCGGTGATGAATCCAATAGATCAACAAGCGATGCTGAAAAGTAAGCAGAGGATAGGATACCAGTTTGATTGATGCTTTATAGAACACTCAAATTTAGAAGTTATACACCTCACGATGAACAACTCTTACAACACGTCGAGATAGCCACACCTGATACTATTGGCAATACAGTCGAAGAAGAAACAAAACACTTGACAAAAGAAACTTTAGCACAAGCACAAGAAAAGCAAAAAGAAGAAGTGGTATGTAAACAAAATGGCATACGTGGCTCATCAAGTAGGATTTGTTTAATCTAGCACCCAAAAAACCCAATTGGGACTTAAAACGCGACGTTGAAAAGAAGCTTGAAAAACTCGATCGTAGAACACAGCGTGCTATCTATGAGATTATTCGTATTCGACTTGAAGGTGATAAACATGCTAATCTGGCTGATATCGTAGCCAATGCAGAAGCCCAACAACAGTTTGAGGCTCAACATGCAGACTTGTAAATAAAATCTTTATTTGACGATGCCTGATTTTTTTTTTCTTTCTTTCAAACACGGACGATACAAAGGAGGATGGATATGGAAGAACATGGATCATTTTATCTCTTTTTTCTTGATTATAAGCGAGTATCATGGTTGAATAGATATGAAGACTAGGAAATTGAATGGGTGTTGTAAGAGACATAAAGAATGAACCAAGAGGATTTAATATGTATATATGTATATATATATATATATCAATCATGGTATAAAAGAATGAATAGAATGATACATTTGTTCTTTTTTCTTTATGTTGAAAAAGAAAGTAACTTTTGAGAGTGTGAATACGATCAAAGCTGAACCCTTGTTGGTCAACAACAATCAAATTAAACAAGAAGTGAATGATAAGCCAGAATGGCATCAAGAATCTGTGGCCATCCCAAGAGACGATGTACAACTGATTGCCAATACAAGAAAACGTATGCCTCATAAGACTAAAGCAGCCAAGCAAACATGCTTAACTGATGGTCTTCCTCGCAGTAAATCCATCATGACTCAATACAGAAAACTACTGGACTTGCATGGCTGTAACAGAGACATGCTCTTTCGTCGCTTAATCTATCAAGACTATAAAAACAAGCCTGAGGAAAGAATCTATCGATGGAATTTTGCTTTTCGATTCTGCGTATGGTTTGTGGTCAAGAAACATACCAAGATTAAACCATGGATACTGGCTTCCAAGGACAAGATAGAGAAATGGATCTCATTCGAAGAATTACAAGGCTTAAGTCAGTTCTTGACAGATCATGCCATCTCTTTCCAGTTACTTCAAGGTCCCTTGGCAGATGAGGCTGTTGGCTTATTTCTGAAGAAATCAAATCGATTGGCCATCAAATCCTTTTTATACACTATGTGTGCTTTTCTGTATACATTTCTGCCTATCCAACATTACCATAGTCGATTTCATCCAGACCAATTTTCTATTATTGCATAACATTAAAAAAAAAATAAGCCCTTTATCTTTTTTTTTTTTTTTTTTTTTTATCATGTCTCAAGACGATTTAAGCCAATCTTTAGCCAAAACACATATTGAAGAAACCAATCTGATTGACTTGGAAGACAATAAAGAGTAAAGTTTTATGATTCAAACACGCTCCTCATTTCTTTTCTCTTGTAGTGATAAACCAAAAGGCAAGCAGCTAGGGATGCACTTTCTTATTCACATTCTTTATAGAATCCCCACGTCAATATCAAGCAGATATACCCATGTTTGATTTCCATCGATTCCTAGACCAAATGAAACAACCCAGTGCTGAACCTATTGCTCGTTATACAAAAGGGTACAATCATCATCCCAGTATTTGTTCCTAATATGTTAGGTTTATTGCTGCTTTCTATCGAAGAGAAGCATGGACAGTACAAGAACAGATTCGATTCATTCAGGATTTCCTTCATGTAAGTCACCTTTTTTGTTTCTTGTCTTGATGTGTTGATTTATATTCTCCATCTAGTTTACCTATGGACGCATGAGGGAATGTGATGTATGGCGAGATATTTCAGATAAAGAATTCGAGAATGCCAAAGAAGGCATGGAGAAGTTGGTCATGAATCGATTGTATCCCATGTAAGTACAGAAAAAACGACAACCTTATTCAGTCTCTTCAAGTACCTTTTCACCCAGTACAATGGATGATGTAGAAAAAGATAGTATTCTTCATCATAAAATCAAGATTTTTAGATGGATTCGAGAAGAGCATTTAGATATACCCGTTACAGCAGATAATGATTCTTTCTTGACCTTTGCCGAGTCAGGTAAGAGACAGGTAGAGAACAACATCTCGTTAAACATGGTAGAACTACTCAAGATGAATCATTACAAGGCACCAAGAGATAAACTGATCTGTATCTTGAATGCTTGTAAAGTGATTTTTGGATTAATGAAACATATGGAAGCAGATCAAAGTGCAGATGTGTTTTTACCCTTGTTGATTTATGTGGTGATTCGTGCTAATCCGCCTCAATTGATGTCGAATGTACAGTACATTTCTCGGTTTAGAAGTCCTGAACACCTCCGTTCTGAAGCAGGTTATTATTTGACGAATCTGGTAAGTAAAAGTCATCGCATCTTTCTTAATCATCTTTAGATGGGTGCAATTGAGTTTATAGAGACCATGGATGTTCATTCATTATCCATCACACAAGAAGCATTTGATGCGTAAGTACAACATCACCACCATCAAACTTACACAGAATCTATAGCAACATTGAGAAAAACATGTCTGAATTAGATCAAGAACAACCTGAACTTGTGACAGATAAACAGAAAATCAGCTATGAAAATGTACTTCATCCTGTTCATGCCAAGAAATCAGATGTCGCTCAAAAACCCTTGAGTTTTATGGAGAAACTCTTTTCAGACAATAGTAGTCTTAGTGGTAGTGAGACTGAATCAAGCAAACCCAAAAGAAAGCATCGTGTGCCTGATACGCCTTCTCTTTTATCTCAAGCATTACCTGTGCCTGATCATTTACCTACTCCACCACCACCACCACCACCACCTTCAATACCTCAACAGTTTGATGAACATCTAAGTACGATTGTGTCCATGTTTCCAAACATTGAACCTGGTGTTTGTTTTATGATTTTACAAGCCAGTGAAGGCAAATTACCAGAGACGATTGAAAGGTAAGATGAAGTATGGCGATGCTGTTTACTCAATTCACCTAGTTTATTGGACATGTCAAATGATTTAAATGAGTCTATCTAAAATGCCTTCACATAACCCAGATGAACATAAAAATCCATGTTGAAATGGAACCACACTTGGTTCAAAGGTCTCCTTGTCCAGTGTATCTAATAATTGACTGAATTGATCAAATGGGATGAATTTACATTGTTGAGCCACTGAAATAGCATCGCTTTTCTGTTGAAGGGAAGGAAGTAAATAAGGTGCAGGAGGAGGAGAAGAAGTAGAAGAAGAAAAAGGAGATGCGTAGGCTGCATCGGATAGACAGAGTGTGGATTTGTCTGTGAAGCGAATATCAATGGCATACATGGAAGAAAAGATGACGCGTACTGCATCATACGCGCGTGGTATAATCGAGACTTTGCCAATATCACCTTCTTGAATACATTTCACTTCAAGACGTTCCAAACAACTCATCAGAGGCAATGTTTGAAAGAGAATCTATTGAATCAACACATGAATACAACAAGATCAGCTTACCTGTACAAAATAAATCAAATCTCGATTGTCATTCAAGACATCCCGTAAGAAACTAGCAATACGCCAGTGGGGGTTTCTTATCTGAGTAGGTAAGGCAGTGACCGGTGTCTGTTTGGTATGATGCGTAAACAAGTCCAACTGATATTGTCTTTGTTGACCTTTGGTGATCGTGTCCCAACGAATAGTACAACCATAATGCTATCCTTGTTAACATGGATCTATCTATCTCTATTTTACCTTGGCATATGTCATTCGCAATGACTGTAGATCGGTCGCTTCAAAGACCAGTTGATCCTTATATTTCTTGAACCAGACAGAAGACACTTGTCTTGCCAAATTAGCCATCATAAACAACCGTTCCCAATCGACCAAGAACTGTTCTATACAACGATCAATCTGAGTATAGGTAAACGAGACAACACCCGTGGCTCTATCGAGTGCAATGTGGTCACCCAACGCATGTCCTTTCAGATGGAGAGCATCAGCATCCAGTTTATCTTGCACTACCACATAACAATCGCCTGATTGTCCCCACCAACCAAATGAGCGTATCATGATATCGTTCTTTAACAAAGGAAGCAAGCGTTGTACCCAAGAATCAAGCGTACCAGACGATGTCTTGAGTACATCTTGTTGAGATACACACACAACTTCCATCTTGTCTGCTGCTGGATGATTCATCCCATGTGTCTCGATCCCAGTTAAGGATTGAAGCAAAGGTCTTGTATGATAAGCTAGTCGATAGGATTGTAGTTGAAGTTCAATCTTACGGTTCATGATGTAGGCTTGACAGAGTGAATCCAGTTTGGCAAGATAGCGTAAGTCAATCGAGAGACGATCAATAGGTTGTTCATACGATAGTCTTTGTTTTTTATGTCTTTTGGTATCCATAAACTGGTCTTGCCATAATTGATCGCATTCAAGATATGTCAAATCAACAATGGTTTGATATAATCCACTCGCATCATATGTTTTACTAGATTGTATGAGTAACAAGAATACATTAGTCGTGCTTACTTTATACAGCATAACCATGACTTGAATTGATTCTTGACGGTCGCAATCACAAAATACCAATCTTCAAATTGAGAGAACTGCAAAAAGATACAATGAGAAGGGTAACTGACTTGCTTAGCCTCTGTCAGATCACCAAACAACTTTTGAATATCTTCAGGCCTTAAATTCATATGGGAGGGATGATAAGGTTGTAAATTAAGCTGTTTGGCTAGTGATATCACTTCACGCACGACCACTTCAGATCGTAACCATAACAGATGACGTGCAATGTGTTCAGGATCATTGTTTAACTTGTCTTCTAGACTACGGAGTTTGAAATCACCTTCATGACAGCCATCACTGGCCTCAAATGCCTTGACACGGCCTGTTCTTGCATCAGATTCAATACTGATGTATTTCGCATGACGATAACGAATCACCAGTGAAGATTCTTCTGCTAAATACAGACCATTTTCTTGTAAAAAGTCTTTTTGTGACACAAGCAAGGATCTGAATTGATTAATCATGCATTGACCATGGTGGTTAGTAGCATGTAATACCAATTGCTCAACATTCAAATGAGAAGGATTCTATAAGAGAGACATGAGCGGAAAGTGGCTAGTACAGAGTAACTTACAAGCAAGGGTTGATCTGTATAGAGCTCAGGACGACCATCCCAAAGGACCTCCAGCATATGTTTAGGGTATTTCAAAGAAGCCAATACTTTAGGTCGGTCTTGCATAGGCATCTCTGATAAACGAATACTGGCACCAATACCTGCTTTCTGAATCAATCCTTTCCAATCATCCCGCATAGACATGGATAACGCGAATGGATCAGCATCACGTATACTGATCTCAATGGTCGTGTTCTTGTTTGAATGACTCTGACTGGCCCAGCGTGAAGCAGGCGATCCACCACGCCAATAGACTAACGTAAGTTTTGTTCTTTCTTGGTTCATCTGGACCTTGAGTTGATTGATCCAGCGTGTCTTGGCCAACATGGCAGCTTGTATATACAAAATCTCTAGCTGCATATTCAGACAACACAAGTGTAGATAGTCATACATATTCACAAGAGGGAAAAACAACAGTCCATTCTCTTCAGGAGGCACCAATTGCTTCTGTGCATTCACACGTACATGCTGTTTCTGAGCCTCGTTTAATGAAATATCCATATCCTCTAGTAAGTCATGCTGGTTAGATATCATGGTGAACTCATTTTCTTTACCTGTTGCTCCTTCATGAGCACTCGATACAAAGATGTCTAAAGACACAATCCACCATCGTCTATCATGACTATGTCCCATCAATGTCAATGCCACTTCAAATTCATGTTCAATATAGAAATAAATACGACCATTTTCTACATATCAATCAATAAACACACTCATATTTCTATATATATATATATATATATGATTTTTTACCAATACGATAAGTTTGCATAGGACTGGGCAATACTTCAGTTGTCATCATACGCATACGAATCACATCATTCATTTGTTGAAATGTCTCGAGCACTTGTCTATCTGTTAAAGGTGTTGGCATCATCATGTCCTATACTTCATTAGCGTGTCATTTTTTCTTTTTTTAAGGATGTCTTACTTTGATCTTAGTTGGCATGCGTTGATAAGTGCCTGTGGTTAAGACATCTACTGCTGTTGGAATATCAAAGTTTCTGAGTCGAGCTGCCGGTAGTTTAACATGAATGTTGTGTAAATAATCCACTGTGTCCTGAAATATCTTGTTTTGATTTGCTAAAAATGCCATGATATTCTACACACATAAAGAGAGAATGAGTTGCACTTTAGTGTTGGACTTGAGTACCTGACACATTTGGATATCATTCGCATTCTCGGCCCATTTGACAAGCACAAGTAACTTGAGAAACTGTTTTCGTACACTGATACTGTATGTCAAAATCTGTCGTTTCTTTTCTACATCAGACATGGAGGGTAGTCTATTCTACAGTAAGCAATACTATTCCATCAGAAAAGAGTCGTTACGTGTCTGTGAGTGTCATGAGATCAGCATAAGACTTGTGAATCAATTTGCCAATCAGTGCGCGAAGTGGCACCATACTGGCCATTTCAACAGGCAATTTGACCTTGTCTTCTTCCACAACTGGTTTCTTTTTCATAGATACGTCATCTACGTGCGAATGAATAATGCCATTGGGTGTTGTCATGATGGGCTGCATGGTGTTCAATCGCGCGCAAAAAAAAAAAGAAAAGAAAAAGAAAGAAAAATAAAAAGGTTTAAAAGAGACGTCACTTGTATATATATATATAAAAAGGATTATAGGCGGAAAATGAAAACTTGCCGTTTTCTACACTTTCGGCTCTCGGATGAGCTATCATGCATCTCTCTCTCTCTCTCTCTCTCTTTCTTCTTTTTTATCATGTCAAGAAAGAAATGGATGTATGGCGCCTTGTTTATTACTATTAGCATTGGCTTGTTTTATATCTTTTTTGAACACAAAGAACCTCTTTTAAAAAGTAAAGAAATGACTCAAGCTCTTTTTTTTTATTTTATTGATCAAGATATATATAGACATTCAAACATTGGCTTTGGAAATAAAATCCATGCCTTATGGTTGGCTAGTAATGGGATCGATCACTGCATTGACTTCAATTCCACCTATTTTTGGATTTACTTTTTCTGTCTTGTTGAATGGGTTTATTTATGGGTTTCCCTTGGGTTGTTATCCATCTACTTTGGGTGCTTTTCTAGGTTCCCTATGGACACTTTTGTAAGATACACACACACATAATAAATGTATGGCTGACCTCTATAGACTCATGCGCCAATCTCATCTGTTATCATGGCTTTCACTATCACCCAACCATCAAGAGAAATTTGAGGCTGTTGAACAAGCCATTGGTCTGGGTGGGTTCAAGATGGTCTTGTTGATTCGCCTCTGTCCTATACCATGGCAAGTATCTAATTTGGTGCTATCCTTATGTTCTACTGTCTCATGGCAATACTACATCATAGCCGCTTTCATAGCCTGCTTTAAATATAATTGGGAAGTCTGGGTAGGATCTCAATTGGCTAATTTATCTGATCCTTCACTACCACCCACTACCCACCGCATTACATTAGTTACTATGGTGATTGGATTGATTGTACTCGCCTGTGTGTTTGGGTGGTTGTATCGAATGACAAACAAGATATTGAAGCAACATCAACCTGTGTTTAAATATCAATCTGTTTAATTTATGCCGTCATAACAATGTGACGTATTACTCATCTTTTTTTCTTTCTTTTTCTTTCTTTTTCTTTATTTTCAATAAATGTCTTTAAAGCAAGTAGCAGAAAACAAGTGTTTTGGTGGCAAGGTCATCAAATACGAACATCACTCCGAGGAACTCGGTTGCGATATGAAATTCAACGTGTTCTTACCTCAGGAAGCCACAACACAAAAAGTACCTGCTATTTACTTTTTGTCTGGCCTGACTTGTACTGAAGATAAATTTGTTGAAAAGAGTGGTGCTATGGCTGAAGCATCCAAGCATGGTCTTGCCCTGATTGTTCCTGATACTTCTCCACGTAAGTCATAGAGGGGGAGGGGTTTCATGTCTCACTCATTCAATGCCTGTAGGTGGTGTCAGTATTGAAGGGGATAATGATTCTTGGGATTTTGGTACAGGTGCTGGGTTCTATTTAGATGCTACTGCACCTAAATGGGCCAAGCATTATCGTATGTATTCCTATATAGTGAAGGAATTACCTCGTTTAATTCAGCAGTTGCCTATTGTAAGTCATGCATGCCATATTCAGTATCCATTGAATATATGTATAGGATAATACGCGTGTGTCTATTATGGGCCATTCAATGGTAAGATAATATACATATATATATATATATATATACTTTGTAGCTTATACTTGTCTAGGGTGGTCATGGTGCTTTGACTATCTTCCTGAAGAATCCTACCCAATTCAAGACTGCTTCTGCCTTTGCTCCTATTGCTCATCCTATAGCATGTCCTTGGGGTCAAAAGGCATTCAGTAACTATCTCGGGGAAGACAAAGAAGCCTGGAAAGAATACGATACAGTTGAACTACTCAAGCGTTTTCAAGATAAAGTAGATATCTTGGTTGATATAGGCACAGCCGATGGTTTCTTGGAAAAAGAACTCTTGATTGATCAACTGAAGCAAACTGTAGAAGAATTGGGTCAAGACCAATTTAAGATTCGTTACCAAGAAGGTTATGATCATACTTACTTTTTTCTTTCTACTTTTGTTGCTGATCATATCCAACATCATGCAAAATATTTAAAATAAACAAGCCACTTTTTCTTTTTCTTTTTTCTTACTTTATTTCTTTTTCATGACAGACAAAAGTAAACTAGAAGCGAATGAAAAGATTCAAACACAAATTGATGCTTCGATTGGTATTGCACGATCCCTTATTCAATCTTGGTTACCACCACCTCAACTTGGAGAAAAGTTAGAAGAAGATCAAGATGATCTGGACACAATGGACAAATATGCTACAGGAAGACCTGATAGGTAAGCTAGTTAAATGAAGGCTAGGTGACTGACACAAACAGGCTGGGTCTTGGGGCTAAATTCCTTTCTCATAAAGATGCGATGCGACATAACCAAGATGGATCATTACCTTCGAAACAAGAAATACAGTTGAAAAACAAGATTTTAAATCAAAACAAAAGAGCTGAACGTGATCCTGTTGGAAAACGATCGCATGCTTCAGACTCAGAAGATGAAGAAGAATCAAGAACAAAGCAACAACAACCAAAAAAGAAATCAGCACCCGTCAATAACAAAAAGAAAAAGATTGGTCAACAAGGTGATTTCCTGTCCATGTATTTATCTGAGCGACAACAGAAAAAGAAATCTAAAAAATAAACACTTTATACCCTTTTTCTTTCTCTTTTTCTCTTTTTCTTTTTTTTTTTCTTTTCCTGGCTAAAGAATCGCTTGGCATTGCTTGGAATATCTTATTTTTAACTATGGCTACTAAAGTAGAAAACAATATAGACAGTGGTGAACGAAATGCATTTTATTCTTTTCTTAAATCCCTTGGATCATTTTCAGGTGATTTATCTTCTCTTTCTTGTCCAACCTTTTTTTTGGCTCCTGTGTCTTTGATTGAATACAAGTAAAGATCAGAGAATATGAACGTAAACTAATAAACGGATAGTCAATATTGGGCTTCTCAACCTGAATTGTTTAGAGCCATTGGTACTCAAACGACTGAACAAGACAAATTGCTAGCTGTCATCAAATGGTACATTGCTTATTTAAACGCTGCTTTCAAAAGAAGAATTCCAGAGGGACAATGGGACAAGAAACCCTTCCACCCGATTTTAGGGGAACAATTTCATAGGACATGTTCGCAGACGCAAATGGTATGTGAACAAGTATCACATGACCCACCCACCACTGCCTTCCATGTCGCCAGTAAAGGTGTGGCATTGAATGGTCATATTGGACAGACATCGCGCATGGCAGGCACCGCTCTTGTTTGTGAACAAACAGGATGTGGCCTCATCACCACAGAACATGAACAATACCTTTTCTCGCATCCTTCTTTAGCTGTCCGAGGCATTTGGTATGCTGGTAAGTAGTTTCACATCCACTTCTCTTACACAACTCACTTTGTTCAACAGCACCTTTTATTGAATTGATGGGCACCATGTATATTCAAGCATCTTTTGGGTATTATGCCTGTATTGAATTCTCTTCCCGAGGTTGGATCTCGGGTGAAATAAACCACTTTAAATGCCTGGTGAACAAAAATGAAGGCTCAGTCAAAGACGTGCTCTATAAAATTGAAGGTCAATGGACAGGTCAATCGACTCTGATTGATTATCAAAAAAGAACATCGAGCTTGTTTTTCAATGTCGAGTCACTTGTGCCTTCTGAACCTGTTGTACGATCCATCCAAACCATGGGTCCATTGGAATCCCGCCGTGTGTGGCATAAAGTAGCAGAAGCCATTCGTACTAGTCAACCAGTCTTGGCCAATAAAGAAAAGGCAGCGATTGAACAAAATCAACGAGAAGCTGAAAAGAAACGAGAAGAACAAGGTCAACCATGGCAACCCGCTTATTTTAAATGGCAAGCACAGGAACCCCATGTGGTTCAGCTACAAGCGATGTGGCATGATACACTTCAGAAAAAGACAGATCCAGTTCTAGAGGGTAATTGGGTCATGCTTAAATAAAAACAGAAGAAAACCTCGGTCAGTTTTATAAGAGACAGGACCGAGACAAACCATTGTTTCTAGAGTACAGTGTGGCTTCTTAAAATAATACCTCCTTATTGTGCTATCTCCTTTTGTATTGATTTACATTCTTAACTTTGCTAAGATAGAATGATGTTATTAGTTTTTGGGTAAGACTGACTAAATTAAACGTAGATCTTTTTTTTTTCTTTTTTCTGAAGAACCTTCTTTGGCCAATAGAATAAAGCGGAGAAAAAGGGAGGAGAAAGTCACACGAAACAAGGATTTAAGCGGAACTTTGCATTTTTTCTTTTTTTTTTTTATTCATTACCAATGCTTTTATCTGATACTACTGTAAGGCGCACTATGCTAAAAAAAAAACACACACACACACACACACCATTGACCATTTTATAGACTGTCCAAAGTATACTTGAGAGTATTGCCCAAGAAAAACAATGGTCAAAACAAGACGTTGAAAATGACCTTAGCATCCTTAGTCGAAATCGTATTGTTCATGTATGTTATATTACCATAGATCATCAACTGATATATGTATATCTATACGCCTAGGTGCATGATTTACGAGCTTTGTCTGGAGAAAGTTGGGCAGTAAGTATTTGGGAAAGTATGTTTTCATGCTCTTATTTCCACCAATAGCAAATCGAATTACTCCCACTTGTCAAAGATCTCCTAAGAAGTGCGATTGACCCAAGCTGGCCCACAGCAAATCATCATGGTAAAAATAGATTATTAATTAAATTTGTGTATTGAAATTCTAATACAGTTGAACACCAACCTGAAGAAGAAAACAAAAAGAAAAAGGAAGACGATTCAGAGGATTCGAAAAAGAAAAAGAACAAAAAGAACAAGAAAGAAAAAAAAGGGTTCAAGAGTCCTTCTAGTCTAGGCACGCCCGTTGTTCCTACTATCTTGACAAGCACACGCTATGAAAATGGCAATTACCTTCATGATAATGGAAGCGATACAAGTTTGATTAGTCAAGATCCTCTCACGATTCAAAATACGATTCGAAACACAACAATGATGAGTAGTACCAGTGAAGAAGAAGACGATGATGATGAAGATGCTTCAACACCTACACGTAGAAAGAGCGTATCATTTAGTGAAGAAACAGCTATTATCAACTCAAAGAAAGAAAAGAAAAAGGATAAAAAAAAGAAAAAAGATATGGCAAGTATAGAATTCAACCATGCAACACATCCTTATACTAGTCACCCAATAGTAAAAATTCAAAAACTCAAATTCGAAAACTGTCAAAAACTACCTCCTGTGCCTCCCAATGATCCATTTTTACAAGGAATACATGATAAATTAGTATGTTCAACTATGATTGATACTTGAAAAAAAAAAAAGAAAAAAAAAAGCTTTTTGTGTGAATAGAGTCAATTGTAGTACAAATCAATGTCTTTTGAGAATGTACAGTGCGGCTGGTAAATTCTGTCTGTTTCCCAAAAATAAATGGCCCTAAGTAAAAAAAAAAAAAAATGATTGGCTGTTTGTTATGAAGTGATTGTCGGTTCTTTATCAGATTGTCACTTGGGTAAAAATGAACAGTTAGTTAGAGTTCCGTTTTGTCGTCATACTATCTAATTAACGATAAGAGTGAAAGACAAAGGAATAAAGCTTTTACACCATAGCTCAAGAAGTGCTAATTTGACTAAGCCTAATACAACAGTCATTTCATATAACTGAATTTGAGAACAAGAAAACTATTTGTTAACTGTGGCTGCGCGTAACTCGTAACTCTATTCTAATTTCTCTATCTTATAATGTTATCAAAGTCATTCAGACCAGGAACCGACCTCATTTCTAAAAAAAAAAAAAAAATAACAAGACAACCTCTTGTATTGAATATCATTACTAAAGCTATATTAAATATAACCGATGAATACCTTCCTGAATCTTGTGAATGGCCAAATGGAACGCGCAGTGATGTTGTCCTTGTTCCTAAATCAGCTGACGCAGACCCCACAATTATCATCGAGTTCCAACGTACTGTGGACAAGAAGTTCATGGAAAAGGCTATAGCATATTATCTTCAGGCGAGCAAGAGATTTGGTACCATCCCAACCATTTTAATTGTATGCATCGAATCAGTCCAGGATTCTGTGAAAGAAAGATTAAGAACATGCGATGATTTGCCTTGTTATACAGCCTGCTCTGATTTTTGGGCAGATCAATGCTATGTTATGGACAAGAATAGTATCCAAGATTACATTTCTCAGGATCCATTTGCTGCTTTCGGTTTATTCATGACCAACCAAGCTACATCAATTGATCTGGCTCTAAGAAACACTGATCCAACTATGAATATGCTATATCGCATATCCCTCGATGTCTACACAAAGATTCTTGATCAAGATATTAAATGCGTCAATGAACTAAAGCAACTGAACGATGTCTATTATGAGCAACCTGAAAATATACTAAGTCTTTTGAAAGACGACAATACATCGAGAAGCAGCATAATAGAATATGTATCACAGTCCGCTGAATATAACAGAGAACAGAAAAGAAAATCAGATGAGCTCATTACGGAGGATGACCTTCAGGAGTGTCAGGATACTGACCGTTTCAAATGTCAGAGAGCAGATAATGATGAACAAGTAACGACTTCTGATTACAAAGAAAGAATGAAATTCATCGAGAAGTTCAAAGAAGATAGAGCTGAAGAGGGTAAGACGATGAGTTGGAAGCTCTGCTTGCTGGAAGGAAGAGAAAAGCTTAAATGATGCTATAAAAACTCCAATAGCCTTAGAGCAGCGTTCGCTAAATACGAAAAGAAGCAGTGAAATCTTTTAGAATTGTGATCTCCAATAATTTATAGTTTCTGAAAAGCTTTATTGTTATAGAAATTTTAGTATAAGATAATTTATAAATCTAAAGAACATACTTTTTTTGTAATTCCTGTATTAACTGAGTGTTGTTAAATCAGAGAGGAGAGGGGAGGAAAAGAGAGAAAAAAATATATAAAGTAATTGGATTTGAATAGGTTTTTAAATTAGAGGAAGCAATGTAACTATCCAAATGTGTACAAATCAATGGAGGTCTGCGGTTTTTGAACTTATTTCAGCAGTAAAATCCTAGTATGATGCTATTTTATAAAGAAAAAGAAAAACTGTACTTGTCAACACACTGACACAATATGAAAAATTGAATAAACCTATAGTTATAAGTCAAACCTATGAAATTCAGGGCTTGCGAAAAATAAATGGTAAATTATGTTTTATTAACTACTTAGTAGCCACACATACTCGTAGAGGTGAGACTTGATTTAAATAAAGAAAGGCGAAAACTAATACAAGATAAATCCCACAGGTTAAATTGTAGTAAATTGTATACAAAATAAAGGTAGCCTCATACGTCAAGTAGGTGACAGGGTCCATACGACAGTATACAATAACCAAAAATCATATCATCATATTTCAGAACCCACGGGCTCGAACATAGTGGACAAGAGCTGAATAGTAGAATCCGCGACATCCTTAAGTTTTGATCTCTCTTCATTATTGCTAGCAATATACAAAGTAAGTGCTGCAAGAAGGTTAAGGTTCTGCTCAGCGTCTTCATTATCGCTATTAATCGTAGCTTTTAAGATAAATTGACAGGTTTTAGCCCAATATACACTGTGTAATTGTTGCCTATATAAGTTGTCCAAGTTGGCTAAAAGTCTCTCTTTTACTGATCGTGAAATTTGATCAGTGCATAGAAGAATAAAATATACTTCGTAGCTGTATTTCTCGGATACTTGCAAGCAATATTCAATTGATCGTTTCATCGAGGTAGTTCCAACATCCTTTTGAGCTTCCAAGACGATTGCAGGCAATTCAACTGCAGCTGACGTTTGAAGTAAATAGAGAAAAAGAAAGGATCCGTCATTCCGTGTAATGGTAGTGGCGCAAGTATATCTATCATTACCCTCATCTAACACAGATTTTGTAACAAGATTGATAACAATTGAGTTTGATAAGAGATGTAGTACTATGCAATATAGAAAAGTCATTTCACCTTGTGAATACAGTCAATTAGCTAAGTTGTCGTACCAGTAAGATCCATCTCCAATTTACGTGCTTTTCACAATTTTTTTTGTTTTCTACAATAACTTGGTTGCCTCTGTTTTAGCTTTCAATATCATCGTACTAGGCTTTTCAATAGAGGGTTTTGGGAACAAATTGCTATTTAATACTCCGGCGTTACCAGTATTGGGTTACGAGTTACAGATTATGGGTTACGAGTTACAGATTATGGGTTATGGGTTACGGATTATGGGTTATGGGTTACTGGTTATGGGTTATGGTTTACGGGTTACGCACATTCACAGTTAACAAATACAGTATTTTGCTATTTGATTTTGTGGCAAACTTTAAAAGTACGCCGGGAAGTTTTATTTGGATGGAAAGACACTGTACATAGCTGGACTAGGCCGGTCGGAAAAAAAAGTTAGTTCGGTAAGTGATATTTGCATACTGTCAGTTTATGGACAGAGATACAGACAGGACACTCCATCTCCGTTATGAGATTATCTCTAAATGGAAAGAGATTGATGTCGATTTCCAAAAAAAAAAAAAACTGCGTTTTCATCGATGAGGCAGGTTTTAACAACCATATGGTGCGCGGCTGTGCTTGGTCAAAAGTAGGAAGTCCAGCAAATATTATGCTTCATCAGAGACAGGGAGTAAATGTTAGTATCGTCGGTGGTATCTCTGTTTATGGCACTATCAATTTCTCCAGAGTTGAGCTTTTGAGGACAAGCGACGTCGAAAAATTAGAGCATGAATATCCGAAACAGCAGCAAAAGAAGAGGAAAGCCGAGACTCAAGATGTCAAACCTAAGATACCTTCAAAAGGAACTACAGCCTACCACATAGTTAAGTTTGTGGAACATGTTATGGATATCCTAGATAGACACAATAAACACGGGTTTTACATTGTAATGGACAACTGCAGAATCCATCATAGTGCCTTTGTTGTTGATGCGATAACTAAAAGAAACTATAGACCATTATTTATGCCACCATACTCCCCTTTCTTGAATCCTATTGAGGAGTGCTGGTCTAAGGTTAAAAAGAATATGAAAAGAATATAAAAAGAATATAAAAAGAATATAAAAAGAATATAAAAAGAAATCCACTGGAAAAGGATGATAGGCTTTCGGATCGGATTCGAGATGCTTGTAACACTATAACTACTGAAGACTGCCAAGGCTGGATACGACACTCTGAAAGCTTTTGGGAAAGATGCATTAGCAAAGAACTAGAATTAAGATGAAAGCTGAATCAATGTCTACCAGAATTTTGTATTTTATTGTAGATATAAAATAGTGAGATTGTCTCGAGAAAAACTCAACTGTCTCATTTTAGATTGAAATACTGTATTTCTTTTTAGCTGACTATTAAGATGAATAAAGCTCTTTTCTGTGTTACAAAATTCTTTATATAGAAACAATAGCCCACGCATGGCTTCCATTCTCCATTTACTGAAAACACCACCCATTTTGCTTAATAAACATCATTATATTGGTATTTTATCGTAGAATTGCTTACCTTTCATCATTTTTTCATTCCTGGGAGGAACAAAAACCAATGTCTGATTAAAAAAATGTCTCTCATTTTTAGCACAAGCTTCTCCTTTTACAAGCAGAATGTGAGATCAACATCATATTCTGGACAGCATTGATACCCTACATGCTTTAAAGACCCGTATGTTGTGGTCTTTGAGATGAGATAGAAATCAGTACCATATTTGCTTCCGATACAGGAAGCCAATTGTAGAAGAGACAACCAACAGTATAGCCATACGTTCTGATAATTCTATAGTTTTTGTTAGGCAGAAAACACTAAAGAGCTAAAGAAAAAATAATGATAAATTTTTGGTCTGAATAATAGCTTAAATCAATCAAACTGTCTCAAATGATAAGCAACACAGCCTATCATATTACTGCAGCGCAATCGATGGAAGAAAAACGCAGTTGGTTACGTTGCAACGACATTGCTTTAGATTCAGTAGTGATTTTGGAAAGTGTTTTGATCCAAGAATGAATTTGAACTCTTGAAGAGTGGAGCATTTGTTCTTTATTCAATCATTTAGTCTAATACGACATAGAATGCTGAATCTAATTTCTACAATCTTCAAGAGAAGCAGTTATTCCAGCCTGTTTGATTCTTTTTTTTTATCGTACCATCATTTTTTAAGGGACCTCTTTCCAGCCTTTTATTGCTTCGTACTTTTCAACCAAATGGTTATACAATCTCAAAAAAAAAAAAAAAATCGCAAGTCAACAAAGGGCAACGACAAAAAGATTTGTGATGGTTATAAAAACTAGATATTGAGTACAAACTACGTACATTTCTGGCCTCTGCAGTCAAACTCAAATATACTGCTCAAAGGCGGATTGTTGTGTTCTACAATGTGGTCCATAACCAGTGAGCATAAATAAATATATGACATTGTAAATTTATCAATACTGTTCCCTCTGTCTTTCACTTGATAACTACCATTAGCAGAATCATGCCAAATGAAACGGTAAACGACTTATATAGTGCTTCTACTCTCAAATTACTTGCAGAATCATTCAAGTTAGCTTCAAACACCCTGTCAAACTAGACTCCTTTTTATGAGCAATTTAGCCCTTTTTTCAGCAAATCAAGAATGGAAGCACTAGAACAAATGGATCAACAAGACCAAAAAGACAGGCGGGCAGAGAGGAATAAGCACCTTAAAATTCAGACTCAAATGTATAGCAATAAATGTTTTTTTTTATTTTTTTGCTTTTGACAGATAGTTCGTTCATGCAGTTGAATAGACAGTGCGATGGTTTTTTCTTTCCTTTTTTGTATGTTTCTTTGATTGGCTGGTACGCTACGAATATAGAAAATGTTTTTGATAACATGAATGACGTTACTGAGAGTGTACAAACTACGTATGTTGCTCTAGATTGTAGCCTCCTTTTTTAGGCATCCACATGATTTCAGCACTGCTAAAGGATGCAATACACTGAGGAGGTTCAACTAAAATAAGCTCTGCATTCTGAATTTCAAATCCTTGTTAAAAGTGTCTGGATTTAAAGTAGCTTTATTTTCATTTTCTTTCTTCTCTTTTTCATTCATGACAGAAGTTGCTATTCAAGATAACAAGACTATCCTTATGGATAACAGTACAATACACGAATCAGGGATTGCTTTATCCAATAGTAGTTCATGCGCTAGTTTCGATGAAGAAGATGATGATGATGATAGGAGTAGTAGTCATGATTCTATAGATACAGTAGCTACCATGGAAAACGATAAAACAATACCCCCCACAAGGCGCCGTAATCGTGCTTTGACTGTCACACAGCAAAATGTTCAACTAACGCAAGTAATACACCAAGAACCAGAAGAGATACCATCTACCAACTCAGGGGATATTAAAGACCAAATTCATGAGTTCTCATTAATGGAGAGTAACCACAATTCAGACTCAGATAGTGACAACGATGAGATACCTTCCAGACATAAAAGAAATCAAAGCCATCGTTCTACCATATCCTCAATTCATTCTTATGTTTCAAGTGCGTCCAACTATGATTTGTTGCTGGCTCGTTTAGGTGGGAATGGTGTTAAAGACAGCTCACCGCCTGTCATGGACACACCTACACAGGAAATTCGAAAATCATTTGATCGTATTCATCATGATGCTGTCACTAAAGGACAAGACGACGATATTGATTGGGGTAAGAAAGCATGTGTGATTTAGACAAGACTGATCTTTATTTTATAGAGTTTTGGTCTAAAGTAATTTCTGACTTTAGCGGTGTAGCTAAATCAGAACCTAAAATTCTGTCTTTTCATATTCAAAAGGGTATTCCACCTACTTTACGTGGTATGATTTGGCAGTTGTTTGCCAAAAGTAAGAATGTCAAGCTAGAAGAGCAATACATGCAGTTGCTAAAAGACGAAGCTGTTTATGAAAAAGCCATTGCGCGCGATTTGCCTAAAGCAACATTCAACCATGATTATTTCATGGACGGAGACGGACAAGATGCTTTATTTAATGTCGTCAAAGCGTATTCTCTTTATGATACAGAAGTAGGTTATAGTCAAAGTTTACTGTATATCACAGGCCCTCTATTACTTAATGTAAGCATACATGTCACTCATATCATATATTCACCTTCTGTTCTTTAGATGCCAGAAGAAGAAGCCTTTTGTGTACTAGTTCAATTGATGAACAAATATAATTTAAGAGGCCACTTTCTACCACAATCAGAATTACTTTCACAACGACTGTTTCAACTAGAAGGCTTAGTAGCGGATCAATTGCCTCATATTCAACGTCATTTTGAAGCACACGGTGTTCGATCGAATGTCTATGCCTATCCATGGTTTAGTACTCTTTTTGCCTTCAAGTTTCCTTTAGATACTGTGTTTCGTATTTATGACATGATTTTTGCTGAGGGCATTGAAACTCTGTTCCGTTTCTCAATTGCTTTATTACAGAAAAATCAGTCAACGATTCTTAGTCTTGAATTTGATGATTTAGTCAACTTTTTAAAGAATGATTTAGTGGAAGTTTATAAGGTAGGTCATCATATTCTCACTTGAACTAACACATACACTCAACAGGACAATTCAAATCAATTGGTTCGAGACGCCTTTCAAATCATGGTTATACAAAAGCGTCTGGATCGTCTTGCCAAAGATTTCCAAGTTGAATCTGCCCGTGCCAACAATGAAGCTGAAGCGATTGAATCCCTCAAACGACAAAATAAAGCCTTGGCTGAATCCATTCGCCGTATGGAAACAGACTATAGTGACCTGAATAAAGAACACACTGAAGTCGCTACCGAACTCATTACGGCCAAGATGGATATTGCTCGTATTCATGATGAAAATGAAGCCCTACGACAACAATCAAATGACCTAAAAAAGGCACTCGAAACATTACCGGGAGAAGTAGAGACGCGTGTCAAAGAAGAAATGGAGATTTTGTATACCAAGAATGCCGCCCTTGTTGAACGCAATTCTGCTCTTGAAGACCAATTGGCTTATATGGAAAACATGATTATTGAAATCAAAGCGAAATATGCTGAAAGTGAAAAAGAAAGAGAAGGCCTAAGACAACGATTGACGGATTTAAAGCGATTAATGGGTTAATAATAAACTCTGTTTTTTATACTTTTTTTTTTTATCTATGGATGAGATTAGTCAATTGTTGGAGAAATCTGATCTTTTGTCCTTAAAGGACACGGGTGTTCAAGTTATTTCATTATATGGTGTTTCTGAATCAAAAAGAACAAGTGCATCCAACAAGGCAGTTGCATGTGCCAATCGTATTGTTGGAGCCAATGTGTTTCCATTGCAAGGACAAGTAAGTTTCTATGGAATAATTCGAGATTAATGAGACTCGTTATAGCCTTTGAGAACACACGTCGTCGAGGTAAGCAAACAATGACTAGTTGACCAAGCTTATTTGTTTCCATCCAGATTGATCAAGGACTATGGATGCATGTGCATGCTGAATCCAAGACTGTATATTTATTTATGGATACTCATCTAGACACAACTGCCATTCAAGACAAAGTAAGCAGTATATTTCAGTTTCAATGGCTTATTCTTTTTTTTTTTAGTTTGTTACAAGCATGACCGATTATCAATCAAGTTCCATGCGGGGTCTCTTATTCATGCTAACTGTGTCGCATGTAGTGATTGTAATGCCTGTAGAGAATTGTTTCCTAGTCGTTAATGTGTACTCTTTATAGCCTATTCTACCTCCTACCCTATTACCTGCTGATTTCCTGTCTACACTTGTGTCACTAAGTCAAGTGAAATCAAACATGTATACGCATTTGGCTCAATATCAGTCTTTTTGTTGGAAGCATTGGGATATCACTGTACCCAATGTATTGTTTGAGAAAAAGGAAAATGAACGTATGAATCCTACGTTGATGGGATGGTGGGGTCCTGCAAAAGGTGTGCCTATCCTTGTCTTTGTCGCTACAGATGTAAGTGACTAAACACCATGTCTCTATTGACTCGATAGATTCCCTGTCAAACTATTGTGCCTGCAACCATCAAAAAATTTCAAGATGTGCTACAGACAAGAGTCAAGACCATGTTTCGTGCTCTTCATTTGATACCCTTAAAACCAGACAACCCTGTTGAGGTCAGATCTTTGTTTCTCTTACCTTCTGGATCGCAGCCTATTATTCATATTGTGCCCCAAGCACCGATAGAAAAGCCTCCTGTCTATGGGTTTGGTGAGCCTGTGTCGCTTCGTTCTTGTTTACAAACAGACCCTGAGCCTGTCTTGTTATATCACGAATACAGCGATAAATTACTCAAGAACTTCGTCTCCATTTGGACCAAGACAGCTGTCTCTCGTCATCCATTGCATGCCAGAAAAGGGGATAAACCTGTACCATTACCAACGGGTCTTCAGTTAGCTTCTGCTATTGTTTCTCTGGCATCTTTTATCTTTCAAAAACCATTGACAGAAGACGGCGTGGATTTCAAAAAGGTCATTACAACGCAGTTTCCTAATACAAAGGGTATGATTCAACAAATTGAAGTCATTCTAAGGAAAAAGATCAAGGACACAATAGACATTGAGCGTGTGTTCTCTAAAAGGTAAATATGGCATTTATGGCTACCGTCCTCATGTTTATCGTTAGTCATTCTATGGACATTATGCAAAAATGCAATGAAGCTTATCTACAAGATTCGCCTCCATTCTATACCGAGAAATATCACCTTTGGAAGGTAATGACGCGCTTTGCTACATACAAGCTTATTTTTCTTTTTAGCGAAATAACGTGATGCGTATGTATCAATTGTTAGCTCGAGGTCCTTGCATGGAAGAATTTGCTGCTCGTCTAAGCCGTGAATGTGATTTGATTTGGAAACAAGGCAGACAAAGCTGCGAGCAAGTCAGTTTGACAGGAAGAGCGTGTCGTTTGAAGGTAAAAGCAAGTCAAATTGCAACGTACTAATAGGCTAGATTGGCCATGAAAACGAAACAACACAAAAATCAAGAGATGAACGCGCCTTCTTGGACACAACAAGACACAATAGTGGATTCCAGTTCTTTCATGCATGTAATTGTGGTAAATCTCAGCGTATTCGTGAAGATCCTTTTGATTTACAAGAGGCCAATATCACTTTTTATCAGAAATTCACTTGTTGTTTAACGCATGGAAGAGCAGCACTGGATATCAGACAGAGTACATTTGGTGAATCACAACAATTGGTACTCAAGGCAGACAGTATACCTGAAGACGATGCTGTCCTGTTGTGTTTGGGTCCTTCGAGTGCCTACAAGAACAATATAGGGTTGGATAAAGTAGAAGGGTTTATGACCAGTACCAATTTTTTGATTCCTTGGTCCATGACTACTGTGCATGAAGTCAAATTACGCCAACAACAACAAGAGCAACAGCAGACAATGACCAAAACTGCTGCCTTGCACGATTCCACTGAATGGCCTGTGTTGGGCAAAATACCTACACCTCCAAAATCATCCCCTCAGACATCTGCCGTCGCTTCTTTAGAAGCCTTTCCTGCCTTGGGAACCAATCCTACTCATTCTACACCCACCAAACAACTCTTTGATACTCGACGTAAGCGTCATAACCGTGCTCGTGATCGTATTCAGGGCCTTGTCCGTGGTTATTTGGGTGCAGAATACGAATGCCCTCAAGGACACCGATTCTTGAGCTGCGGAGAAGGCAGAGTATGTAAATTAGGCCATGTAGGTCATCCTAAAGAACACGGTAACTACTTTGTACATCAAGATTTACCTATTCATGTTGTCTGTCCTTGCAACACAAATGTCACTGCTCAGCTGTTGCGTTTGTATGTTGTGACACCCGACGATGCTGTCACTATCTCGATGGAACCCAAAATCAAAATCGGCTCTCATGTAGTAGATTTGGGGATTCAGCAAACATTGTTCTTTGGGCCCAATAGTATGTATGTGCTTCGACTTCCATTCATCTATCAAGACGAAAAGGGAGATCCTTTGGCTATGGAAAATGCTGTGCTACTTAAAGATTATATCAAATTTCATTTTAAGGCAAGTGAGAAATGGATTTAAATTTCATGCCGTCGTCAACGGAGTTTTTAAGCTTTATGAAACAAGATTCTCCTCTCGCTCTCTCTTTCTTTCCTTCTTTTTCTCTCAATAAAAATGGCACCGAAAGAATGTGTTCCTCTTGACGATAAATCAACTTTGTTCATTAGTATCTTTTTGTGTGTTGGTCTTGTTATTTCTTATCTGCCTCAAGTAAGATACAAGTATTTATGATTATGACTCACTTGGAGTTAGCATTATAGAATTATTGCCAACAAGACAAGTGAAGGCTTTAGCGCTTGGTTTTTGTTGTTGGGTGTTGTTTCTTCTACTTCTAGTTTTCTTAATATCATTCTACTGCAATGGGATGCTATTGTGTGCTGCAAATCACTCTCTACAGGTGCTTGTTTCGAAGGACTTATGGGTGTTATTCAAATAGGGCTACAATGGGCCATGTTTTGCCTTGTGTAAGTAAACAGGTACATAAACAAGTGACTCATATGGATAGGTTTATTTTGTTTTTGCTCTATTTTCCCGAAAACAAAAAACGAGCCCTTCATGCACCTTCTTCCCTTCACTTGGAACTACCTAGTAAGATTCAACCTCCTCTGTCTGCTGAATGGAAAGTATCGTTGGTTGTGGCTGCTACCTGTATGGGTCATTTAGCCATCTCTTTCTTTATCTCAGTCCTCTTGCTGATGGTAGTGGGTGGACCTGATCATTGGCAAACTAATTACTGGGCTGCTTTTCTAGGTATCTTGAGTATGATTTTAGCCTCACTTCAATATTTGCCTCAGATTTGGAAAACATGGCAAACAAAGAAGGTTGGTGCCCTGAGTATACCTATGATGATGCTCCAAACACCAGGTACAGCATTGTTTGTTTATTCGTTGATTGTACGTCCTGGTACAAACTGGACTGCTTGGCTGACGTATCTTGTTACTGGTGTGTTGCAAGGTACATTACTAACGATGTGTATCGTTTGGCATTATAGGAACAAGAAACTTGGTATCGATGATTTACATACAGAAGAACCCGATGAAAATACACGTCTTTTGGAATAAACTGCATGGACTGTCTTATTTTGTTTGATATTCCGTCAAATATCGTCTTTTTTTTTTCTTTTGTTTTCTTTCTTTGTAAACGATGGCAAGTGTTGTTGAGATTGTGTTTTTGGGTACTGGTACTTCAAGCTCTGTACCCAGTATTTCTTGTCTTACCAGCCCTAAAAAATCGTGCTCAGTGTGTCTTTCTTCACAAACACCTGAAGGAAGAAAAAACAATAGACGCAATACGTCTATGGTTGTTCGTTTTCGTAAACACAGCGATCCTGAAGGTGCTCGGTTAAGGTAAAAAAAAAAAAAAAAAAAGGAATCCAATCTGAACCTGAGCTTAACCGGTTGTCATAGAAATGTACTTATTGACTGTGGCAAGACATTTTATGGTAAGCACCAATGACATGCATAACATGTATTCAACAGCGCATAGATAGTGCTATTCAAATTCTTCCTCAATATGGAATTCGTGAACTAGATGGTGTAATTATCACGCATGGCCATGCAGACGCTTGTTATGGCATGGACGACTTGAGAGGATGGACATTGGGTGGAACCATTCAGTCACATATCGATGTTCATTTGTCTCCTGAAGCCATGGAAGTTGTGACTCGAACATTTCCTTTCCTGGTAGATGCTTCTATGGCTACAGGTAATTAAAAGACATAATACCAGTCTACGTAAGCTTAGCATGTTAGGTGGCGGTGAAGTAGCTGATTTTAAATACTATGTATTTGATCCCGCTCAGTCTTTTACAATCGAAGGTCTTGAATTTACACCTCTTCCTGGTAATAAGCCAATCACTTCCATATAGCTTATCTAATGTGTAATAGCTCATCATGGAAAATACATCACTACCAATGAACCCTACTTTTGTTATGGCTTTCATTTTGATGGTATCAGTTATATTTCTGACACAAACTATATTCCTAAAGAAACTATGGATTTGATGGTCGGAAAATCACGTATTTTTGTTGTAGACTGTCTCCGATGTAGGTCTATTTCATCAAAAACAAAAGTGACTGATTCTTGATAGTAATTCATCCTCATGCTTCTCATTTTATGTTGGATGAGTCCATTGAAGCAGCAAGAAAAGTGAAGGCTTTCAAGACATATTATGTTGGATTTGCCCATCGCGTAGATCATTACTTGTTAGAAGATCAATTAAAAGAGTTAGAAAAGACGGAAGGATTAAGAGTAGCACCTGCTTTTGATGGATTAAAGGTGTCTCTAGAGAACACGGATGAATTAGTAGAGTCTTGTTATTTCGAGCCTAATTCTGTTGTTGTTAAATAAATAATAAACTGATAAAAAAAAAAGGCCGATGCATATATTCAGAGAAATTGTATTTCATCTACTTGCAACATTGATAAAGATATAAAAGTTTAAGAAAAACTATCAAGAAAACAGAATATTTTTCATGAAGTGCTAATTCAAAGCAAGATGGTATTGATTCCTTTTTTTAAGACACATCTAATGATCCTTAATCAACTTTTCTTGACGTATTGTTTAGACCGAAAGTGTCATTGTATCTGTAAAAAGTACTAACAAAAGCATAACCATTTAAAAGCAACATAAAGCCTATTTCTATGCGCAAAAATACTTTAGAAACCTAAAGACAATGTTTACTAACATCTACGGCACCTTTGGTGTTGATTTGAACCAAAAAAAAAAGGCAACTTGTAAAAAATGGTCAAAATGACCATTTGACCAAAGGGTATTTACCCATAAAAAATCTTTTTTTTTAATGTTACAAGACAAAAAATAGAGCTATTGACAAGCTTAAATGCTTAAAATAAGCGCCGAAAGCTCTAGTTTATGGTGAATGTGTTTGTTTAACAGTTGTACTATAAAGATAGTATGGTAACAGCGAAAACCCTTTTATAGGTTCTTGCATCTTTACTCAATATCTTGGCAGGAAGATTGTTGTATCCTGCATATCAACAGACTCAGAAAGCAAAGATCTATAACTTTTGTCACTGTATCAGAGCCCACTATCTGCGTCTTGATGCAGTTCCAAGCAAAAGCTCGATTTCTGATACGGCAGGAGGAAGAATTGAAGTTGTTTATTTCAATCTCTACAAAACGCCATCTGGTATGTTCTATATTCATTTCCCCCCCCCCCCACATTTACATTAGAAAATGCTTATTTTTTCTATCTCGACATGCTCTCTAGCGCTCAAAATAGTATAAGGTGCTTTAGAAAGACCCATTTCTAACGCATTTTATATGAAATCTAGAGCAACAGCTCTCAAAACACTGCTTAAACATGCCAATCTTTGATGCCTCATTGCTCGACAACCAGACTACTAGAACGGCCCCCTTTTTTTTTTTGTTTAGAACATGTTCTCTTGAGTCAAAAAATCGAATGGTACCATTGGCTTGGCTGTCAGGTGAAATTTATTTTTTTAACCATGGGGATCCACGGAGGTCCGATCCAACTGAAATTAGACAAAACCATCTCCAGACACTTCCAATAAAAAGAAAACGAGGTTACTAAGACGAAAAAGGCGACCTGATTTGAACATTTGCTTCAAATATGCGCTCAAAGTGCAATGTATACTATAATCAGTACAAAAGAGGCTCTCTTCAGTGGATATTGGCTAGCAAGTAGGTATTTATTTGGACACTATTTGATAGGCAAGACTCAAAAGAGAAAGATATGATAAGACACTTGATGTTCATAAAACATAGACAATCTATTTTTCCGAAGCTCGTCTCTTTTCTTTTTTCAAAAAGATTTAAAAAGAAACTTGTAAGCAGAGTCTGTTATCGTTGTCTCTTACGTGTTGAAAAGCACAGAGAAATTCTAAAAGCGACAGACGACCTTTGTTACTGCAAAAAAATGCATTGTTTTTAGCATCTCTTACTGTCACAAGCTATGCAGTCATCCCCTCATTCTAGATGACATTTCTCTTCGCTGGTGGTTAGTCGAGGTATAGATAGTCACACGTTTGGCAGCTGAACCATAAAGGTCTATAAAACAAAACAATGGATGATGTATGTCACAACGCTTGAAAAGTGCCTTCAGAAGATATGAAGACAAATATGTCACATACGAGTAATTGATACGAACAAGAGTCTGCGGATCGACCATAGTTACAACTACCAAAGGCTGATGAAGCCAAGTATCCTGGCTGTCCTTCGGCTGTTTCTAGATACTTCTCCTTGAAAAAAGACTTTGACAGATCAAGCCTTAGAAGAAAATATTTAGCGCTTGAAAAAGGTAATGCACTTTTCAAAAGAGAAGGGGGGGGGACAAAAGAAAATTATTAACGTACTTCAATAGCAAAAGCAAGACTTTGAAGATGCTGAAGATTATTGTTTAAAGAAGCTAGGTACAGGTAAGCACGGTCAGTTTGAAATTGATGACATCAGTGAAGATCTAATCATTGAGATTAAAGAAGAAGAAAGAACAAAGTCAGTAAAAAGAAAAAGGGGCACAGAAACAAGAGATGATAAAAGTCATTCTGATCTTCTGCGTAACAAGCGAAGTCGCAGAATAGGCCTTGACATAGTCAATTTTAAGTTTGGGTTGCATCCCAGTATTGCTGTTGAAGATATTGTCGAGACTTTCGACCCAAGAGGCGGTTTTAGAGCTGCTGCTTACAGTTTATACAGTAAGCAGTCTTTTTATCTAATTTTTTTTTCAAAAAAAAAAGAAATGTTTCTTGCATTAAATGAGAACGAAGAAGCCTACAGAAATGCACTAGGATTGGATGTCAATGATATGAAGCACCTCATAACCAAAGGTATCGACAGGGCTCCTGACTAGATCAGAGAATGTGACGAAGCTTTTGAGCAAGGAGAAGAAGAAAATGATGTTGTTGAAGAAGACAAGTCGCTAGATACTAGTCAAAAGGAAGAAACGAAGCACAGAAATGCTGGTATGAACGGCTGGTTTACTAGTCTTGAGTGTGCACAAACTGTTACTGACGCCTATTGTCATCCAGTTCGTACGTATCCTGACCCATCAAACTCATGATCACTGAGTCAACCATACACTTTCTTGCTCATAAATCTACCTAAAAAACACACGAAAAGCCAGCACCCATTCACCTTCAAAACATAGGCAATATCCATTGGGATGCTATAAAGTTTAAAAACTCTCATTCAAAGCTACCTCAGGTTTACCCTTTGTACTTTCGAATGGATGAGCATAAAAAAACAGAATACAGGGCTTATTGAAATTGTTGCTCCTGAACATTACATATATTCAATTGAATAAATCTTTGTCCCTATTTTACTGTTTGAATACACTTCATTTAGTGGATACGACTATACTTGGACCCTTTCAGCTTAAGTTGTGTTATGAAATATAGTTATAGTGCATCTGATTCATTGTCAAAGACAATCGTCATATTCACCACTTTACGCACTTAATTAAATTGCTGTCATCATATTATCCGAAATATCATTTTTTCTTCTTCTTTATCATGAACCGTTTGGGTTTTGGCGACTTTCATCAAAAACACTTTGGTCCAGAACAACAGCAATACTGGCAATCTATACTCTTTCAACAACCAGCACCTGAATACAATACAGTTGATCATGTATATTATGATGAACAACAGCAAGATCAATACCATGATCTAGATCAAGACAATCAGGAACTCTCTCAAGAAGTCAAAGATATTCTTGATTTCTCAGCAGCCTATCAAAGAGAACGCGAATTAGAGCGTTCAAAGCAAGAAGAAGAGGAAAAAGAAGACACTGAGAACTGGATCTATGATGAATCTACTATTCATTTCAGCAAAGGAGGTGTAGAAGCACCTGCAACAACCTTAGTATTAACACAACCGAGACCAATTCAACCAAGTAAAATAAGAATGCAACAAGACTTACTCAATTCAGCTTACTTAAAAAGCTGTTTGGATCAAGAGCATGTTGTACTCTGGCCTGTGATTCCTTTAAACCTTTAACATGACGTGATGAAACGGACTTTATCGAGTTGAATCTCCGGTAGTCTTTTCGTATAAAATCTTTTTTTTTCTCCTTTTTTTTCTTAGTTTTTTCCTTCTTTTTGCATATCTCTTTTCATATTCGTGTATATAAGTATACATCGTACATACTACGTTCTGTACATAGTTTAAAATGGTAAATAAATCTACCTTATTTCCACCATTTTATTCCGTGGATCAATTCACTTGGTCCACACCTTTTGTGATTGGACCTACTATTTTACTTACAACACTCTTGGTGTTTGGCATACCTCGTTACTTGAACAACCACCATTTCAACAACACAGTCACTCTGCATCGACATTTGACAGCTTTTTCCAAGTTTCTGGTATGTTTGTGCTTTATTGTGGCCATCACATGGATTGCCGATGCAGCTGTCATTGTCACTAGGGCTATTCTTGAGCACTATTGGACATCATCCGTCTTGGCTTTTTATACCGGTATTTCATGGCTAGCATGGGCATTGAGCTTATTTACATTGGCTGATGAAACACAACATTATGGGAAATGGTATTGGACACAATATCTCTTTTGGGTATTAGCTGTGGCAAGTGACACAGTCGTAGGTTGGTTATGGATCATGGGCATAACAAGACCAGAACCAGGTAGCTGAGATCATGAAATGAAAGAAGAAATTGACGAATTTCTATAGGTACTGAATTCACTCTTTATGATCATTTCTTATTGGGCATATTCATCGTCCGATACATTGTGGAAGTCATTATCGTTCTTTTATCCATTGCTCATTTATTCAGTACCAATCATAACACACTCGATGAAGCTTCACCTCTTTTAGGACAACAACAACAAGAAAATTACGGTACCAAGACTAATAATGAACCTAGTCCTTTTAGTGGATTTATGGAGAAAATGAAAAAATTGTTACCTTTTATTTGGCCTCATCATAACCTTAAGTTGCAACTCTATGTCGTACTATGTTTTGTCATTATGATCTTTGGCTTTATTGTCAATTTGTTAGCTCCTCGTCAAATTGGTCAAATTGTAGATAACTTGAAAGAAGGACAATTCCCTTGGATCCCCATCTTGTTCTATATTGGGCTTAAATTCCTTCAAGGAGGTGTAAGTGTTTAAGAAAGTAGAATTTTTTTTTCTTATTTAATTTAGTCGGGCCTTCTTCAAGCACTCCAAAATTGGCTTTGGATTCCTATTGGTCAATACACCACAAGAGAAATCTCTTTGAAAACCTTTAGCCATTTGCATAGTTTATCCTTGGGATTCCATATCAGTCGTAAGACAGGCGAAGTATTGCGTGTGATGGACCGAGGCACAAGTTCAGTGGTGAGTTTGTTGAACCAAATCTTGTTTCAAATATTCCCTGTCTGGGCCAATATTATCTTGATTTCGTTCTTTACGACCTATGTCTATGCTCCTTCGTTTGGTCTGATTGTCTTCTTGACCATGGCTATGTACATGTACGTGACTGTTGCTGTAACTGAATGGCGTACCAAATACCGTCGACGTATGATTGAACTAGACAATTATGCTCGTACCAAAGCCGTAGATTCCTTATTGAATTTCGAGACAGTCAAATACTACAATGCAGAAAACTTTGAGATCAATCGCTACAAAGACGCTATTCTCGAATACCAAGAAGCAGACTGGAAGAGTTCTGTATCCTTGAATGTTTTGAACTTGGCTCAAAATGCGATTATCACAGGTGGCCTTTTGAGTGGCTGTTTGTTGTTTGCTTATGAAGTCTCCAGTGGTGATTTGAGTGCAGGTGATTTTGTTGCTTTTAACATGTACATGATGCAACTCTATACGCCTTTGCATTGGTTTGGCACTTATTATCGAATGATTCAGTCCAACTTTATTGATATGGAGAAAATGTTGGAGTTGCTTGACCAAGTTCAGACAGTTCAAGATGCGCCTGATGCAGAAGAATTAGTGGTGACTGAAGGCCATGTTGTGTTTGGTAAGTTCAGTTGGATAGACACATTGCTCACAAGCCTCTAGATAATGTCACTTTCTCTTATGATGGTCGTCAAACAGCCCTTGATGGTGTCTCTTTTACGATTCCTAAAGGTGCTACTGTGGCTCTTGTAGGTCCTTCAGGTGGTGGTAAATCCACTATTTTGCGCCTCTTGTTCCGTTTCTATGATCCTGATGCTGGCCGTGTCTTTATTGATGGTCAAGATATTCGACAAGTCACTCAGTTGTCTTTGAGAAAGAACATTGGTGTTGTGCCTCAAGATACTGTCTTGTTTAACGATACGATTTACTACAATATTCAATATGGTGATGTCAATGCAGAAGACAGTCAAATCAAACGTGCAGCCAAAGCAGCTCAAATTCATGATAAGATTGAGACATTCCCTGATGGTAAACAAGAAGTGTTTGTATGATAAATACTCACGTCTATTCTTTATTAGGTTATGATACAAAGGTGGGTGAGCGTGGTCTTCGTCTAAGTGGTGGTGAAAAGGTAAAGTCTCAACCGTCTCCCATGCATCTCCTGACCATGATTATAGCAACGTGTGGCTATTGCAAGAACCATTCTAAAGAATCCTCCTATTATTTTATTAGACGAGGCTACAAGTGCATTGGATACGTAAGTCCTACTACTACTATCTTTTCTAAGTTCATTTTTATTCTAGTACAACAGAAAGACATATTCAACAAGCATTGTCTGATATGACTAAGGATCGCACCACACTTGTCATTGCTCATCGTTTATCTACTATTGTCAATGCAGACTTGATTTTAGTGTAAGCAGAGATATAAACATTTATTTGGTATACTCATTCAGACTAGTATCAAGGATGGTAAAGTGGTTGAATCTGGAAGTCATGAAGAACTGATCAAGAAAGCAACTCAACAAGGCCAAGGTAAGTTGTTATTTAATAGAATCATAGGTCACTCATCTATATTGAATAGGCGGTATTTACTATGAAATGTGGCAAAAACAACTTCATGATGAAAATGATACTTTAAATGACCATTCAACAGACGAAGAGAACACAAAGTCTAGAGAGATAGATACTCAAATCATTGAGCTTGAGAATCCAGTAGAAACAAAGGTGGCTACTTCTTCTCCAACAGAAGTAGAAGTGATAGAATTAGATGAAGAAGAAGAAGAAGAACAGCAGCAGAAAAAAGAACAAAGTTCTACTGATGCTGACAACAATAACTGTTCAACACCTTCTTCTTCCACTGCAAACAGCACAAACAAAAAGAAAAAGAAGAGAAAGAGTAGAAATAGAACAAAATCGAAATTCTAATAAAGCCTTGATTTATATACTTTTATTATTATTATTTTATTTTATTTCATGATGGATCAAGGAACAACAGACAGTAAGTCAATAGCTGGTCTACTTGTTATACTCATACCTCATTGAAGACGATCTCTTATTAGCAGCCTGTAGAAATGATCAAGACGAGATGCTTCAAGACATCTTGAAAGAACAAGATTATGATATTAACTATGCAGATCCTTTAGGAGATACAGCCCTTCATTACGCGTAAGTAGAACAAAATACAGACACGACTGAAGCAGTCTTAGAGCGCGTTTTGGCTCCCTTACATGCCTTGAACTTTTACTTGAACAGCCTGGTATTCAAGTGAATGCACGTAATAAAAAAGAAGGCAATACACCACTTCATTTAGCAGTTCAATACGAAGATGATCCAGAAGTAGCTGTAGCCATGGTCAGTGCCTTATTAGATAAAGGAGCAGATCCACGTCTCAAGAATAAGGCCAATAGTTCTGCAGCTGATTATGTTGTGGGTCGACAGGATGACATGCGCGACTTGATTGATCAAAGTATGGCAGGGTATGATATGAGTGACTCTGATGAAGAAGACATGCAAGTCATCTTTAAATAAATAAAACAAGCTTTATTTCAATACAACAGCAGCATTACGACTACCTAAATAAGCTTGCACATTAGGTACGCCTAATGTACGAATGAATTGATAGATTTCTGCATTATGGTATCGCAAACCAGTTTTGGGATCTGTGTATTTAGCTTCCAAACCCGTAATATCACAATACTTCTTTTGAGGTAAAATAGAAGGTGGACATTCAATGTTTTCATCTAACAAGAGTGAGGCAGAGCAAATAACATGAGTCTACTTACAAGTAGGTACATCAAGAGCATATTGTTGTTCGCGTTCCATCGTCAAGATCTGTTTTAGATTCTTTGTCTTTTTTGCTGTCTTTGTCATTTTATTCTTAAAAGGCTTTTTGGCTGTCAATAGATTAAGTGGTCCTTCATATTCAGATTCACTATCGGATACACTGTTTGTCTATAGAGCAAGGTGAATAAAACAAGTCATACTATGCTTTTCTCTTACTCTTCTTCCAAAAAGCGGACGCTTGGTAAGTTTTTTGGGTGCCCTATACAGTATAAGTTCATGATGCACTTGATGAAAAGTGAAGCTTACATGAAAAAAAAGAGTTGCCAAATATGGATTGTTCAGGCAATTGATTTCAATGTCCGTATAAATCGAGTCACGAAGCTGACGTACTTTAACCTATTACGTGACCCAAAAAAAAAAAGAAAGGCAAACGTGTACGCGCATTCATTTTCTTTTTCTTGTTAGTTTATATATACATTCAAAATGGTATAGAGCATGATGAACACAACAATGATAACTTATTTCTTATAGGGTAATTCTCAATCTGGTATGCCAAGAGGCAATGACAAAAAAGACAAGGTAAGTGAAATGCATATAAATGCACACATTGCTCATTTATTTGCAGGATAAGGATAAGAAGAAAAAGTGGGAGCCTCCTGTCCCTACACGCGTTGGTAAAAAGAAGAAGAGAGGACCCGATACCACGGCTAAACTACCTCAAGGTAAAGAAAAATAAGCACATCAACTCAATGTCTCATTAACCCAAACTAGTCTTTCCTACCACCCGTTGTCGTCTCAAGATGTTAAAGATGGAACGTATCAAAGATTATTTGTTACTAGAAGAAGAATTTGTACAAAATCAAGAACGCTTAAAGCCTCAAGAAGAACGCGACCAAGAGGAACGTACCCGTGTTGATGATTTACGTGGTTCACCTATGACGGTCGGTTCTTTGGAAGAAATCATTGATGATGACCATGTCATTGTATCTTCAGCTACAGGCCCTGAATACTATGTCTCTGTCATGAGTTTTGTTGATAAAGATTTATTAGAACCTGGCTGTAGTGTGTTGTTGCACCATAAGACCATGTCTGTTGTAGGTGTGTTGGCAGACGATACAGATCCTATGGTCAGCGTCATGAAACTCGAAAAGGCACCCACAGAATCCTATGCAGATATTGGTGGTCTTGAACAACAAGTACAAGAAATCAAAGAAGCAGTCGAACTGCCCTTGACACATCCTGAACTCTATGAAGAAATGGGTATTAAACCACCCAAGGGTGTGATCTTGTATGGTGTGCCTGGTACGGGTAAAACCTTGTTGGCCAAGGCTGTGGCTAACCAGACCAGTGCCACTTTCTTAAGAATTGTGGGTTCTGAACTGATTCAGAAATACTTGGGTGATGGTCCTAAACTGGTGCGTGAATTGTTCCGTGTTGCTGAAGAGAATGCACCTGCTATTGTGTTTATTGATGAAATTGACGCTGTTGGTACAAAGCGTTATGATTCCACTTCAGGTGGTGAGCGTGAAATTCAGCGTACCATGTTGGAATTGTTAAATCAACTGGATGGTTTTGATTCAAGAGGCGATGTCAAAGTCATTATGGCCACCAACAAGATTGATAGTTTAGATCCTGCCTTGATTCGTCCTGGTCGTATTGACAGAAAGATTGAATTTCCTTTACCTGATGTCAAGACAAAGCGTAGAATCTTCAATATTCATACCTCAAGGATGACTTTGGCTGATGATGTTGATTTGGAAGAATTTGTGATGTCCAAGGATGATTTATCGGGTGCTGATATTAAGGCTATTTGTACAGAAGCTGGTCTGATGGCCTTGCGTGAACGTCGTATGAAGGTAGTGGCTGATGATTTCCGTAAAGCAAAGGAGAAGGTCTTGTATAGAAAGAGTGAAGGCACACCTGAAGGTCTTTATCTTTAAATAAACGCTTTATTTGAACACATTGCATGTATTATGCCAAATGATCTCAGAGAGTTCTTTGGGATCTTGGTTACGGATGGCAGCTACTACAGTCAGTACTAGGCTAATGGTAGCTGGTTCATTGCGTGATTTGACCATGGTTCCCATCTCAAACTTTTCTTTCTTTTTAGCAGCAGGTACGTCCTTGGGATCCAGATAAGCATAAGAGGCATGTGTGGGTCGAATGTCACACCAAGGTGCATCTGTCTCGATCATCAAACGATCTTCTGGAATGGCCTTGACGACATCAAGATTGGCTTGTGTCTTGAGTGAGCATCCATTGACACCGATATACAAACCAAGCTCAACGAGTTTTTGCATTTCTTCTATAGGCCCAGTAAAGGAATGAACTACACCTTGAGTGAATCGGTGTCGGTTTTGTTGAATCATTTGATAGAAATCATCCCCTGTATTGCGATTATGCAAGAACATGGGCAAACCTGTCTTCTCTGCTAATTCAAACTGTCTCAAAAAGTACTTTTTTTGTGTCTCTTTATCACAGAACTGAATACGATCATAATCAAGCCCACATTCACCAATGGCAATGACGCGTTTTGATGTAGCAAGTTGAAGTAACGCGTCAAAATAAGCTTGAGGGCCATCTGGATAGCTTTCAAATTCAGAGCAACGCGTGGGATGACACCCGACAGTCGAGTACAAAAAGTCTAGATGAATCAGCCTGTTATCATATCCATCTTTGTTTTACCTGGATGTTGCTCTGTCAGCTCGATGGCCTCTTTTGACTCTTCCAAATTGGTGCCTGTAATAAAGATCTTTTCAACACCTGCATCACGAGCACGCTGAAGAATCAATCCAAAGTCATCTAAGATGCTTAATGACTTTATGTGTGTGTGTGTGTGTTTTTTTAGTTTACCTGCATGAGCTTGTTTGCCTCGATATATACCCCTGAACATAGGGTCTGTCATGTTTACTCCAATATCTATGAGTAGTTGTTAGATTATATTTGATGTCATGCCTTACTTGCCTATGAATCTCATCATACGCTGCATGAAAATAAAAAAGTAATGAAATTCAACTCTAGAATTCAGAAGTTTCTTTTGGAAGAATTAGTTTCCCGTTCGGCAAAACTGTTTCTTTGACTATGTGTAACATACGCTTATGATCTTCCCTTGTCTTGTAAGTCACTGTAAGGATAGTTCGCTATTTCATTGCTTAATGAGCATTGTGTCTATAGTCATTAAATGGAAGAAAAAGAGTAAAAAGAAAAAAAAAAGAAAAGAAAAGAGGCATTTTATACTGTTTTTCACGTGCGATCAACTTTGACTCCACAAATCCCGTGTCCCCTCCTCTTTCCTTTGGTTTATAATTTTAATCAGATTTTTTCTCACTCTTCCTTCTTCCTTCTTCTTCTTCTTTAATTCTCCTATGTCTTCAGAAGAACAACCATCATTTATTCAACACCCGCATTATGCGAATAGTCAAAACATGTTCAACACCAACTTATTAGGTGCGATCTATGTCAGTAGCATTCCACTCATAACACCACCACAACAACCACCTCAAGTTGATGACCAAGGTCAACCTATCAAGATCCGCAAGAAGCCCGGTAGAAAACCCAATCCTGCCTCACCTGCATTACGTAAAGCACAAAACCGAGCAGCTCAACGCGCATTTCGTGAACGCAAAGAACGCCACCTAAAAGACCTGGAGGGTACTATCAAACAACTTAGAGACCAACGCAACCATGCCCTGAAAGAACTCAATCAAACCAAAGCAAAAATGGACGCCTTTCGTGCAGAAAATTGGTATTTAAAGGGCGTTGTGCTGACACTTCAATTTGTCTGCCTCCATCATAATATTCACATACCGACCCATTCACCTTATTTGACAGAAGAAGCATTGAGTGAGATGGCCAAGACAACGCCACATGCGATTGAGGCGTATGTGAATGCATATACAAGAAACAATATTCATTTAAAACCTACGATGGCAGCACATTTCTCAAATACAGATATACAAGATGACGATGATGAACAACAACAACAAGAAGAAGAAGAAGACGAAGAAGAAAGAGAAGGATATGACCGGAGAGAAGAAGACATGGAACAGGATACACCCCACCAAAGACATCCTAGTCTTACTTCTTCAGAGACAGATCATTCAGTCAAAGAAGAACAGATAGACCCTACACCTACTGAAGAAGAAGGACCCAATCCTTCCAGTATCAGTGCTATTCAACGCCTTCGACTTCAACTCAGACTTCAATCCACTTTATCCAACATTGGCAAATCCGCAGCACGCTTACAGCCTACCATCTTACAGCTGGCTATTCCTCATGACCCACGTATTGACTTGATACCCACTCCGCATATGAGAGACCGAATGATTATCTTTAGAGACTTGATGGACTATGACCGTTGTTTTGCCTTGTTGCTCAATGGTGCATTGTATCATGGGGGTGATCCTACCATGAGTGCCAGTTGGGAATTGCCGCCTGAATTCTTTACCGAGTTTTGGTATTTGGCAATTAATTATGATGTGACTAGGACAAATACCTGGAGAAGATTGAAGGGTTTGCCAGACATCACAGCCAAAGAAACCATCGAACAACACCAGCGATGGAATCCAGACCCTCAAGAGAGTGTTTGGACAGATGATGTGTTCTCACAAATGACAGCAGGGATGCCAACATTGCAACCCTTGGACTCAAATCACTTGGCAAGTGGGTTTGACTTTGGTTCACCCAACTTGGATATATTGGATCAGTCGTATTTATTACATTCAGAAGAAAGACATAGATCACCAAGTATAGGTAAGATGGTAATGTATCTTAGTGTGGTATTGATCATGATGCTTTAGGTGCCATGATGAATTTAATGAATTCACTGTCTACAGATCCATCTCTTTCATAATAAAATCATATTTATTTATTAAAGTATCCAAACAGTACTTCCTACAGCAACAGCAGCAATAAGACCATAATGAGCTATTGGATGTGTTGAACCATTGGTCTTGACATCCATATTTGTCTTGGGAACATTTGAGGCAGTGGGTTTAGCCATGCTGGGACTACCACTTGGCTTGTTGATACTGCTATTAGGAGCTAGAAAAAAAAGTGAGTCATCTAATCAAAATCAATGTCTTTTTTTTTCTTTACCTGATACAGATGATGTAGGACCAGCACTAGCAGAAGAAACAGGTTGAGTACTATTGGGAGCCAAAATATCTTTTTTTTCGGGTGCTTGCATAGAAGATGGCCTAAAAAAAAAAAATCCCCTCCATTTATCAGCCATCATGATAAAAGAAAAGAAAAAAATATTTTTACCAATTGGAAGTAATACAAGCATCTCGACAACCACTGCCACCTTCTTTGTCACATTTCACAATACAGCTATTGGCTGCCATGACTACAATTCATAGTGAACACAAAACCTAAAGTTCATAATGACTTACCACATTTGTCAATACAGGCTTGTTCCGTAGGTTTACAGTCACAAGCAGCAGAAACAGAAGCAACAAAGAGACCAAGCACAAAGAGAACAAGTGAAGATTTCATAATAAACAAGAAGAAGAGGAATAATGGTTGAAATTGTCCTTTGTCTTTTGTTCTTTTTATATGCTACTAACCCCTTTTCCTTTTCATATGAAATTGAATCGTATTTTTTTCTATACATGGCAAGTCCAAAACCCTTAATTTATCCCTCCAACATTCTTTTCATTATACATGGCCACAGACATTTTATCACAATCTATGCATACGTCGACTGGAACGTCTTTTAAAGATAAATTGAATGATCTCCTATTTCTCACTGACAACTCGGAACAACCTTAAGGCTGGTCACCCTTATTTCTAAATATATCAATGTCAATAGCACAACATAAATTTATTTGTGGTACGCTTGAGTGTAACCTTATATTCTTATTATGCTGTGTATCGTCAACCTTATAATAACCAATATACACTGTATAAATTCAATTAATCTTTTAATTTTTTTTTAGCTTTTTTTAATATATAAAATCTTCAAAAAAAAAAAAGAAACATCATTTTATTATCAACAGCATAAAGAAGCATAAAAATATACACACATACATACATACATAGATAGAAGCATACAATAAACTTGTTATTATTATTATTATTTTTACCATAAAGAAGAAGGTGAAGATGAACTAGAGGAATAATAAGAATTTCTTCTTGAAGTTGAAAGTGATGTACTATTGAACATAGCAGCAGTAGCAGCTTCAATCGTTTCAAGCGGAATATCATCCCAAGACCATGTATTCCAATCAACCAAGGTGCGGACATCTACTTTACGTTTGGCAGCCTTCACAAAGAGCTCGGGTGGTCTGATTTTTGTGTGACGCAAATAATAACTTTTACATGTTTCACACCAATGTCCATGACCACATAAATTGCGATACCATTGATGTGTTTCCCGTACTTTGCAGTTGGCACAGAACTTGTCTTGGGGTTTAGGTGATCGAGGCGAATAAAACACCATAGGCAGCCCTTTTGTCTCTGTCATACGAGGACCAGGTCGATTGGCAACAATCAGACGTAAAGGTCTAGGTTCACCATGCTTGAGTTGATACCGGTAACAGGCAACACAAAGACGACGTCTAGAAGCAGGTTTCGTATTACAATTAAAACACATTGGCTTAAACTTGGTAGGTCGGGGTTGATGGAGTAACAAGAGTAAAGCGGGATACATACTTGGTTGATGCGTGGGTCCAAAAAAGATAGGTCGAGGTAAATTGCGGTAGTCTAAACCAGCATGGTCAAACAGGAAATCAGCCAACTCGATAGCTGACTTGAGTTTACAGGGATCCAATTGATGCAGATTGAACCGGAAAAGCGTATTGAGCACATGGTTCAGACGGTAAATGTGGTCTTCTTTAGCCATATTGGCATTCTCGAGAAAACGAACGTCTGTTCTGCCGGGTGTGGTGTCATGCTGAGTGTAGCGAAACAAGTGAAGTAACCAGGTAGGGAAAAAGATAAATTCAGGTGAGACGAGTTGGCTTTTTGAATTCTCTGTACGGAAAAAGACAGCCAAAAGACGCATCTGTTGAGTCAGTTCAGTAGATCGAATAGGACGAGATGCTTTACTGGTGCCAATATGACATCGAAAAGAACCATTCATGTGTCTCCCAATCACTTTAATATGAACAGGCACTTGGTGATGTTGTGTTGTCAATAAAGCATCTGTAAGTGAGTTTCTTTCGCTTGAAGTCTTGAATTCATAGCCTGATCTTTTGAGAGCAGCTTCCCATAATGGCATCAATTCATCATCATGAATAGGACGATCAAACATAAAAGGCTCTACTGTAGTATTCTGAGGTAATAAAAGTTCAGTAATGTTCATAGTTTCATTCAAGTGAAAAAGTGAAAGAGAGAGAGAAAAATAGAAAAAAAAGAGAGAGAGAAAGAGAGAGCCAACTTGGCTTATTTTATACTCAAAACATGAATACATGTTACTTCTCCCCTTTTTTTTCTTCTTTTTTCTTTGTTTATTATCCAATGAAGATTTCTTTCTTTTTCATTGTTTAGTTCCACGAGATAATAGCATGGTTTCTTCTCTTTTTTATTTCTCCTATTTTATACAACTGTCTATATATTTAATCATGATTGTTCTCGAGACGAATGACAACTTCAAAAAAGGGTTCAACAATTTAAACACCGACAATGGATTCAGTCAAAACAATTTCTTTTTTCTTTTTCTCTTGTTTGTCTAACTATTGGATGAGTGCACCAGAAGAAGACTTTTCGTCTTTATCGATAGCAGATAAACTTCAACACAAGGTAATTTGTCTTGATGAGCATAAGCCCTATTGACAATCAATAGTCTTGGAAAGCGCGTTTACAAGCTTGCGAAGAATTAACCAAGTTACTTCATGCAACAACAGAAGATGCTGATTTTGATACCTATGAACCTTTTCTTAAAAAATTAGCTGTGGAACCAAATGCAGTGGCTCAAGAAGCAGGCCTGTCTGCTATATTAGAATATGTTGCCAATGCGCCTCATGCATCAAGGTAATATCCTGTTTAAGAAAATGAGGGGACTCATCCTGCTTAGTACACGTGAGACAGTGATACCTGCCCTTGTTGAAAAATGTCTAGGAGCAACCAAGGCAGGCACTAAACAAAAAGCAACCGACATCATTTTATTGTATGCAGAAATAGACACACCTGATCCTGTGCTGGTAAAGTGTGGCTCAAGGTGCTTTTTATGAGCTTACGCCATCTTTAGGAATTCGTTGTGCCTGGTCTTCAAGCAAAGCAACCTAAATTAGTCACGCAAACAGTGGTTGTGATCAAAGAACTTGTCAGACAGTTTGGTGCTAAAAAAGTCAGTCCTAAACCTATTCTCAAGTTACTTCCCAAATTGTTTGGACATACGGATAAGAACGTACGAGCAGAAGCATCTGCACTGACGATAGAACTCTATCGATGGATTGGACAGCCTATGATGGCCAGTTTATCTGATTTGAAACCAGTACAGTTGAAAGAATTAGAAGAGGCATTCAGTAAATTACCAGCAGAGAAGCCTAAGCCAGAACGACTGATTCGATCTGAACAAGTGCAAGATGAACCTGAACAAGAAGAACAAGCAGAAGATCAAACCATGGGTAAGCACACGTACACAAATAGGTTGAATAACCAAAATCTGTAGAAGAGAATGAAGAGATGGATGTAGATGAAGGTGATGCATTTGATTTTGCTGATCCTGTCGATATTACAGCCAAATTGCCCAGTCAGTTTAATGAATTGATTGTGTCAAAGAAATGGCAAGAGAGAAGAGAAGCTTTAGACGCTTTATTGGAACAAGCCAAAACACCCAAGATTCTAGATAAAGACTATAGCGAGCTCATAGGCCATCTTGTCAAAGTAAGTTTTTCAAGCCAATGATATATCATTCATATCTCTTTTATCAGCGTATCAACGATTCCAATATCCTGCTGGTGGGCGCTACTGCGTCTTGTGTAGAAGCCATTGCCACCGGTCTAAGAACAGATTTCGGCAAATACAAACCTTTGATTGCACCTGTCATGATTGAGAAACTCAAAGAAAGGAAACCAGCCATTCTAGAACAATTAGCCAACGGTCTTAATGCAGTATTTGCCTCTGTGCCTATGTCAGAACTGGTGGAAGACATCACTGTCGCCTCCAAGCACAAAAACCCTCAAGTCAGATCAGAATCATTCAAGTTGTTATCGAGACGATTAAAAGAAGTACGTGAAATACCGGGTAAAGCAGAGATCAAAGCATTTGCAGACATGTTCAAGAAACTACTGGACGACGCTGATGCCAATGCCCGTGAAGCAGGTGCGGAAGGGTTAGGTACTTTGATGAAACTGATTGGTGAGAAGCCCATGTTGGCATTCACAGATGGATTGGATGATATCAAGATGGGCAAGATCAAGGAAGCATGTGAAAAGGCAACTGTCAAGGCAAAAGCACCTAAAAAAACACCTCCTGTAGTCAAGAAACCACCAGCACCAGCACCACCTGTTGTCAAAAAAGCAGCGCCCAAACCAAAGCCTAAAGCAGAACCACCTAAAGCAGATCCTATGGTTGTTGATGAACCAGCCATGTCACCTCCTAAACGTAAACCCCCAGCTCGTTTAGCAGCTGGCAGTGCTAAGAAACCAGCCCTATCTTCTTCTAAACCGAAAGCCGCAGCACCTTCTTCAGCTCCTAAAAAGAGTGCCAAATTACCTCCTTCCAGTGGTCCTGAAGAAATCAAATACAGATTCTCTCAAGAAGACGCTGAAGCCCGCGCCACTGAATTTATTCCTGAATCTATCCATACAGACCTCCAACAAGCCCAATGGAAAGTACGTCTGGCAGCTATGGAATCACTCTGTAAACACCTTCAGACAGAAGACGACACAGAGCCTGAAATCGTAATTCGTGCATTATCCAAAAAACCTGGTTGGAAAGAAATGAATTTCCAAGTGATGACACAAGTCTTTGGGGCCATTCAAATCTTGACAGAATCTCCCAAATTTAATAAAGCATGTGGGTCTCTTGTGATTCCTGTGATGGTAGAGAAATTAGGCGACATTAAACTCAAAAAACCAGCGAGTGAATGTTTAGTGGCCGTGGCTGAAACAATCTCGCTCCAATTTGTGTTTTCGCAAGCGTATCCTGTGCTCAAGAAAGCCAAGTCGCCCAAAGTGTTGGCAGATGCTATGTTATGGATGCATGCTTCTCTGTTGGATTTTGGAATTGCAGGGCTTCAAGTGCGAGATTTGATTGATCTACTCAAGTTTGGGCTAGGCAACACCAATGCGTCTGTCAGAACAAGTGCAGTGACTGTCTTGGGTGTCTTGAGACAATACATTGGTCCAGGTAAGTCTCCATCATCACCAATAAGACTCACTTAGTGTTAGAAATCAAATCGTTTGTGGAGGATGTGAGTCCTGCCTTATTGGCTACGATTGAACAAGAGTTTGATAAAGTGTCTAAATTAGACCCCCCTCAACCGACAAAGGCACCCAAGGGATCGAGTGGTTCAAGTGCTCAAGCAGAAGAGACGAGCAGCGGCGGGGGTGATGATACCGACGCATTAGATGCCTTATTCCCTCGTGTCGATATCTCTGGTCCCTTAAACAAGACCGTGGCAGAGTGCAGTGATGCCAACTGGAAAATACGTAAGGAAGGTCTAGAGAAAGTCCAAAGTATCCTGGCAGGCGCCAACAACCGTATTAAACCTTCCTTGGGTGGTGATTTCCCTGGTGTGCTTAAACAACGCTTAGCCGATAGTAACAAAATCCTTCAGATGACAGCGATTGAAATCACAGGTGGACTGGCCTTGGCCATGGGTAAACCCTTTGAGAAATACGCGAAATTGTTTACAGGTCCCTTGATCTCGACCTTGTCCGACAATAAGGCCAATGTACGTACAGCGGGTGTTACAGCGCTTGAGAATATCCGCAAGACATGCTCTATGGAACCCATGGCCTCTGTGTTTGGTACGAGTTTGGCCAACGAAGCTCCCTTGTTACGTAAAGAGTTCCTGACTTGGTTTGCGACCGCTGTGAAAGAAGAGCCCAATGTATCGAAATATGATTTAAGCGGTATGATCACGCCCATGTTCTCGTGCTTACAAGACCGTAATGCCGATGTAAGAAAAGCAGCACAGGCTGCCTTGCCTGATTTTATTGGGTGTGTGGGATATGATGTCGTGGCTAGCAAGACAAGTGAATTAAAGGCCGCTCAACGCCAAACAGTGATGCCATTCTTGGAAGCTGCCAGAGGTAATGCACCCACCAAAAAACGTCCCGAGACCATTGAAGAACCTGCACCTAAACCTACTGCTGCTGCTGTTGCGACACCTAGTCGTACAAAGACATTAATGCGTAAGAAAACAGTCGGTGGCATTCCATCCCTCGTCCATCACAAGCTTCAGCACCTCCTCCTGAAGAAGAAGTCTTATCGCCTCCTATCCTTACCAGTGATACACGTGCCAAGACTATACGTGCTAAAAAAGAAAATCGATGGCAATTTGATGCGCCTCGCTCAGATGTGATTGAGACCTTAAAGTCCTTGTTTGATACCAACATGAGTCCCCATTTGAATGCTTTATTGTTCAGTACCAGTCAATATGCTGAAAAGGATCGCTTGAATGGTCTCAATATACTGAATGAATGCTTGACTTCGCCTGATGTTTGTATGAACAAGTATCATATTGACTTTGCTGATATGAAAGCACGTTATGTGGCCAACGCAGACTTGATTTTCAAGTACTTGACAATTCGATTTTTCGATACAAACACAAGCATGTTAATCAGATGTCTTGATATTGCTCAAAATTTAGTGACTGTATTGGACGAAGAAGAGTACAGCTTGACAGAATACGAAGCAGTTTCCTTTCTACCCTTCTTGATCAACAAGGTGGGTGATCCTAAAGAAGTCATGCGTCAACGCATTCGTGCTATTCTCAAGTCATTATGTCGTATTTATCCTGCCAGTAAAATGCTGAATTACTTGCTAGACGCAGCAGGCACTTCTAAAAATGCCAAGGCCCGTGCTGAATGTCTTGAAGAAGTGGCTTCTTTGATCCAAAAGAACGGTATGTCTGTCATGTTGCCTAATAAGGCATTGCCTGTGATTGCAACCCATATTGGCGATAAAGACAACAGTGTACGATCTGCTGCTTTAAACGCAATTGCACAAGCTTATATCTTGGTGGGTGACGCTGTCATGAAGTACATGACTCGTTTAGGAGACAAGGAAAAGGGCATGTTAGAAGAAAGACTTAAGGTAAAAAAAAACCAGGCATCATCTGGATTTTGTTCTCATGTAAATCATAGCGTACAAAGCCTTCTGCAAGTGTATTGGCAGCTGTTGAGAAAGAACAACGAGCTAAACAAGAAGCGGAAGAAATGGAAGTGGATGAATTGCCTTCACTTAGTCAATTACCTCGTCTTGGTGGAAGATCGCAGATCGGCAAGCCTCGCCATAGTCCTCAACGTCCTGTTGTTCATCATATACAGAGTATACCCGAACCAGAACCTATGGAAGATGTCACAGATGATTATGGACAAAGAATACCTGAGCCAGAACCACGCCAATCCCTGATGCGTCCACCTCAACAACAGTTTGGCTATTCAAACCAACACCACCATCATCACCAACAACAACAACAACCTGTGTATGATCAACAAGAAGAAATTGTGGACTATTTGATCGCTCAAATCACTAGTGGTGATCCTCAACCCAGTATTGAAGCACTTAAGAGCCTAGACAAATTCTTGACACAAAACCCTGAAGCTGTGTTACCTGATATTGAACGTTTAATTAATGCGATTACACTTCAAGTCAGATTAGCTTATTCTTCTGTGGATCCTCGTCAGCCTGCTACGACTCGGTTATGTAAACACTTGGTCAATGCGCTTGTCTTGTTGTTCTCCAACCGAGATTTAGCAAGTGCAGTGCCTCAAAGTGCACTTCATCACTTATTACAAGAACTCGCTGCTCGTTTACTGGATCAAAAAATGCTGGCTCTAGAATCAGGTCCTCAACTCTCTAAAGCATTGAATGTAGCCATGGTCAAAGTATTAGAAAACAGTGCGCGTAATGTAACCTTCAGTGCTTTGTTAGCTATCTTGGGTCAATGTTCAGCAGGTTTGCGGCCCGGTGATTCCCCCAGTGCAAAAGATACAAAATACACAGAACTAATTATGAAATGCCTATGGAAACTAGCCAAGACCATTCAAGACAATCTTCGTTCTCAACTGTTGAACCCGGATGAATTGCTCTATGAAATCAATCAGTTCTTTATTGTGACACCACCTGCTGAATGGAAACGAAGAGCCGCTGAAAAAGTACCTTTGGGTGAAATGCCATTAAGGACAGTCAAGACGTTACTGTTGGAACTCGTGAATGGTTTGGGCGATACTATTTTCCAACACTTGACATTGATTGAGCATCCTCAAAGCAGCAGTGTCTATCCTTACCTTCATCATATGTTAGAAGCATGTCGCAAAAAAGACAAGATGCAAAGACAGCCTTCCCCTGCTTATTCACCTCAGCCACAAACTGCAGATTACCATGTACGCAACAGTCGACCTAACTCTGTGTCTTCTTTGAAATCCAATACGATGATGCGAACCTCTTCTATTGCTTCACATCCTTCTTCAGTTGATGGTGAACATCATGAGCTAAGCCCAAGACAAAGTTCGCCTGCTTTAAATGCACCCATGCAGCTAGATGAACCTCAATCTAATGAGACTGCACCACAAACCATGTCTGATTATGATTTAAATGTCACATTGACCAGAATTTTCCAGAAGATTGGTACGAGAGATCAAACCAAACAAGTGCGTAACTATTTGAAAACTGCATGACATACTTATCTGTTTTACATAGGGCATTATTGAATTGTATGAATTCCAAAAGAGTTATCCGTTAGCTGAAGCCAAAGTAAACAACTTCTTGATCCAGACAGGCACTTATTTCCAAAGCTATATTCGACGTGGTCTTAGTAATCTTGCTGCTGAAGATAATGAATTACATGCCGCTGCTCAAGCGCAAGCACAAGCACAGGCACAGGCACAACAAGCGCAAGCTCAGGCACAGGCACAGCAAGCGCAAGCTCAGACACAAGTTCAAGTAGCATCTCAGGTTGTTTCTTCACCTAGTTTTAGTGCATCTTCTCTAGACCATTCAAATACCCGTACTACAACTAATTTAGAATCCACAGAAAGAGTTTCTACTGAACTACCATCAAGAAATGACATAAGAAGTAGTCTTCATGCAGGAGGTATGTGATATATTTTTACGTGTGTATATTGACTATGTTTTAGATGATACAGCGGAAATTAAATTACGATTGTTAAGGTTACAACAAAAGTTTGGTTACAAGACAGAGGCAAGTACAAAACTTAAACCTTAAAAACACTAAACCCTGTAATTAGATGGCAGAAGATTCTGATATAAACGGTCGACATGAATCCTCGGCTCATGGCTTTAGTTCTCGTCGTCAGTCTGGCATAAATCAAGATTACCAACAAACACAAGGTGAATCCGACAGGCAACAATCTGTGTCTGCGTTAAAAGAAAAGATTGCTAAAATGAAGCAAGTTATTAATTCTGCTGCTTCTTCCCCTAATTTGTAAAATAATAAAAATGACGTCAAATATAAAGCGACGCACTGATGATAAAGTAACATACGAATTGACGCAATTCGGTTGGTTCAGCATGATGTAAACAGTCCAATTCGGCCTTTGAACGCGGTATCATTGTTGTCTTTAAGATGACAGCTCCGAAAAGTCCAAAATATATATAAATAGAGCCATCGAAAACATACAACTTCATAACTTTTTTTTCTCTAATATAATCATAATGAAGTTCTCAGTATTTGGATTAGCTACTCTTGCTTTGGGATTACAAACTGTCTTGGCAGCCTCTTGTGACTGCAATGATGGTGATGTATCTTGTCAAAACCAATGTGGTATGTTAAAAGACGCGTTTGATGCCTTTGTTCTTATAGTTCTTTTATAGTGCAAGAAACCAATGATTGTATCAATTCATGTAATGGGGACATTCAATGCTATCAAAACTGTATCAATAACAGTTGGCCCGGTGTTTCTCGAACAGCTGCCGAAACCACAGCTACCATGACTACTGGTTCCATGACAACCGCCAGCAGTGAAGTTACCACTACTCTTATGACTTCTGCTGCTGCTACCACTACTCTTATGACTTCTGATGCTACTACTACTACTACTACCAACAGTGTTATTGAAGCTTCATCTACTGTGGTTCCTTCTAGTGTCGATATTGTTTTCACCAGCAGCAGTACAGTTCCTGCCTCTATCATTTCTGCCGTCAATTCTGCCGCTTCTTCAGCAGCTGCCCCTGTTTCTGAAACTGCCTCCAGTGTTCAATCCGCTGCTCAATCCGCTACTTCTGTTGCCCAGTCTGCCACTTCTGCTGCTCAATCTGCTGCTGCCTCTGTCACGTCTGCTGCTGCCTCTGCTATCAGCTCAGTCGCTAGTTCAGCTACTGCTGCTGCTTCTCAAGCTGCTAGTTCTGCTGCTTCTGCTGCTGCTAGTGCCACACCTGAAGTCAATGCTGCTAGCAAGCAATCTACTCTTGGTCTTACTGCTTTATCTGTCGGCATTGCTGCCGCTCTCTTTGTATACTAATCTTAATCCTAATAAAAAAATTTTTTTGACCTATTACACTTTTTTTTTTTATCTAAAATTGATATCCTAAAGAATGTTACATTCAGTTGTCAAAATGACATATTGGCTCAAGTAAGTCATGGGCAGTTTATACATTGATCGGATCAAGTTTGTTTTTTGCATACAAATCGACTTTCTGTTTAAGACAATTCAACCGTGTAACCCGTTACATATATAAGAATTTATAGAAGATGTACATTGAGTAGAGTAATTAAATCAATATTACGCAACCTAATGCTATAAATTAGAGCAATGTAGTTACACTTCAGGCACGCATATTCTCTCCCCTTTTTTTCTCGCTATTCAGTCTCCGTTTAGTCTAATCCCGATTTGATTCGGCTTTTGGCTTTACTCTTTTTATATACACTATGTCCCATTCAGATGAAGACCACCGCCCTACAACAGAATATACCGAGTTTGAATTTCAAGATTCAGCTGCTGATGAGCCTTTGTTAGCGAACACAGAAAGTGATGAAGAATTACACGTAGAATATAAACTACCTTCAGAAGGTGGAACGATATTTTCAAGCTTTGTAAGTTAATGTTAGACATGCTTTAGAAGCTGATACTTTATAGTTAAACATGGCCAATAGTATTATCGGAGCAGGCATCATAGGATTACCATTTGCATTTAAAGAAGCTGTAAGTTACATGTCATTATTACTTCTAACAAGAATCATTAATAGGGATTTTGGACAGGCATTGCTTTACTGATCTTGTTGACATTGATTGTAGGTAAAGTAAAAATATATAGAAATACTAGTCACCATCTCACTCACTTAGATTGGACTGTGAGACTATTGATTTTCAATGGCAAATTAGCAGGCAGATCAACTTACCAAGATTTAATGGAATTCGCATTTGGTAGACTTGGATTGATTGCCATTTCTATTTTCCAATTTGCTTTTGCCTTTGGAGGTAATACTTGACATCTTTGCTCCTTTTTTTTGGTACTCATCATAGTAGGTATGGCAGCGTATTGTGTGATTATAGGTTAGCCATTACTCTAGATGTAGATTTACGTAAACTCATGTTATGATTAACAGATATTTAGGCGATACAATTCCTCACGTGATTCGTTCTTTGTTTCCCAAAATCCATCAAGTACCTGTCATTTGGATTTTTGGAGACAGACAACTCTGTATTGGGTTCTTTACGCTATTTGTGTCCTATCCACTCTCACTCTATCGAGATATAGCCAAATTAGCCAAGACAAGTGCATTAGCGTTGATTGCTATTTTCATTATCATTATTGCTGTAGCCATTGAAGGACCACAGACAAGCCAAGAATTAAGAGGCTCAAGTGAATTGATGTTTAACTGGATAGGCACAGAAATATTCCAAGCCATTGCTGTCATTAGTTTTGGTAAGCAACAAACCCAACTGAATGTATATTTATCTCCATGGTTAGCTTTTGTATGCCATCACAATAGTTTTCTTATTTTCGGATCATTGAAACAACCCTCTCTGAATCGATTTGCTATAGTGACACATTGGAGTATGGGCATTGCTTTCTTTACTTGTTTTGCATTGGCTGTGTCTGGATACTTGGTGTTTACTGACAAGACAGTGGGTAACATCCTTAACAATTTCCCCTCAGATAATACGTTGATCAATGTGGCCAGACTAGCTTTTGGACTGAATATGTTTACGACGATTCCTTTAGAATCATTTGTTTGTCGAGAAGTAAGTCAGTTTACTTTAATGTTATTCAAACTAGAGACTTGTAGGTACTGGAGAACTTTTTTTGGCCTTCAGCACCTTTTCATCAAATACGACATTTTTTGATTACAACTGTATTGATCTTGGCGACATTGGGTATTTCTCTATTGACCTGTAATTTGGGTGTTGTGTTGGAATTGACAGGTGGATTCTCAGCCACTGCCTTGGCTTTTGTATTGCCTCCTTTATGTTTCTTGAAATTGGCTAAAGGGTCTTTATGGTCTAAAGACAAGATAGTGCATTGGTTGTGTATGCTATTTGGTATAGTCATCATGATTGTAAGCACATTCTATAGTCTTCAAAAAGTATTTTTAGTTTCTGATGAGACAATAGTTCAACATTGTGAATAAAAAGAGAGATAGAGAAAAAAAAATTTAAAAAATTATGCTCTTTATTTTTATTTCCCTGCATGTCTACCACTGATAGTTCCTTACCAGATGTAACAACAAGCAACTCAATCAGCTTTGAATACTAACTTTCTCTTACTCTAGTCATCCACAACCGAATCTTGTAATAATAATAATAAAAAAAACACGTTATGATCTATCTATTGACTGATTTCTACAATAGCACAAAGACCCAACATCACAGCTGTGATTGTGGATTCACAAACTGGAGCTGCCTTTAGACGAAGGATGAATATGCAGACACAAGAAATACCTTCTAGTTCACTGAATGAGGTAAGTCAACTTATCTTATTCGATAGCTTATCCCTAGAGCCAGTCAAGAGAATTCGTAACACCCATCACCCCCTAAGACGTCCATTTCGACCTATTTCTTTAGGACATGCATTTGATATAGACGACAGTACTTCGCTATCAAGTCATACGTATACCGAATCTTCAATGAACAGTACTTCTATTGTCCATGGTAAATAGACGAGTGATTGATATGACCTTTAATTTGTTTCCTTTAGCGATGGCTCCACCCGACCATGTTCCGTTTTCAGACTATTATAAATACTTGCCTAATGACTTGAATCCAGCACAACAAAAGAAACAATTGTTTATTTGGGTAGCACAGAAACACATCAAACAATCTGAATCAGAACCTACAATCAACCTCGACAGAGACTCACTAGAAGCACATCACCTAGCAAACCAAGTCATGAAAGAGGCGATTGGGATGATGTTGGATAAAGATGTACATATTCCAGATTATAAACGACCTGATAACTCTAATTATTCACAAGAAACACCCAACCCTACCAATACTGAAAATGAACGCAAACTCGCTAAATTAGAATCCACACTTCAATTGTAAGTTGCCTCTCAGTATGTGTTCCATAATTGATACTGTGATAGATTTAAGGATGAAATGAACGAATGGAAAGAAAATACCAATCAATTATATGAGGAACACGCTGCCTTAGTGGATCAACAAGAACCTTTAGAACATGAGATCCATCTGGCTGATTTTGACTATGATGAACTAGAACTAGACGATCCCGTTCAAAAAGAATTTGTAGCGAAATACCTTCAACAGACACACACAACCACTCTCAATTACGACCTATTAAACCAAATCAATCAAGAGTTAGATTTAGGCGTCTCAAGTATGCGACAGACCATCAACAGCGTCTATCAATTCTTGCAAGAAACAGATGATTCCGTCTCTCATATCATGGCACGCTTAGCTAAAGAACAAAGAGAACGGTCACGCTATATCCCTATTATGCAAGATAAACGCGTGCCTGGTATCCTTGAAAACACAGAAGAAAAAAGACGCGAAAGTGAAAATAAGGCTGTGGCTGATATTTTACGTTTAATTGCTCGACATGGTAAATAAACATTTTTATTTTGCAAGTGGTATCTCTTGACCGCGTAAAAAGACGCGTTTGACATGTAGATCATCATCTAGAAAGAGAATATCGGCATCCGTACCTGGATCGAGTCGACCTTTAGGAACGCCCAAAACTTGAGCAGGATGTAAAGTAGCTGCCTCTAATGCTTCTACGATGGAACACCGAGTGAATTTTCTAAAATTGCGTACACACTCGTCGATAGTAACTGTACTGCCTGCTAAAGTATCTGTGCCTCTGACATAAGCACCACTCTTGCCACGCACTTCGACTTCTTGTCCACCTAACTGATAAACACCCCGGGGTAAACCAGCAGCAGATAAAGCATCTGTCACTAAGACACAACCTGTCGGATGAGCATAATAAGCAATACGCACTGCATTCGGATGCACATGAACACCATCACAAATCACACCAAAAAAGGGCCTTGGATCAGGTTGTGTAGGATCGTTAGATGTAGAAGAAGGTGAAGGATGACGTTCAGGCTGTTTAGGTAGTGGTAAATCACTAGCCCCCAAGATGCCTACTAAAGAAGGATCGCGATGTTGAAAAGGCATGGCATTAAACAAGTGAGTCATAAACGTGGCTCCTGCAGTGACACCTGCTTCAGCTTGCTTGACTGTGGCTGTTGAATGGCCAATCGAGATAGTCATGTTGCGTTGTACCAGTTGAGGAATGACATCCAACATACCGTCTAATTCAGGGGCTACTGTCATGATACGTACAGCACCTTTTGATAGCTCAGGACCATAAGCTTGATCGAAGGCCTCTATACCTTGATGAACGTCTCGAATGACACTTGCATCATGAGCACCTTTCTTTTGAGTCGAAATAAACGGTCCTTCACAATGGGCACCTAGTATCTCTGCTCCATGGTCCACTGAACGAGGTCTTAATAAGGGTAGAATCTACCATGGTCAGATATAGAGATAGACCAACATTGAGCTTACCTTGCTATATACTTTAGGTGGGGAAGTTACTACAGTAGGACAGAATGCTGTACAGCCATAATGTACTAAACCTCTTGCCACTTTTTCAATGTCCTGTGCAGATAGTTCTTGATCAGAGAAATCAATACCAAATGCACCATTGATTTGTAGCTCAATGAATCCAGGAGACACAATAGCACCTTCAGCATCAATCACAACATCAGGTTCTCTACCAGCATCAAAGAAAGTATGAAAGGCATCAATGATTTTACCATCTTGAATCCATAGATAATCATCGTCTATCAATTGGTGGTTGCGTAGAAAGCGACCATTGATTATTTTAATCAGTTTAGAGTGAGTCATTTACGGAAACAAGTTGTATAATAAACAGCTCATATACTTGTTTATTGATATGATGTCAGTGCGCATATGTATGACGACACACTATTCTATGAAGTCCCGTAAATATGGATCAAGCCATCAGATCCCGCTGATATCATATTCACACTGTCTGGGTGATAATCCAGTGTAGTGGCTACACCTTCATGTGCTTTCAGTGTATGGACAACATTGGCTTCTAATACATCATAAATATAGATTTGACCATCCTCGGAACCTGTAATAGCATATGCATCTGTATTTGACATGACAGAATCAATCTTGTATTCAGTATGTTGATGGCCTTTGAATTCATTGAGCAGTCGACCATTACTCTTGTCCATCAGTCTCATTGTACTGTCTAATGTGCCTACAAGAATACAGTGTTTATCTTTGGACAGCCTTGCACTTGTAATAGCAGGTCCAATATAGTCTTCTTTTAAGTCGCCCATTCGGATATCGTATGTCCGTAATTTACCATCTGCACAACTATACACTAGGGGGGATGAGATAATATGGCATGAAAAGCACTTTACCCTGCTACTATTTCTACGCCTTGCACATCCACAGACATAACACTGTCTTTACAATCTTCAATTACTTGAATAGGTTGAAAATTTGAAGAACGTAAATCCCATAAACGAACAGTGGCATCAAAAGAACCACTGACTAGTACAGTCGAGTCATCATTGAATGCAACTGAATTAATACGCTACATATGACGTCAATATCCTCATGTTTCTTCCATGAAGCCTTACTTCCCAATGAGCTGTATAGCGTCTCATGATTTCACCTGTGCCTACATCCCATAACAGCACACTTCGATCCACACCACCACTTGCAATCTTGGCGTTATCAGAAGCACTAACTTATAAGTCTTATGTAACTCATGGCAAAACATACCAAGCAATAGCAAGTACATCTCTTCCATGGCCATTGTATGTATGTAACAAGAGTCCTGTAGAAGGATTCCATAAACGAATCGAACGATCTCGACCAGCAGATAAACAATACTGGCCTGATTTATTATAGCATACGTCATTCACAGGACCTTTATGTCCTTTCAATGTAGTTTCGATACGCGTAGGATAAGCAGCCATGATAATAATAATAAAAAAAGGAAACAAAAAGAAAAGGGTTTAAGAAAATAGGACAGCCAATCGCGTTATTAGCTCAGTCATTTTTTATTTTTTATTTTTTCAAGTGCTGACAAGCATAGCCGCCAAAGCAGCACCAATACCATTACCATCACGAGCAATCTAAAGGACAAAATGAGAAACAAATAAATAGATAGAAAAAAGTACTTACGCCAATGTTAATACGTTCAAATTGTTCACCATATAATTCTTGAAGTGCCTTATTGACTCGGTCAGGGAAATTAGCATAATGTTCATAAATAGTGCCTTCGACGCTGATAGTCAATCCGGTTTCAAGGCCATCTCGCTTACTGATAATCGAGCTCATACCAGCAGCAATTAAACGAGCGGCTCTTCTACCCACTAGTTCACAAATACGCTTGACCATGTGACGATCTGTCAAAGTAGATGTCTTTAAATTCAACACATTTTCAATGATATGCTTGACTTCTTCCAGTTCTTCTGACTCGTCTCTTTCAATGGCACTCATATAAGCAGCTTCAAAGAAATAAGGTGTATTGAGTTCTTTGGAATAATGAGCATCAAATAACAAACGACGATCCAAGAAATCCACCATGATCAAGCGCACAATTTCACCCAAGTATAGACCAGAACACATCTTTTCATAGACATGAATACCAGGATTCACCGATTGACGATTGACTCGAATATCGTAGAATGTATGGGGAATGGTCTCTGAGTGACGATCACCGAAACTTCCCCATTCTGTGTTGATAATCATTTCTTCAGCATCGACTCTGGATTGGAGTTTAGGTGCCTGATTAACTTTTTCCCAATAAGCAGCATTGGAGCCTGAACTGACAGTACAGGCAAGCAGTGTATCGAGACTACGATAACTATGAGCCAATAAACAACCAGCAGCACCATTGACGACTGCCTTGATGACCACAGGAATTTCACGACGACGGAAAGAGGTCTGTAATAATTCAACCAGGTTCTTCTTTTCAGCACCTGTGATGGCAAAGTCCTTGGTCCAACGCAGAACATGGGCATTATTGATGGCTGTCTGAACAAGAGGGAAAGAGATACAGAGACCCAAAGGCAAAGGGTTTTTACCATCGCCCTTATTGATAAACGATAAAAATCCGTCCACACAGGTTGTCATGAAGTCAATCAGTTTAGATACATGACCCTTTTTCAAGTATTCTTTAACTGTATACTTCACTTGACGTGTCTTGATACGACCTTGACCTTGAAGTGTCACCAGATAGACTCTTACATAAGAACCTAATTGTGATTGAGTCCAAGTCTAGGCCACGTTCCCTTACCACTCAAATCCAAGCCAATATACTCGCCCTTTTCTTGTCCAGTAGGTCTACGTGTAATCCAAGAAGGAAGCATAGGAATATCACAGTCTGTATCACATTGTTGTAGCCCTATATTCATGTCATTTTTCAAGGTTTGTGCGAGTTTCTTTAATTGGTCTGTAGTCAAGTCTAATTGACTTTCCAAGTCTCGAAGAGCAGCCTCTTTGGCTTCTTCGTCATGAATTAAACTTGAAGGATTCATAGTGTAAAGAAAAAGAAAAAGAAAAAAAGGAAAAAGAAATAAACTAAACTAAAAGCTATAGCGGGAAAATAAAATTAAATGAAACCATGATGTCAAGGGTCTATATATATATATTTGATTTTTTATTCTACGCGGTTAAAACCTTCAAGCTGAATTCATCAAGATTTCAGAGATAGCCTCCAGTGCCTGTATTGGGTAAGTTATGCTATCAAGTGTGTTGTATATTACCATTTTAATATGAGCTCGTATTTTGTCTGCTTCTTTAGTATGTTTGTCTGCTAAACTAGAAACAATGTTAATGTAATAAACAACAATCCATAGTCTTACTTTTGTAATTGATCTTGTTTTTTAGTGATAAACGCATTGGCTTCATCTAATGTGAACTGTACATGAAAACCAAAGCCAACATGAACATAAATATATTGAGTATCAGGTCTATATAGAGCATATCAATAATAAAAAACACAAATAGACTGACTTACATGTGTGCTTGTGCATAAAATTGAGATCCAAGATCAACCATCGTCTTGAGTTCTTTTAGATCATTCTCTTGTATTGTTTGAATTTGTGTCTTTAGTTTCTGACTAAACAAAGAGGTTAATTCGTGTTGATGTCAAACAAACCTACTATTCTGAAATGGAGTTGAATATGGCATCTCGCTCATCCAATTCCTTTTTTAACGAAGGTTTTAGTTTAAGGGTAATGAACTCGTCGTATTTCTTGATGAGGGCACCTAAATCTTGTTTGACAGAATCCATTTCTTCAAAAAAAAAAATAAAAAAAAAAATAAAAAAAACTTTTTTCTGAGTTTTATTTGAAAGGAGACCATGGTGCGTTGCATAATCCTCTTTTTCTTTTTTAAAATAAACAATGGAAGAAAACAAGTGGGATACTTACAGTGAAGGTAGGTAGAATTAGACATGATAACCTCAAGTCATACAAGATAGAAATGGAAGATGACGATCTAGTGATGGATGTAGAAGAAATGGAAGAAGATGAAGACATGACTCGTCAGCGAGAAGAAAGCAAAGGATTTCATGATGACTTCATGACTGCAAGTACTTCACGAATGTCCAATACACCCATCTACAGACAACAAGGTGAATTCGCTCGATTGGACGCGTCACCTGTTCATAGCTGGGGTGAAGTAGGTGATGAAAAGAGTGAATCAGTGGCATTGTTAATGCATATGGAAAAGACAATTGTACATCAAAAGTTTTTTCAAAGTAAGTGATGACATGACTTGATTAGGTTACTTAGATGATTTAGCTTTTGATGATGACTTTGATGATGACGATTTAGCCTAGTTTATTATTTACATGTCCTCCATCAGTTGATCACCAATAAATCTTTGTATTTGCTTCCAATGCAGTCTTTGTTGCTCACCAGTATCTCTATCGCGTACAGTGACAGTCTCATCTTCTAGGCTTTGATAGTCTACTGTCACACACCAAGGTGTACCAATTTCATCATGACGATAATAACGCTTGCCAATCTTGAGTTTCTGTGATTCAACCACTGTATACCAACCATGGCGTCTAAGTGATTTAGCTACTTTTTGGACCAATGGATTGAATTCTTCTTTGCCTGTCAAGGGCATAACAGCACATTTAATAGGAGCCAAGCGAGGATGAAGCTTAAGCACATAACGAGCACCCTTTTCTTCCTGTACTTGATGGAACGCATCACATAAATAAGCCAGCATGGCACGATTCAAACCACACGAACTCTCAACGACATGGGGCATGTATTTCTTTTCAGGCAAAGAAGGATCTTCCACATAGAAATTGGCACCTGTGTTTTGTACATGCTGTGTCAAATCATAATTACCGCGATGAGCTACTCCCTCTACTTCACCCCATCCCCAAGGATAATTGTATTCGACATCAGTGCATCCTGTGGCATAATGTGCCATTTCATGCTGACCATGATCACGCTGTCTAAAGTTCTCTGGGTGACAAGCGTGTTCTAACCACCACTGATATCTTTCTTTACGCCAATATTCAAACCACTGTTGGGATTCATAAGGTGCAACAAAATACTCGAGTTCCATCTGCTCAAACTCAGGCGTACGGAAAATACCATGCTCTAATCGAATTTCATTTCGAAATGACTTGCCTACTTGAGCAATACCAAAAGGTGGTTTTGTCTTCATGGTACGCACCACTTGTTCAAAATTGACAAACACACCTTGTGCTGTCTCTGGTCGAAGGTAGACTGTACTCGGTCTAAGGACTTGGTCAACAGCGTGTCGTACTTGTGTTGTGTCTTTTTCTTTCAAGGTGGTTTGGATCACTTTATCAATGGGATCAATAGGATCCAGGAATGTCTTGAACATCAGGTTAAAAGGTCTACTGTCTGTCAAGAAAGGCGAATTGGAGTTGGGTTCAACATAGCCATGATAGGCCACTTCAAATGGTGTTTGAGTGGTTGTCTCTAGTACGATTTTACCCGTCTGTGTGAGTGTTGGCTGAACGACATGGACAGGCTGTAATAACAATTGCTTTCCTTCCATGGTTATTTTTATGTTTTGTTCTTCAAGTTTCTTTTTCCATGCCAAAGCTGTCGTCTTATCGGGTGCTGCAATAGGGATACGTCCACGCTTATCCAGTGTGAGTGCAGGTGCCTTGTCAGGTCTGAATCGTTCTTTACTGAGCGTACAGTCGACCAATAGATCAGTAAATTCATCGACATGGCCTGATGCTTTCAAGACAGGATGAGGTGTGATAATACTCGTATCAATACCAACGACATCATCACGGTAATAGACATGGCGACGCCACCATGAATTCAAAATATTTTTTTTAAGTTCGACACCTAATGGTCCATAATCATAAGCGCCACGTAAACCACCATAGATTTCAGCTGATTGGTACAGAAAACCACGTCTACGGCATAGATCGAGTAGTGTACGAAACTGATGAGCCATCGAAAATAGATACCCAAAAAAAAAAAAAAAAAAAATGGCCCCCTGACAGTTATACATGTATAATAGCTGGTCTTTTTTTTTTTGCTTGTGTGACTCTATCCATACCTCTTTCCTCTCTTCTTTTTCATGGCTCATTACGCCCATTCAAAACGACATGAGATGACACAGTTATATACCCCAGATAAATGCAAATTATATGAAATGGTACAATATCAATGTGAAGCCAGTCAACATCAAATCGAATGTAGTCCTTTTGTTCGCTTATTTTTAAGGTAAAAGTGTGTGTGTGTGTGTGTGTGTGTGTGTGTCATAAAGTTTATCATAGCTAAACTTAACAGGTGTGCTGGTATGCCTATGGTTGAGGTAACACCTGAATATGATCAACATGGAGATCCTTTACAGTAAATGACGCATAAATGATGATGCATTGATTTAACATGATTTCTTAGTACTGATAATGATACAAAAGAGTGATTCAAACATGGCCTTGTATATCACTTGTTATAGAACATCTTATATATATAAAAATGACCTTTCTTTCTTTTAAGTTCTCTTTCTTTATACTTCTACATGTATACAATTCGATTTAGTATTGTTTTGCTTTTAGCTGCTTTTACTGCTGCGCAAATACCAGGTCAAAGTACAAATGATGCTGTTCAAAACATACTCAAATATCTGAGTGAACAGCCTGTCAATCCTGCACTGGCCCTTTCAAATGCACTTCAGCAATTGAATGTACCTGCAATACAAGAAAACACTGTTCCACAAACATTTCAACCTCAAGCTGCTGCTGCCATGCTTCCTCAGGCTGCTCCTCAAGCAGCAGTACCCAATTCAGCTGGAAACGTTGTAATGGCTTTATCTCAACTTTCTGCTATCCCTGCTATACCTGAAAGTGTTTCCTTGCCTCAGGTGAATGCTGCTCTTGCTCCAATTCAAGCTGCTGTACCAGTTCAAGCTGCTGCACCTGCTCCAGTTCAGGCTGCTGCTGTTGTTCCTCCAATACAAGCGAATGAAGTGCCTGCTGAACCACCACAAATAGCTCAAGCACCTGCTAAACCACAAATACTTCAAGCTCCTCCTCCTCCAGAACCTCCAACTCCACCTCAACCTCCTCCAGGTTTCCCTACGCCTATCACACCACCTACACCACCTACACCACCTAATCCATCACCAGGATTACCTCAACCTCCAACGCCTCCTCAACCACCAGGCACTGCTCAACCACCCGTACTCAGCGCAGTGACCACAGTTACGCCAGGTGTTGTACCTACTACTGTAGCACCTATTGTAACAACCACAAGAACTAGTTTAACAACTTCAATGCCAACTGTGAGTCGAAACCTGACAAGTATGATGGCCAGTACTACGCGTACGATAGCTTCTCCTACCATTCCACCTATTTCTGATGCTTCTCATAGTTATCCTAGCCTTTTGATGTTTGGATCATTATTGATTTTATTCTTTTTAAGCACTTAAAAGAGAGTGATTTAGTTCATCTATCATTTCTTTCTTTCTTTCTTTCTTTCTTTTTTACTTTAATAAATCAGTATCATCATGCTTGCATAACAGATAGTTTATTGATAAAGTTCATCATTATGATGCTAACAAGGTTTCTTTTGTTGTTATTGTTGTTCTTTATACATACATATATATATATATTTATATAAAATGAAATTTTACATGCGTAAAAGCGTAGTAAATTCAGAGTTGTTTAAAATGGCTGGTACTTGAACATAGGATACCAAGTCTTTAGGACAATCCATTTGACTAGAATGTATGTCAGTCAAAAGTATTTCATCTTTCTAGAGACTTACGCATGGTGTAAAATATCATTTTTTTGCTTATAAGTAAATCCATCACACAAGATACCAGCACGAACAAAGCGAAGTAAGATATCATCTTCAAAGGAATGCATTGCTTTAGACATATGTTCAAACAAGGCACCTAATAGAGATAAGTATAGCATTCATTTTTTTTTTTTTTACCTGTAGCAAGCTTATAGCATTCATAAATGATATCCCGTTGAGTTGTTGTCACAGTCTTAGGATGATTCCATGGCATATGCATAATGATAGAAATCAGGTATTCAAAGGGTCTTTCAGAACATCGTCGATTATAATTCACCTTAAAGTTACGACAGACATTCAACAAGGCCTGAAGTTCTTTTTGGTTGATAAAGAAAACAGGTTTTTGAGTCATCATCTCATGGACTGTAGTCGACACAGGCAAAACAGGTACACCGTGGTGGAAATCACCTTTCCAGTTTTGAAACAGTGTACGACAAAGCTCATCTTGACTTGAGGGTGAAAACTGAGCCCGACGAGGACACTGAGCATGCCCCAAAGACAAGCTCTTGAGCACATTTCTCAGGTTATCCTTGGATTTGGAGATGATTTGGACAAAGGCAGTACCGAGGGTCTTACCAGACTTGGTATCCATCATGATCTATACAACTTATTAGTCTATAGGGGGGTATCTCTACTTACATGAACACATTGGGGTAATTCAGAGGGAATATCAAAGTAAACACTTCTCTCAAAGGCCTGTCTGATCGTAGCAGCATTTACATCCCAAGGGAACTAGTCAAAGTTAATTCAGTCCTGTTATAAATAGAGAGAGGGGAGTCTTTTTTTTTTGGTTACTTACATTGGTTACTTTGACCACAGTATAGTTTGTTTGAGTAGGGCCAGAAGTATCCAGTTGTAAATTGTTTGCCATGTAAGAAATAGAGTCTGTAATGTATCTAGTTGTGCTGCTATTATCACTCACACTAGCACAGGTATCCATAGGTACGGTAGGCCTCAGATCAGGGCTTTGTATTGCTTGAATAGGATGATAGTCACTTGAGGTTTCTCCTTTGACAACTTTAGACCAAGAGGTTTTTGAGTCCATAGGCGACAAGGGCAGATTAGCATCTCTTGTCTTTAAAGGACCCCAAGAAGCTTGTTCAGAAGTCATTGGTACAAAGCCAGACCAATCAGCACCATAGTTGTTACAATAGCCAGGAATACCAAGTTGAGATGAATGTAGACCTGGAGAAGGAAGGTTAAATCCTGCATAAGGATGGTAGCGCCTCATGTCTGACAAAAAAAAATATATATATATAAGTCATCTTTCTTATAGGGTATTTTACTTGCCTTGTTGCTGTATTTGTGGTTGTTCATTTCTGAATGGTTGGCTAGGACCAGCAAAGGGATTAAAAGTGGGTTCTTGAATGATAGGCATGTCCCTTTCTGTAGTACACAACCATCTGTCGATAGATTGTTGTTTATAACCAGTAGCTAGTAAACAAGTGAGTCAAATGTCACTTGTACCTAAACTTACCTTGTTGTAAACCGCTATTTTGACGAGACAACAAACTTTGTCGTCTCCAAGTTGCAGCACGATCAGCCCTTGATAATGATTGTGGATCTATCATTCTTTTAAGTTTTTTTGATGACCATGATAGCCTGACTTACTTTGGTTCTCCATTTGATTGATAGAAAGAGCAAAAGAAAAGGGAGAAGAAATAATAAAAATGTTGACAAATAAATACAGACAATACAATGCAAATAAACTACGCAGATAACTTCTTTTGTGTTTCTTTATTGTATTCTGTTTCTTTTGTATAGATGATTCAGTCTTGTATTCTATTTTTCAATACATACCATTTACTTTATAGCTTTATATCTCTCTTGCTCTTTATTTCTTTCTTTCTTTTTTTCGTTCCTTACTATAAACGCGTTTAAGAAAAATCATGCTACTCGCGCGTTTGTGTAACTTTTCTAGACGCATCTTTTTTTTTTGTGCAGTAACAACTTTTAAGTTCAGAGCCCGAAAGACGCCATTGTAAGTCAATACGCCTAATGTTTTGACTTATTTGCATGTGAATATTACCATACCTGTTGCTAAACAATGCTCTTGTCAGCAGCATGTGACCTATTTGTTTATTTGTGATTGACATAATGCCTAATTCATGGTAGGTCTTTTTTACTTCATTATTTATCATAATCAATGCCCCCCTCCCTTTTTTTTTATTTCATCAGTTTGGATCACTTAGTTTTTTTTTTAGTGTGATTTTAATGTTAAGAAGCATAAGATAAACAAGCTGGTACTGAAAAGAGTCAAGAAACTGATTGATCATTTTGTATGCTTTAAAAACAGATGCAAAAATAAACATGGCTGCTCTCTACATGTTGTCATTAAAAATAAACTCAAGTACAACATAGTTTTGCTTGTTATTTCATCAAAAACTATAGGGTATGTCTAAGCTAAATCTCTGGTTATTCAAGGTGTTTCTTTTAGGCCATCTTATTTTTAGGCTTTGGTCTTTGTCTACAATAATCAATATCAAAGCAAGACGAGCCAAGACTATCATTGTAAGCACAAATTGCTTTACAGCATATCCCATTAAATACTTGTTGGAAGTTAAAAAGAAACCCGTTGTATTTCTGGACAAATACTGATTGGTTTCGCTATTAAACTTGCAAACAGTGACACAAAAATATATGTATCTAAAAGAGAGTTTAAGCAATACTTACACACAGAAATCTTGTAGTTACTGCTGATAAATCATTCGAAAAAGATGTGGATGATTAACATATGATTGTATAGATTTGTATTGATATTTCTCGGCAATAAAAAGCAGGTGAAAAAACTCCTGGTATTATATTGGCTTAACGAAAAAATTTCCTCCGGCTAGTTTTTCATGGAGATAATTGCAAAGAGAAAGAGCATTGTTGCGATCAGAGGATGAACAAAGCAGGATGACATGCTTTTTTTTTCCTGGAAGCAAATGTCTTGCTTACATAGTCTATAGAGTTTTTAAATCAATGGATATGTTCTGTATGTTAAAAAAACAAGAAACACTGTCCATTTTAAAATGAGTTTTAAGACAGATAGAATGCGCTTTTAAAAATTGGCCCAGTTTTTTATCATTCAAACCCAGAAATAAAGGTATCATGATTCAAAAGCCCTTTCATATGCCAGGATGATATTTAAACGCGCTCAATCCTTTATTGGTAATTTGTTGAGATGTTTAGTTTAAGATAATATAGTTTACTATTTGGTGGTGCAGCCTTTGGCATCTATGACAGCTTGGTATTGGTTGGTCATAGTGTATAGTAGTATGCATGCAATGAGAAGATAGAGTGGTATTCAACTACCTGCTCGTATCCGTGTCAATATTTTGCATATACTGGTTAATGTATGTTATCCTTCTATTCTCTGCTTTTCCTTATAGTCTTATATCTCATACTCTGCTTAATTTCTAGCGCCTAATTTTTGCTTGTTTTTTTCCACACGAATTTTTTTTTTCCATTCAGTGTAGAACGCAAATTCAGTTTTTTTTTTCAAGTTTGTTCAATCATGACTCATTTGTTGAGAAGAATAGCTACAACACCCTTAGTACGTGTTAGTGCACGCACTATGCTACCAAGAATGACTGTTGTTCCTAAGAGAAGTGAGTGTCTTGTCATGCTACCTCATACACTGATTTATTATAGCATTCTTTGTCAATGTTCCCAAGTTTGATCGTATTGCTGATGCAGAAGAACAAATCAAGATTGGATCTGACTATATGAACAAGGGATCTATTGATATGGTATGGTAACATATTTTGTTGACTATGCTTATGATGATGTAGGCCATGCATAGTTATCACAAGAGTGTACAAATTGCCCCCAGTGGTGCTGGCTATTTCAACATTGGTGTCTGTTATTTTCAAATGGGTAGAGTTGTTTGCAATGGAACCTATTCTTTTACTTAGCCAATGATAGGTAAATACAAGGATGCTATCAAATCCTTTGAACGTTCTTTGGAATACACACCTAATTCAGCAGATGCTCATACCAACATTGCCTCAGGCTATTTAATGCTTAAGGATACAGCCAGTGCTATCAAACACCTTGAACAAGCCTCTAATTTCAATCCATTGGATGGTGAAGTACAATATAATCTTGGTTGTGTTTATGAAGCTGTAGGTCGATTGGAAGATGCTAAAACAAGATTTGAGAGAGCAGATTTAGCAGGCATCGATAGAGCACAAAAAGCATTAGACAAACTCAAGAAAAAGATGGAATAAAGATCTTTTTATTATTATTATTATTGTTATTTTCGAAAATTGCCAATAGGAGCAGATCGCAACACTCTATAGAAACAGAGAAATAAGCAAAAGTCATACAGTATTTTTTTTTTTTTTTTTACCTTGCTACATTTTCCATTTCTTTTCTTCGCATTCTTTCTTTTTGGCCCAAGACAGTATTTATAGCCAAAGGTGCCTTTAATACCCTACACAAACACATATATATATATATATAAAAACGCACTTGTCTTATTCATTTACTTACTTTTCAAACAAGGTAACCACATCACGTCCATTCAATCGATTGTATTTCTTATTTCTAGTCTGAGGTGTCAAATATTCTTCTGGATTATTAGACACAATAGCTAAATCCAACAATTGTCTTAATTCCACAAAGGTGTCCATCACTGTAGGATCACCTAAACTCTTGACAAAATCTTCAATAAACCGTACATCGGTATCAAAATTACTGAGAGCAATTTCAGAAATATATCGATCTGCACCCAATATCAGTCCCTTCATGCTCTGGCTTAAATGTTCCAATGCATCAAAATACAATAAACTCTTGATTGTTTCTGGTAAATTAAGTAAAGCAGCGTTTGTCACATTGGTTAAGAAGGTCACCAAGTCTTGTAAGTTGGGACTAGGTTGATTTTGAATCTCTTCTGTTTCCCAATCGTATTCAAACAGTTCCAAGAATTCATCTAATTTTGAATTTACCAGTTCGAAAATGCGTTTTTCTGCCTTATGTCGAGTGTCTTTAAAGGTAGGTGTTGCCTTGAGATGAATATGGCCTGAACGATGAAAAGAGCGGGTTTCCATCAATAACATTTCAAAGTCTGGACAAGTGGACTCAAAGTACTCAATGTTGATAATAATCTGCACAATTTGAGACAAGTTGGTCGATTGAAGTTTCTTGAGTAAGATAGCATTGACTTTCTGAATCAATAAACTGTCGACTGCTTTCTTGAGAATATCGTCCATTTCACCGTGTGTTTGACTGAATCCTTCTGCGAATTGGTAGAATTGATGTACAAAGAAACTCACATCTCGACAACATGTCGGGAACACTTTGGAAAATGGCAAACGAAGAGGGAAGCTGAGTAGGTTGTAAGTCAATTGAAAAACTAAAGCACAACTTACCCGTAGCGTTTAATGAATTCTCTATCAGGTCGAAATCGGGTATATTGCATGACTTCTTTTAATTCTTCTTCATTCTCTACTGTCATTGGCATACATTCGTCTTCTTGAACAATCTATTCTGTATAAGCCTATTAACTTGACTATTTCTTACTTGCCTTTTCAAACACTTCACTGTATTGATTGATCAACAATTCCGAGTATCTTTGGAAAAGTGTCAAGAGTGTTTCCTGTAATGGTTTAACTGAATAATCAAATCCTTCTAATGTCTGAATAAAGATCAAAAGTGAAAACTTGATTCTCAAGAACAATTCGGGATCTTTACAGCCCTTTAGACTTTCAGAGACAACCAAAATGACTTTGCCAGTCACCATTTCCCATAAACCATCTACTTCGGCTTGACTTCTAAACTCGGTTGTGTTGTGCAATATCATATGTTCAATAATAAAGAAGCCTACAATATCACGCAACAAGAAATCAAAGGTAGTGAGGTTACCATCACGTAAATTGATAGGTGTTGACAATGCCAAATTAGCCTGTGCTCTTCTGTCTTCTGAATACGATGTCTTGAATTCATTTCGTTTGCCTAGTGTATCATAGACATGAATACACTTGTATAAGGGCTCAAAGTCAATATTGACTTCATCCAAGATACTCGCTATCCTATGGGTTAATACATGCCAACTACACCACAGGACCTACTTTCAAGGCCTTCATTGACTACCATCTCAATAGCAGAATTGACTTGATGATGCTGAAGGTTTTTGAGCTTTGGATTCTCTGTTGTCTTTGACCGCCATCGCTCTTGTCTTTCCTGCATACGCTGCATTGCCAAATGGCCTATTTCTCGAGATATCTCACGGACTCTAACAACAATCAGCCCTAGGCCATCTTCTTTTTCTCTCTTTTTTAGCTTTACCTAGCCAACCATTCTTTAAGTTCAATAGTGACAGTGGCTTTGATGTTGTTTTGCATGACAGGCACACCTTGAACAAGCATTTTGGCAAAGGTATATTGCGTTGTTTGTCCTAATCGATCCTGTTCAAGTCCATCCAGTGTCTTGAGAGCAGCATAATACCGCTTATGTTCAAGTTGGTCATTGACCTTGTTGGCTGATTCAAGCACGACCAGACAAGACTGAAGTGATTCAATAGCATCTTCTACATTTTGTTGTACTTTTCTGGCATTCGTCAACTCGCGTTTCTATCAAAAGTAAATATAGTGCTTACGTTATGCATTAGTACCTTTTCTGCCCATCGTGTACCACGGGATTGTAATGCTTGATTGACTTCAGCTAGTTTTCTTCTTAGCTCAATGGATCCTTGTCTCACTTTGAGTAATTGATCCACCGCATGGACAAATTCCTAACGACTTGTAAGGATGCATCAAGTATGGATGTTTTTTCTTTACCTGGTAATGAGAGTTACACATGCGTTCAATTTCGCCATCTTTTTTACGAATCAAAGCATCGAGTGCATCGAGAAAGACAGTTTGTTTGCCTGTCTCTGTAATATGCTTGATGACAGGTCCTAATTGTTCTAGATTTTCGGCATCATCTAATGTAGCAGAGAAAGTCAACTCGAACCCACTAGCGGACACACTTGTGTCGTTGACAGAAGTATTTTCAAGTGAGTGGGTAATTCTGTCAAGGTCAGTGTCTGTAGGCATCCTAAAGAAAAGAAAGAAAAAGAGGGTATAGACACACGCATATCACTATTATGTTATTTAAATAGGCGATTTCCGTGTATCACAGTCAAAATTAAGGTACCCGCTTGAAATACAGACATGCATAAAAAGAACAAACTTTGGCAAGTAGGCTACCATGAAACAAACTGAATACATCTTGAATGCATACTTTTTAATTTATTTACATTAAGGACACTGGAAATACGACTGTGGACTAAAGACCGATGTTGTGTGCCAGATAATACCAGCAATATAATAAACTACACTAAATTTGATATTCAGACTCTGTTTAGGTGTGCTTGAAGTCAAGTCTTGATTGATCATCCAACAAGCATTCAACAAGTCTCGAAGTGTAGGATTAGTGGCATCTCGAGTGATATTGATATAAATAGGTACATTGATCACTTGATCTATGGCCCGAGGTCTTAATGAAAGATGGCCTGTGTTTCCTCTGCCAAACACTTCACCTGTAGACTCATCAATCACACTCACAGCGAAATTCTGAATGTTTGTGGGAATCCAATTATCCATATTATTCACAGTGAAATTGACACTCCAGGTAGCTTCCATTGAGGTAGAGGTATAATGAGCCGTGGTATCATCCTTTAAGCCAGCATCTAAAAAGGCCAATGTAGGATCTCGAGGCCAGACAAAATACCAAATAAGGGCTACCAGAATAATAAACCCAAACACAGCAAATACAAGTTTTCGACCACTGATACCCAACTGTGCCCACCATTTCTTCTTTTTGACAGGCAATGTCTCGATCATGCCCTGTTGTGTCTTTTGTTCATAGTCTTGTGGAGGTGCGTAAGGGGTATCGCTCATCATGTCCATCACAATATTGTCTTGTAGAATAGAACCCACTTGTCTTGAGTGATGGTTAGGTGAATTGAAACTGGGTAAATCTTCGTCTAGATAGATAGGTTCAACAGGGTGATTTGGGTTTCTTGCATGATGAGAGTAAGGCAAATAAGAATTGGCTCTTTTTTCTTGATCTTCATAATAATACTGCTTTTTCTTTTTCGGCTTATTGGGGTTTCGGGGTGAGTAAGGGTCTTGAGAATAATAATCATAACTTTCGTCTGTTTCGAATTCAGGTTCCATGTGTTTAGGTGTGGCTGAAGGGGAATTGGCTAGACGAGTTGTACTGCTTTCTGAAGGTGAACTGGAATAAGAGTCTTGCTGTTGCTCATAATGGCCTTCAAGAATAAGTTTCATTTCATTTGAGTTTATTTTTTTCTCTTTTTACCTGGACTAGGTTGTTTTCTAGTTGCTCGGTAGGGATCAGTTTTGTAGTAGTGATGAGAGTCTTGAGACATTCGATGAAGAAGAGGAAAAAAAAAGGAGAAGAAAAAAAAATGAGAAAAAGCGAAATTATAAAATTAGAAGCAAGGTAACATATCCAATTTTGGGTGTAATGGCTTGTGATTCCCTCTCTTTTCTTTTCTTTTTTATTTTTATTGGTTTTATAACAATGAAAAAAAAAAGACCAATATATGCGCATTGAAAACCATAGTTTGAAGTTTATTAAAAAGAGGGGAATTCTCGGCACAAATATGATAAATTAGACTTTTCACCCTCTACACCCCTTTTTTTTATTTAGTTGACCGAGGTAATAATACTGTTGTTCTAGTATTTACTATTCATTGACATTGTATGAAAAGCATTGGCCTTAGAGTCGAAATATTTTCTTTTTTTATAATGATTGATCTCTCAACTTCCATTTGTTGGTAAAATAATATGTGAAACGTTTCACTGAGAATAGAATAAAAATAAACCTTGTAAGAAAAAAAACGCTTTTTTTTTTACTTGTTTTTTTTTTAAATAGTGTATGATTCAAGCCTTTCATAAGAACATCGAGTTAAAAATCAATGTTATATCCGATGAAATTGTCTTGTGTGGTCAATCCTTCTTACAAGGATCCTTGACACTTGTGCTTACAGAGTCCATCAAAGTTAAATCAGTTTCTCTGTCTTTTATTGGCACAATCAAGGTTGCATGGTCAGAAGGTATTTAGAATTTGACAAGACATTTAGTAATGCTATCACTAGCCTTAGGCATAGGGCATCACCAACAAATACATAAACAGGAACGTACCATTGTCTCACATGTTTGGAACTTTGTTCACAACAACAATAAGCCTCATGTTCTCAGTGCTGGACAACACAAATGGAACTTTGAATTGCGTTTACCGACAGATCTACCACAGTCACTTGAATCTGATGTAGGCAGCATTAGTTATCGTCTAAAGGCCATGATTGAACGACCTGCTTTCATTCAAAACACAGTCAAGAAACGACTGATTCGTATCATTCAATCCATTCCACCTAGCTATAGATCACTTGAAATCCATCATCAATGGGCTGAAAAGATCGTATATGATATTTCTGTTCCCTCCAAACGATATGCATTTAAGGAGATTATTCCTATTTCATTCAAAATTCGACCCGTTGCTTCCAACTTGAAAATCCATGCAATCATGGCATCCTTGAAAGAATACTCTACATATACAGCGAATGAGCACATCAAAAAGAACACACGCATTGTTCGTCTTGTGCGTATCGAACATCCATTTCATTCTGGCAATGACTGGCATTGTGTATTGGAACTTGTTGTACCGTCTAAACCACCTTCTATATTTGCAGATACAAAGACAGACATGGTCTGTATCCGTCATCGACTCAAGTTTGTTATTTCATTAACGAATGCAGATGGGCATATCTCAGAACTTCGATGTGCTGTACAGATTATTGTGTCGGAATCACTAGCTATTGAGCCAACGTCTTTACCTGCTTACGATGAAGCTTGTCACTCAGCTCATGTTAGACATTCAGAGTCTTCTTTAACAGATACAAGATTACTTTCTACTCAGACAGTTGAGAATCACAGTGAACCATCATCATCCTCAAGGTCGATTGCTATTCCTGACACAGGCCTATTGACAGAAGAACAAGAATCGTCTTTACAGAGCCATCTATGGTGGCAAGGTACTGATTTGAGTAAAGTGCCCTCGTATTGTACTGTGTCTAATGCAGAAGGCTTATCAAGTTCGCTACCGCCAACTTATGATTCACTCACAAGACCAAATCCGCCTTCATAATAAATATTTATTCATCTGATAAAGTTACATCTGATAACGTGCTATGATGATCGCTTGTTAATTGGGTATTCTTACATGACCAAATATGGCCTTCTTTTTCACAAGGATTGTCCGTCTTTAGTTTCTCTTCTAATTGCTGTGCTTCAAGTAATAATGTACCTTCATTTGCATTTCCGGCGTGATGTGATTTCTGAAACCACTGAATAGCTAGATCAAGTGCACCTTGCCGTATGTATATCTGAGCTAAGCACACGTGTGCTCCACAATGTCCTTGCGAAGCAGATGCTTTATACCAAGCTATTGCTTCGCTTTGGTTACTATGAATAGATTCATACAATTGACCTAACTTATACTGAGCTTGACTGTTGCCTCTCAGAGCTGCTTTTAGGTAAGCCTGTTTCGCCGCCTCGGTATCTTTCTGGTCCAGATAGATCTGTCCAAGGTAGACGTAAGCGTCTCCCGACGCCTCTTTATCAGACACTCTTTCAAACCAGACAAATGCCTTCTTTAGATCTTGAGGCACACCATGGCCATAATAGTGCAAGAGTCCCAATGCATATTGAGCCATGACATGGTCGTTTTCTGCAGCAATCTTGAACCATAGATAAGCCATTTTATGGTCTTGCTGAGATCCCTTGTAGTAAATGATAGCTGTGCTATACTGTGAATCCACATCACCATTCTCAGCAGCCAATGTAAACCAATAAAGAGCCTTTACCTCGTCTTTTTCGACACCGATGCCGTCTCGATAACATACACCTAGATTATGATGTGATTTTAGGTTACCGTTGACGGCTGATTTCTTATACCAATGTACGGCTTGCTGTATATCTTGATCAACGCCTCTACCTCGACCATACATAATGCCCAATACATATTGAGCGTCTTTGTGATTGTGCTCAGCAGCTAGATTAAAGAACATGTATGCATTCTGATATTCATGAGAACGATAGTAACCGAGACCTGTCCTGTAAAGTTCATTGATTTTTTGCAACGAGTTTTCTTTTTTCATGCGAGATTCTTTTTGTGTTTTTAATACGAATGAGAAAAAAAATTGGCTTACCTTTTATTTTACAGACAAGTTTTTTCATGAAAAAAATAAAAATAAGGAGGAAGAGAATCCTTAATTCATTATAAGAAGGTTAAAATAAAAAGTAGTATCACCAAAAAACGGGTTTTAAGGAGGTAAAGATCATAACAATAAGCTTAGTTTAATACAAATAAATAAGAAATTATATGCAGGTTTTAGCGGTTTTTAAGGTAGATCCTTAATTTTATTTTCTGTATCTTTATTTGAAAACTACGTGTAGGATACACCAAAGCGTCTGAATGAAATGATATTATCGTTGCCATTTCAAGGATACTAAGTAGTGTGTAACATCAAATTGAAAGCTATATCAACTCCTTAATTTAAAAACAAAAAATTGACTAACACAAAAGCCTTAATTTAAAAAATTAATATTTATTAAAACCTCTTGACAGTCATTGTTTGACAATCGAAGGTGTTTTTTCTATATTCTTAAAAGGAAGAAAAAAAAAGCTTACTTTTAATTTACTAGTGATTTGTAAAACACACACACACACACACACACACACATTTTATATTTATATCTACAAGCACTTAATAGTCTAGGTGCATAGTTTTTTTAATGAAGCAAAACTATTTGTGATGCCAAGTTGGTAATACAAAGATAGAAACACTCTAAATTGTGTTTAAGTGCATAAAAGAATCTGCCATACTTTTTCGGTTAGACAAATTTAAGGAGAACATGTTCGCTCCAGAAAAAATCAGCGGCCATTTTGGCGTAAATACCCCAAGATTTATCAAATTCATAGAGGACTTAAAAATCGTTTGTGATCAAAGCCCTAAAAGACCCTTTCTATATTCTGCAAAGTCATTGTAACTTGCATCTTTAAATAGTCATCCATTTTCAATAGTACTTGTAAAAAAGATAATAGAATTCAATAGATAAATTACTTTTGTAAAGAAGGATTTTTCCATGTAAAAAGTAACAAAGTTTTTATTAAGAATGCTCATAAAGTTCGCTTCTGCCTTTGAACATCTTTGTTTGACAAGATTTGCTCGCGCTCGATAATATTGACTACAAGGCTTTTGCTTTGTAGCTATTCATGTTAATCCCTTTCTCTCTTTGACTTTGCTTTAGCTTTATACAAACTTTCCAATCCATTTCATAAATGTAAATTTCAGAAAGATGTGAGTTGATTTTCCGTATACATTGAAAAAGTGATTGCTTGGAGTTGTTGTTGTAGTACATCTCGATATTTTTCAAAGAAACTATTTCGTCCAGTCCAATATTCATTTCAAGAAACATTCTTATAAAAAAAACATCTTTCCAAAATGAAACGACTCTTTTTTCTTAGACCAAAGTATTCTTTTAAAAAAGGTAATTCTCAATTAACAACAGAACAATTACGATACATTTGCTAGAAATTGTATGGATTATATATGGTTAATTGACAGAACTGAATAGCTTTGTTAACATCAGCAAAACTCATGCTTCATTGTAGCGAGAATGATAAAGTCACACTAAAGTGAACAGCGCAACTAGGATCTATCAATATTGAAGCTTCGTATGGCTTTGCTTTTTTTTTCTTTTGATTTTCAAGAGCAAAGTACATGCACAAGATCTAAAAGACGTATCCTACACTTGTCCTGCCTATAGAGCCTTTGTTAGAGTACAATATTTGATAGTTTATTTGATGCATGTTCATATTCTTTCTTGGGCAAATCAAATGTAATCAACAATGACATACTTTATGCTTAGCATAGAGAATATAGATAAGGTTTTCAGATCCATTTTATATAATTTTATTCACACGCTTCATCCTCTGTTTGAGAACAATACACTGTAGAAATGTAGCACAGATCTATAACACTTATTTGAATGAACAGAAACAACACATGTCGATTCTTTCTGGATAATTCTCCTTATGTTTCTTTTCGATTCCCTATTTGAGTAATATTTAGCATATGAACAAAAAAAAACAAAAAGGAATATCAGGCCGAGCCATAGAGATGATATTACAACTCAACATGAATATATATAAAGTGAGTCGATAGATATTGTCACATTTGATTGGATATTCTTTTTTTTTTGGTATTCTTGTGTACCTTTTATTCATGTAAATGTAGCATTGATCTTTGAACACTTTTATCTGTTCATTATCTCATTTAATCCGTACAACGCTGGCGGAAAACAAATTACATAGGGTGTGTGTGGATTCGGTTTTTTTGCTGAGATGTGACAGATGCTAACCTCAGACCACGTCAAGCACTAGGAAAAATAGAAATACAATGATAATATAAGGGAATCAACGAGTAGACACATGACGGATTCACCCGTAGATACACACTTGTATAAATAATTCAGTTTATAGTTTTATTTTCACTACTTTTCTTTCTCTTTCTCTCTTCAAGACCAATACCATGAATCCTTCTTTCTCCGCCAATCAGAAGCAAGAAATATCTCGAAAGAGAAATAGTGGTAAATGATGTTCACCATTTGACTGTCCATAGGCTAAAGCTATATATATGCATTAATAGATGCTATCACTAATACTAATTATAGCCATGGTATGTTGACAAAATGGCCCATAAACATTTGATTTATTCTTCTATAGAGAATCATTTACAGGCAATCATATACAAAGAGGCAGAAGAGGTACAGTGTATTCAACTTGTACATACATACCAACACCTTTCTTTTTTTCTAGACCAGTGAAAGTGATGATCAAGACCTAAAAATACGGCGCAAAGTACAGAACCGAGCAGCACAACGAGCTTTTCGAGAACGTAAAGAACGTTATGTCAAAGAACTCGAAAAAAAAATCGAATATGTTCAAGACAGCCATGTACTCGCAACCACAAAGTTATACCAAGAAAACCAACATCTTAGATCCATCATATCTCATTTGGAATTAGAAAACAATACACTCAAAGGTACACATGGGGCTTCTTGGCTGGATACAGTGCCACCTCCTGTATCATTGCCAGTTCTCAATTCATTTCCTTCTATCCCTTTACCGCCATTGAAAATTCGACCTGCTCCTGTTCCAGATAACAAGCTAAAAAAATCTGCTCAAGAACTCACGCTAAAGAAAAAAATATCAGTCAAAATAAAGTCATCAGATCCACCAACCCAACCAGTTCGAACGAGCGCTACACATTCATCGCTTACATTTGCTATTACTACACCTGCAATTTTGAGGTCGAGTCAAGAGGCAAAAAACAACCAAGTTGAGTTGATTCAACTGTATCCAGATCATTGTCATCCTGCAAACCGCTTATTACCGAATCAAAAATCATCCTCACCCTCATATAGTAGTAACAGTAGTTGCTCCAGTGTTACTAGTTCTCATAACCAAGAGGAAATAGAGGACTCTTCTAACAAAGATGGTATCGTAGCATCCTTTCTTAATCAGTCTTATTTTGAAGACAATCATGACTGGAACATGGTCTTTCTCAACTGAATAAACTTTTTTTGTTCCGTTAGTACCCGCACGAATGAGTAAAACACAACAGCGTCAGGGTTGTGTGACAATAGTTAGTATAGTATCCAAGCTATGCCATTGATTGGCGCATCTAATAAAAAGTATGACATTTTCCTAAATGAACGAATAGAGCCGATTTTTTTTGCTAATTACGTTGCATTTGAGCTTGGGAAAATAAGAATTAGATTCATAAAGCGTGATACATGCTCGATTTTATTTCTTGGCTTATTTTTCTTTTATGTCTTATAAAGAGAAAAGCGTCTTGCAAGATAAAGTGGGTAATGGTAGAAAATGACACAAATCAAGTCACAGTGATCGCCAAACATTTATATACACACGCTTTCTCTCATTTTTCTGCATATTGAAAGTTGAATTCCCACCCTTTTTTTTCTTAAATCCCTTGTCTGTGTAATGCCTATAGACCTCTGGAGCTTATAAAAAAAACAGAACTAAAAAAGTTGCACGATAATTTAACTAGGAGATAAGATAATGTATCTTTTTAAAGATAGCAAGCCCTTTTTTCCCCTTGTTACACCTGTTACATATGTAAGACTACGTTGTATGAAGTAAATGATCAAGGTATGTCTATCAACAAAAAAAAATTGGTAGGTTTTAACGCTTGGGATGAGATTTTAGCAGCCATAAAGTAAAAATGAATGAAATACTTACAATCCGCTAAAGAGATGCTAAACTCTTGATTAATACGCTGCTTCTTGTACAGAAGACTGCCGTTTTCAAACTTAGTTCAGTATTGGAGTGACTGACGTTTGAAGAGAAAGCATGAAGTGTTTCATGAAAGAACAAGGTAGCTATGCCTGAGATAGCAATGGCTAAAGCTAGATATCTTATCTCTTCGACTTATACTGCGACCATTTTTGACTGAGGGATATTTAGGGTAATAACTAACTAAAGGCACCTTTCATTTTTTTTGTATCTTGTTGTTCCCTGCCTTCTGACTAATTGCTTAGGATGTTGAAGTTTCTGGAGTGAGTTCAAAATATAAACGCAATGGAGTGCAAGTATTTATAGTGACACAAGTATACATGCATAAAACGTTGTTGAACACAACATGTATTGTGTGTTATAGAATCCTTCTTCAATTTTCAAATAAGTCATAAAGAGTATTTTTCATCAGAAACTACGCCTAAAAACACAAAGAAGAGGGAGACTATGATGATAGCTTCAGTCAATAAATCCACAATTAGACAACCAATAGGTCTGTATACTTATAGTGCTCTTGTTCTATAGTTGCACATACTCAAATAAGCTCCCAACGAGAGTAAATGAAAGTTGACATGTCGTTCAATTTCTCTTTGCTTTGATCAATGCAAATAAATACACCATAGCTACGTGTGGCCTTATTTGTGAGCTCATATAGTGGAGACTTACACTTTGTGTCAAAATGTTCTATTTCATAGCCAGGTACTTTATAATGTGGTTAGGGCTGCTAAAATTTTAACACGCTTAAAGTTATGCAAACAACAATGTTGAATTTAAATTGATGTTACAACAACAATTGAAATCAAGAAATCAGAGATTTAAGAGAAAAGATGAAATAAAAGTACTCAAAAAAGAAGAGATATTAGAGAAGTGTAGAAATTCAGTAGGCAACGCTATATTACATTGAACGATGTAAAGAACGCGGTATGTTTGCTCCTAAAGTATTGAGTTATCTTTGAGAAATGCTTTTTTTTCTGTTTTTGAGCAGTAGCGTACACTTTTTATAGTACTTTTGCAAATATAACGCCTTACACATGCTTTATAGATCCAGAAAAACATTTGATACTAAGATATATCATATCAATAATGTCTATATGGCTCGCAAATCTCCAGCTAATGAAAAATGAAGATTTCTTCAGGGCATCATAAGGGCAACATGGCGATTTTTTGACTTCTTCAAGACTTGCTATATTATTGCAACCAAAAGGTAGAAGTCACATGTATCTCATATCCATAGGCTTGACAAAAGTATGCAACACAGCTAAACGCTGCTGTCTTGTGTTCATTTACTCTGTTAGCGCATTATAGATAGACTATATTTTTACTTTTTTATGTCCTTTGGCACTCTAAAAAATGTCCAGTATCTTTTGAAAGTCCATTGCTAACACAGTTTATACTGTGTCTTGTGCAAAGATGCTCAAAAATGCCTAAAACACAGCTTAAACATGCCAATCTTTGATGCCTCATTGCTCGACAACCAGACTACTAAAGCGGCCCGTTTTTCGTTTTGTTTTGTTTAGAGCATGTTTGTTTGAGTTCAGAAATCAAATGGTACCATTGCTTTGGTTGTTGGGTAAAATTCATGTTTTGACCGATGGGGGATTCACGGTGGTCCGTGAAAATAAAACAAAATAAAATAAAATAAAATAAAATAAAATAAAATAAAATAAAATAAAATAAAATAAAATAAAATAAAATAAAATAAAATAAAATAAAACAAAATAAAATAAAACAAAAAAAAAAAAACTCGATCAAGAATCTTTGGAGTGACCCAATGTAAGTCTGATCTAACCGGAATCAGGTAAGACCATTTTTATGTACTTCCAATGAAAAGAAAACGAGTTCATTAAGATAAAAAAAAAAAGAAAGGCGACTTGATTTGAGCATTGTCCTCAAATATGCATTCAAGGTTCATTGTACACTGTAATCAATACAAAAGAGACCCTTTTCAGCAGATAGTACTGATTAATCTGGTACTTATTTTAGCACCAGTTGATGTGAAGAGTATTTTTGAGTAGAACTTACTATAATACATAATATTCTTGAGGCTAAAGAGAGTAACTTTGAGCACAACTAGCAATAGATGCCTTGTAGGAGGATGCTGCTATATTTAAAACTCCAATTTTTATTTTCTTGCTCTTTGCTTTGACGACCATTCTTTTTCTCTTACCAACACTTGCAAGTCTAGACATCAGGTACGCATAAACAGAAAGTAGTGTCGCAGAGTGCTTGATACAACATAATTGTAGCTCAACAAGTGAAATTCACTCTGATCAACTCATACTGAAAATAAGAGACAGCAGTAAAGCAGTAAACTTGCGTGGATAAAACCGTTATACAAGTGGATCACAAACATAGCTTTTGTCTAAGAATGCCTGTGGCAATTACTGAACACGAATAAGTAATTCACGAGCACAAGATTTAGGCAGAGATGACTTGATTGTGAGGTAAAAAGAACCAGAGATCAAAAGGAAAGAAATACATTTGTAAAATATACAAAAGAGCTTTACATACACAACATAAAGATACATTGGATTCGATTAAGATGATCAAATTTTTTCTGAGTCCTCTTTTTCTCTGAATAAGAGTTGATCAGATTTTCAATCATAAATAAGAAAATTTAAAAAAAGTAAACATACATTACGAAAACATGTTGAGGCCTTAGTTGAATATCTTCGTCACGCCTGAGAGAAATGGAGCAGGAAGAAAATGTCTTGATACACCAGTAAAATTTGTTCGAGCGCTTCACAGACAGATGCCTAAGAAATTAACTTGAGTAGATCGAGCCTTGTGGTCGTGAGGCCTATCAGTAAAAGAGCTGCTTTTTACAGCCTTAAAAGAAAATGATGAGGGCGCTATTGAATGAAGCACAATTCAAGTGGGCTAAGCAAGTGATTGAAACGGACATGAGTTCTCTTAGAAACTGTGTATTTATTAATGAGTCTGGCTTCCATATTAACATGAATCGTAGTGGTGCGTGGGCACCAAAGGGTGAGGCACTTATTGTGAAGGTTGAAAATACTAGGGCTGTCTCTCATACAATTTTGGGTGCCGTTTCAGCATATGCAGTCGCGAATGTCAGCATTCGAATTCCCAATTTAGCCACCAAGAAGCTTTTTCCTGTAGAGGTTGACAAAAAGAGAAAACTTGACCAAGAAAAAGCTCAAAAGCCGAGGCCAAAGGGGATCACTATAGACCATTATCTGTGCTTTTTAAGCGATACCTTTGATATTTTAGATGCATATGAATATACCCAGGGCTCCTATATCATCATGGATAATGCTGCAATTCACAAACGAACTGATATTCAAGAGATGATCGCAAATCGAGGATACAAATGTGTTTATTTGCCACCTTACTTCTCATCCCCCGAATTAAATCCTATAGAGCAATTCTGGTCGGTTGTTAAGAGCAAACTCAAAAGATATCAAATTCTCGAAGAGGAAACCATGCAAGACCGTATCACTGAAGCCTGTAGCCAAATCCCTCAAAGCCATCTTTATGGTTTTGCTAAGCGCTTGGGAGATTGTTTGAATAAAAAAGCCATTTAATACCTTTCTGTTACTCATAAACTCTTTATGACTCTTGTACAACTTAATTAGTTTACATCAGACTTATGCATGAGAAAGCTTTGATGACTTGCATCAAAGCGACAAGTCAGAAAAAATGCGACAAGTTGTTATGGAAAGACTGTCTCTGCTTTGGCAATCAGTTTAGTCTTTATTTCGCTGTCAATTCAACTGACCCTCAGATAGAAAAAGAATACTAAGCCGAATGATTTATTTGCACATCACCCAGCCTGTTCAAGCACTTATTGAACAGAATGAAGTCAGCAATGAAACTGTAATATATTGTTTACATTGGACTTTAATTCTCTTCTTTTATATGGCTGCAGGTTTCTCGCATATACTAAATTACTTACCGCCTTCTTCTGTTGTCTCTCCTTCTCCTTTTTTCACTGACGATGTCAGTTATACTTCTCCTTCCAGTTCCTTTTCTGTGTACATTGGATATATTTATTTTCTGTTGCTCTCTTTTGTGATCGCCTTTCAAGAATGCTTCTAGTGATGAGTATAGTAGTGTATGACTGGATTCATGCCACCGACCATAGAAGTGTATACAATATATTATGTAATGCATGTATATATGTAACAAAAGAGACGTTTATATAATCCAATAATATATAATGATGCTACTAATAATGTTCAATGAGAAGCCTAAAAGAATAAATTCTAAACTTTTGCGGAATTGAACTTTACTGCCAAGACTCTCGTCGACGTGCAATGATATTATTTGTATTAAAAGACGTCATCAAACAAGAATCACAAAGAAAAAAAACATATCAAGAGCAACATGTAGATAGAAGTAACGCATAGTTTTCATTGACAGATACATTTAGTTGAACGAAATGATCGTATGATCAAAGTACACAGTAGAATGTCTAACGCTAGAATAAAGGCGAATTAAACGTTTCTAGCTTGCATACTGAGTACTAGCAAGTAAAATTTAGGGTAAACTTGC